ATGTGCAATCAACTACTTCTACTACGCATGCGCCCTCCCGGCCTTTCATACTAATAAAGAAGAGACCCTGATTTCCGGTCCAACCAAACTTCCAGCAATTACATCCATCCTCATAGTCAATCGTCACTGGATGTGTTGTTTTCCTACTTCCAATCATCGGAAGATCCAGTGGAGTGATGAGGAAAGCTAGACCAAACATCCTGTTACGGTTACTTAAACCGTGTTAGTATTGAACCTTGTTAGGGTTTGTCTGAGTTCAAATAACCACAACACATCCTGCCACGTGTCAATCGACTTACACGACAGACACCGCTCCTCGCTGTCGGTCCCTCTCTCGGATCGTCACAAAGCGAGGTTGTTGAAGAGTCCACTGGAAATTTAAAGCGCCCAGAAAAGAGAAAAAGGTTATTAGTAAGAAAGCTTTTAGATCATATGCAGACCTATCTGCAATACCAACACACTCAATCTCTTTGACTTTGAGAGATCATCGCCTATGTTGTTTGGGATCGCAATAACAATTACTTCTAAGTTGGATTCAACGATCAGTGAATCGAACAATTATTGATGGCATGCTCTATGTCAGCAATGTCGTTGATGCCTAGAGGGATCTTTATGAGAGTTTACCAAGGAGATGGGTTTCGTAATGCTGATCTGCAAGAAGCAATCTTCGCACTAAAATAAGGTTCTCAGAGTGTATCTCAATATTAGGGTGGAAATCGGTATGATATCGGTATTCCGATATAAAAAATACCAACATTACGAATACCGAATTACACGCGATAATCAAATCCCAATCCCAATCTCAATCTCTAAATATTCCGGTATCCCAATCGGTATTATCGAATACGAAATGAATGACATTTCAAATTAATAATTAAATATATAAATTAAAATTTATTGTTTAATTTAAGGCAAAGAGACTAATCAAAGAGTCTTCATATTGAAGTGATTAAGAGCTCAATAGGAAGTCTAGAAGACCATTTTGGAACCTGATCAAAAAGTTATGCCAAAACTGGGAAACTGTCTGAAAATGGCTAAGTCTGGAAACGTGTTTGTGAAGCCTACTTTGGAGCTCAATTCGAGAAGCATGAATACGAGTCGACGTTAAATTAGGTATGTTTTTATACAAATTCAAGGCATTGGATGAAAGATTGGATATCTGTAAGGCTTCAAACAAAAGGGTCGAAGTTGCTAAGAAGGTTGTTTCTCGCAGACTTCGAGGACACGCAAGCTGCCAGAAAATCAGCCTTCGTAGCAACTTCGAACCTTTTGTTTGAAGTCTTAAAGATATCTAATCTTTCATCCAATGCCTTGCCTTTGTAGACAAACATACCTAATTTAACGTGGTAGAGACCCCTGGACTCGAATCGCATCCATGCTTCTCAAATTGAGCTCCAAAGTAGGCTTCACAAACACGTTCCCAGAATTGGCAATTTTCAGGCAGTTTCCCAATTTGGCATAGCCTTTTGATTAGGTTCAAAAATGATTTTCTGGACTTCATGTCGACCTCCCAAGTACTTTAATGTGTAGAGGGACACTTCAGCTTCAAAACAAGTCATTAATCTCCAATTTCCATCTAGCAAATTGTAAGATATGAATCTTCAAAGTAGGCACCATGAAACTGTTTTTACACTGAAACAACAGATTAGGTCGACCTAATCCTATATGAAGTCGACCGAAAAGTGCATATCACCGTAGCAAAGTCCTAAATTTTAACACAATATACAACATTAGTTGGTCTAATCGTAATCATTATTTGAGAAATATATTTATAATTAAAGCTAAGTGTGCATTTTCATTAGTATTCCATCTGTTCAAGTTTTCAGGTACGGTGAGATTTATTGCTTATGGAAGCAATGCCAATATTAAACATATTTAGGAACTAAAAGATCTTCAAATACGTAATTATTATTAAAATATACACCCGAGTCATATGAGCTTACAAACTTAATTAGTGCCAAATTATGGTAATGTCTCGTGTGAATAACTTGCCCTCACGTGCATACTTCCAAACCTACAACTCAAGATTACAGATTAGAAATGGGTTAATATATTTGTATGTTCTGAACTTTTCACATAATAAACATCCTGTCCAATCTTTTCGATCTATAACATCATGCTTTAACTATACACCAAAGTAACGAAATTGGCCAAAGCCAAAAATTGACCAATATCTTGGACGGTCAAACGAATTGATTAACGGCCAACGAGCCATGTCAGCACCTTTCACTTAAAAAAATTTATATTTTCCACCTATTATTATTTATATTTTTCATTTTGACCCAAAATTCATTTTTCAATTTTTTCGGATTCTTACTGAAAAATATAAATAATAATAGGTAGAAAGTATATAATTTTTTAAGTGAAAGGTGCTGACTTGGCGGTGACGTGGCACGTTGACCGTTAATCAACTCGTTTGTCCGTCCAAGATAACGGTCAATTTTCGGGTTTGGCCAATTTCGTTACTTTGGTGTATATTCAAGCCATGATATTATAGATAAAAAAGAATAGTCACAATCCTCCAATAATGTATAATAGAGTTTTGTTTAATTTTCTCTATTTCAAATTTCCTGCAACGAGAGTAAAAGTAGGAAGGACATTTTTGTCTTTACAATTAATTATTTATTCCATATAAAAAATGTCAATGGCAGGATTTGAACCCAAGTTTCTTCAAAGTTCAAACAAAGACTATAATTTCAACCAATTACACTAAACAAATTTGTTCTGTCTTATTTAATATAAAACATAAATAAAGTGACACTCCGAAAATCGGAGGACTTTTCCATCATGATTAGCAAGCCCACTAAGTGTACCGCATGTATTTTTATGGTGCTTGACACTGCAATTTTCATAGCTGAGTTTCATTTAGTTTTCTCAATTCTAAAATTACTGCTCTCTCCTTAATTTTCGCTAAAGGTAAATAGTTAATTGGCTAACATGGAAGAACTAATTATATTACTACATGTTGTGTCTTTGCATTTTTCAATTTATATTTAAATTTCGTACTTTTTTTTATCTTTGTTCTAATCTCTTTCTAACTTACTTCGACATCCCCTCCATCGTGCAATATTTTGTGGCCCTTTTCACTTATAGTACAAAGCCGCCTTTCAAAATCAATCTTCCAATAACTCTTGGCACTACGATTTTACTGTTGGGGATTTAAACAGGGCAAGTAGAAGATTTTAACTTCGATATCAAGCCATGGCGAATAGAATGGAGTCAAATAAATGGAGTTGCAGAAGGAGGATTAGAAATTGAATTTTTGGTTGAAACATACGCCTCTTGAGATTGAGGATAGAGTGGACAAAAATTTGATTGTACAATAGAGAGGGGTGGCTATTGGATCTTTAGGTTTATGGTTTTTGCAACTATCGCAACCTATTTCTATCTTAAAACGAGGAATCATTGATTGATTTACTGAAGTAGGTCATTTGATTCTTTATTCAACCTACTAGAACTGATAGAGAAAAGGTGTATACTGTACAATTTTGTTCCTTATTAGTTTGATCGAGTCTATTAGTACATTGGAGGTAACTCTAATTTTGGCGTTTGCTCTTAAGTTTTGATGGTCCCCTCTTAGCTGAGTTGTTAGTATATGGTTGGCTTGAATCAACAACTCTCCATTCCTTTTTTTATAGGGTTGATGTAGGTTTAATGTTGTGATTAAGGTACTACTTAAGGGATTCGAACCTAGGACCTCCAGTTATTACCACTAGGCCAAGCCCTATGTAGGATTACGAGGTTCAAGATTTAGTTTCAAACTACCTATGGTTCGTATGGGAATTTCAGTGAGCTTTTATACTATATCTTTCTTGACAATCAACTAACCGATAGCATTTTACCGGGGACTTAATTATCATTATGAAAATGGGATCAATGATACATTTTTATATTTTATATTCTTAAATGATGATGATATTGCTCCAAATGTTCGGCCTACATGTTCATTCTTTATGTACCATCTCGATGGAAGGATTGTCAAAAATTCAGGTCATACAAATATATTAACCTATTAGAAATAAACAAGAAGTGTTCAACGCACCACCACTATGGGTTGATGACGATTGACGACTCCAAAGCAAATGCAACACGGGCCCGATGCCAGAGACTGTTGCTGCGACTAGGACTTTCACGGCCTCGCCAACATGAACTGAATGTAGCTTAAAGATTGTTGGGTCCAGTGGGGGTGTTCGGCCCATTGGATTGATTGATCTCAAATGATAAACCAAAAAGGTAAAAAGAAGTCTGTTATTGTTGGATCCCGTGGGGTGAGGCCCAATGGATTGATTGATCTCAAATAATTATATAAAAAAAAGATATTTGGGAATTTGGATAAATCAAAACTTAAATATTTTGTGTGTCTGTCATATTCTAGGCTTAGTTGTCTATAGGAGTTTATCCCATTCTAAACGTGATAACTCTTCGGCAACATATGGTTTGGTACTAATAATTTAAAAAAAATGGTTAAGATTCATATATGAGTCTCTTCTAACGAGTCTAGTTATTGAGATCAATTTATTCTTGATATGTTATCAAAATAGATTTGTTTTTAAGATCACACGTTAAGTCCTCGTGACTCTAATATTATATCACATCTCGTGTATCAAAGGGTAATCTTCTTTTTTTTTTTTTTTTACAAAAGCAATCATCATTCATTCCAAACCCACACATGTGAGAAGCAAGACTATTACAATAATCATTCAAAGGGGTAATCTTAGACACCAGTATCTCTAACATTCTTGTACCCATAATGCCCCACTGCCTAACACAATAATAGCTAGCTAGCTAGGTTCTCAAAAGCCAATTAGGTCATGAAAGTTGAAAGAATAAAGACGCCATACTCTTTGCATACTAAGATAAGCGCAACCGCCACTGGTGTTGGGGTGGAATTTTGCTCTGTATTCTATTCTGGATCGAACTAAACTCCAAATATTGCGTTAGCGTGAAGGGATGGACGGCTCCAAAAAAGCATATATATAACCGAAAATAAGATCACAGCACAAAACAGGGGAAGGTGATGATGCTGGACTTTCCTCATTTTCCCATCCCCGACCCATCTCTTTCCTTCTCCAATCCTTTCTTCACCCAATTCGCAAATGGGGGAAATCATACACAAGTATGGCGAGGGAAAGTGTCAACTCATGAAAGAGGGTTTATGATGAATTCCATTCAGTTCGGTTTGAACTCTGAATCATCGCAGCAGCGATGAAGTTAGAAAACTACAAGGAGAATGGATGAAATGGTGATATCTCAAATTAAAATTTTTGGTTCTTGATAATCTTTGATTTCATGTAATAGAGATGGAGAAACAACTAATTAACGAGAAATCGAGAAGACAAGTGTGATCTAGAAAAACATGGAAGCTAACCTTGAATCGGATAGATGCTTGCAAGTGTACGTAGTGAACAATGACCAGAAGTTTTCGATATTTCAATATATTTCGATCTCTATCCCTTAATTCGAATACCATAACAGTAACCCAAAATCAATCACAATTTAAATAACTAAAAAAATAACTCCTTATTCAATAATACCAAACATTGATAAATTCAATACGATATTTCAGATATTCAGTATATGTATATCCCAAGTATCATTGCTGTAAGAGTGGTATAAGATCCAACAGAACATTCTCCCAACAACTCGAGTTATTGGGACCAACTGGTTTATGACATGGTATCAGAGCCTAGAACCGAAATGTCACGTGTTCGAATCTCCACGACCCCTAATATTAACAGTTTATTAAAGCACAAAATATGGTGGGCATTTGCAAACTTCAGGCTTTCGTTTGAGAGATCGTGTAAGAATGTGCTATAACCTTCTCTCAACAATTACCAAACTTCCATCCTATCTCTACCCATATAACTTAGTGACCACCACCTCGAAAAGCTAAAAAAAAATCAAACGAATGCCTTTCTATCTCTCTTTCTCATCATCAACACCATGAAAATAAACCCCACGAATCTCCCATCATCATCATCCCCCATGCTTCTCGCATTCTTCCTGGCCTCAATCACCATCCCCTTCACCGCAGCTACCTTCACCGACGGCGACTTCGTCGTCCTCCGCTGCCGGGAGGCGGCGAGCACCGACCCCAACTTCACCTACGAGTTCTGCCTCCAATGCTTCGCGCCCTACATCCACAACGTGACGACCATGGAAGAGCTGGTCGGAGTTTCGATGAAGCTGACGGCGAGGAACGCGACGAGGATCATCAAACGGATCTCCCGGATGCTGATCACCCGCGGCGCGGCCATGGACCCTTACTGTAGGCACGCACTCGGGGACTGCTTGGAGCTGTACGCCGACGCGAAGGGCGAACTAAACGACGCCGCAAAGGACGTGTTCGAGTATCGGGATTGCTTCAAGGCCAATGTTGAGGTGAGCGCGGCCATGGACTCGGCCAGCACTTGTGAGGATGGGTTTAGGGAGAGGAGGTACAGAGGTGATCACCCGCTGGCGGTGGAGAATGAGGTCTTCTTTCGGTTGACGGCCGTGCTTCTGGCTTTCATCAACATGTTGCACTATAATTAGGAGGAGAATTATGTGTTCCCGCGCGTCGAGGTATTATTTGGGTAAAACAATATTATCAAAATCTTATATATGATGTGTGAAAGATATTATGTTCAGGGGTGGAGTGATTCTGACTTCATTTTGTTGTGTTAATTTGTGTGGTTATTGATAAGATAATGCGATTGTAAAGATCGGAATTCTTGAAATGATGATAAGAAGTTATAACCTAATTGATGTTAATACGATAAATATAACATAATTTTATCATCTAGTTCTTCATCGAAACAGGCTCATAATGATGTGTCTATTTTTCTACTCCTTCCTATAGCAAGCCATACGCAGAGGGAGTGGAGGGTCTGAGAATCTGCCGCCCACAATTTGGTCGAAAATCCATTTGTTGCCTGCTTCGGTGTAATGCACTCCATCCCAATTCACGTATCGAGATGGGTCTTTGCACGATTTAGCCTCAACTTCAACACCGTTCTTCTTCTTCATCTTCCCTCCACACCCAATTTCCCTGCTGTAATTGTACTCTCCGCCGTACCCACAACACGCCCTTATCGACTCGTTGAACCCTACATCCACACACACAAAAAAAAAAAAATCAGCTCTTTCCCAAATCGGCATGGAAAAAAAAAATAGTACCAAAATGACTCTTACGCACCGTGTAGTTTGGCGTGTCGAATGAGCTCGTACTTGACCTTGTAGACGTCGACGTAAGTGACGGCCGCTAAGGGCAGCTCATTCCTCAGCTGGCCCACGGTCTTCTTGAGCCCACGGTTGAAAATCCGGGCCACGCGGTTGAAGGGGACCCCGCAGCCCGCTTCGTCGAACTGGGCCGTGGGGACGCGGGCTAGGACGTAGGCCAGGCAGCCGAAGGGCCCGGTGTTGTGGATCCAGAAGTGGCGCCCGCCCTGGTCGTAGATGGCTTTCACGACGGCTTTGAATTGGGAGAGGACGTCGGGGATGACGGCGACGACTTGCGGAGTGGTCATGTTGAGGAAGTAGGCGGCGGTGAGGTCGTTCTGGCCGATGTCGAACGTGTAGAGCGCGCCGGCGAAGGATGTTGGTTTCGGGAGAAGCTTCTCGTAGACTCCTCCTGTTGGGAGGAGGAAAAAAAGAGAGAGAGAACTGATTATAACGATTTAGCACGCGCGACTCTCATAGTTATATTTTATCCATTTGCGAGTATTTTCGAGTCGTGATTAATAGAGAATTAATCACGACATGCTAGCATTGTCACAATACGATTCTAAATGACTCGTTACGACACGACTCGACACAATCGTTGTTTTTTTTGTTGATTAGTACGTACCTCTGGAGCGGACGAGCTGGGAGCGGTTGAGGAAGTCGTGGAACTGGTAGCCCTGTACGTTGAGGGCGATGGGGCTGAAGCCGCTCTGCTGAAGGGTGGTGTTTTGTGGGCGGATGGTGGATCCGGCGGTGGCGAAATTGGCGCCGTGGGTGAAATTGCTGCCGATTGCATCAAGGAACGCACTCAGGTAAGGTAAACCCAGTTCCTGTGCTGTAATTTATGACGTAATTTTTAACCGTGGTTAAAAACTAGCCACATGAAAATATATATATGTGTGATAAAAAGATGAACATCGAAAGATATATGATTATTTGTCAAAAAAAAAAGATATATGATTTTTTTTTTTATTTGATAACAAAGATATATGATTCAGTGTATGATCTACATTGGTTCTTGTTTTTTTTTTGCTCTGAAAAATGAATTATTATTGAAATGTAAGTACTGCTGGTTTTTTTTTTCTGTGAGAGGTATGGACGGAGTCATGGAGACCTGACCACACTGGACAGTAAAAAACAAACACATTGGTCCAATATCGAATCACGGATTTCGACACCACTGCCATGTACGTGATTTGAAAAATACAAAACCAATTATTGATATTTTCAACCGCTCGAATTATTAAAATTAAATAATTCATAATAATCACCATTTAAGATAAGTTACTCACTGAACCATAAGACACGAAAACATAAATCAACTCGAAAATTTGAGATCGTAGTTACTCGCCGAACTATCGAATCTTGATCGACATGTATTTTCACCACCATAAAAAACAGCCCAACTACCAATCATACCACTGATTATTTACAAAGAATAGTACAAGACCATCATCGGTATCCACTTCCCACAATCACTAAAAATCTTATTCTATATTTCCCATTAAAACCAAATGCTCCAAAACAAAAACAACCTGTAATCAGTTTATGTTAATAGTAATTTGTTATTGAGCCACAAGCAGATGGAGCCAATTACCCAACTCGCCAAATCAGCTGCAGCTTCCCTTGATCCATTATTCAGGATGCCACGTATGCATCAGAATGACCTAACGATTGAAGATATATACAATTGTGAAAAAAATCTTCCTAATCTAACATTTTCTTAAACGTTACACATGTGAGAAACTGAGAATATGAACGGTCTGGCAAACAGTGTTACTTTCATTTTTCACTAGATAATTAAACCATGAAGTCTTTCCCCCAGCTTTTGTTTCTTTCATAAAATTTGACTATCACACTTATGACGTTGAATGGAAACGAAAACGGCCAATGAAATCGAGTACATAGTACATACCAATGAAGTCGATGACGAGGCGGCCGTCGGAGTAGCGGCCGGCGGGATGGTGGAAGAAAGTCTCGCCGGCTGGAGGGCCCGCCTGGCCAAACGCGGCGGACAACCCGCCCGTGTCGGAGTTGGAGTCCCCGAAGTTGAAAATCGCCGGGAAATCACATGTCGGAGTACTAGCGGCTGAATAAGAACTGCCGGAAGTCGTCGCCCCGGCAATGATAATGCTGAGGAAGAAGCTAAACGCAGCAGACGAGTATGGATTTACGAATGAGCCCTCCATCTTCTTTTTTGAGAGAGAGGGAGGGGGAGGAATGGAGATTGGGAAAGATAATGGGCTCCGCGGCGCAGTAGTCTGTAAATTTAGCTGAAGTGATTCCCAAAAGGATACATACGGACAAAATCAAAAGGAACGGGAAGAAACGTCCACCAATTTTAAGGGGAAAAAAAGGATAAAGATAAGTGGATGTGTTTGTTTGTTAAATTCAAAATTAAATGTTAACGGTATAATATACATAATTAATTTTTTTTAATTATTTGAATTAGTGGGATTAGTTGGTTTATGATATGGTATCGAAACTAATTTGTTCATTAGATGGCATGTGACAAACTGATTTGTGACATGATATCATAACTAGTTTGAGTATTGAGATTAGTTGGTTTATGATATGGTACAAATTTCGTTGGTTGCTATACTTTATCTCGTAAAAATTCATTTACGTTACAAAGACAATAATAGTACCATAATACAAACTACATATTTGTTTATGATATGAACTGGATTTTTATATTTATGTTATGATACAAACTGAACTTGTACCATAACATATAGTGATGCAAATTATTTCATGGTACAAACTGAGCTTCTATTTTTGACAATATGGTAGAAGTTCAATTTATAACTCGAGTTAAGATTCGTATATTAACATCTCTCAATAACTCAAGTTATTGAGAGTTGAGACCAACTGGTTTGTGACATGGTATCACAACTGGTTTGACCAAGTGATCGTATGTTTGAATCTTCATGACACGCAATATTATCATTCATTCTAAACATAAAGTATGGTTGGATGACGCAAACTTCAAACCAATGAGTTGACTTTTGTTTAAGACGTTGTATTAGGTAGTGGTATAAGATCCACAAGTAATCTTCTTCCAACAACTTGTTTTATTACCACCATTAATTTATGAAAACTTACAAATTCTTCTTTTTATAATAAAATTAGAAGTTATCCTTACTTTCATTAGAGTTGTTTCAAATTTCCGAGTATTTTGGGGGTGGTGATAGATTATTCACCAATACTATAAATGATCGCAAGAGAGTAGAGGAAAAGTTAAAACTAATGGCTACAATGAGCCATAATGATTAAGGTTTGTAAAATGTATTTATAGCTTAGTTTGTCAGTTAATTATTTTTTCAGGATGAGCAATGTATTCTATATAATTGTTACTTTGTTAGAGATGCGTTGGAGATGTTGGAATTAATCGAAATACGTAATTCCCCGGAATACATCTTGTCAGATTATCAAAGGCGAATAGATCTAAATTCCTGGATTCATGATGGTAGATCGTCGTGAGCTTGATGCGGAATCTGTAGAACGATCTTTAACCGGACGATACCTTAGAAGCACGATCCGGGAAGTTTAGTGGCCTTCCTCAACCAAGCCTCCTTAGTCCACTCACGGGAAACCTCACGTATTCCTGATGGGGAGAATATGTGTGTATTTTCGGTCTTGGTGTGTTGGGGACCACAACCTCTAGGTTCTTTATATACTATGTTTAGCTAGGGTTCCCATAAAACCCTAATTAGGATTAGTATCTGGTTTCCACTCATTGGGCCCATATAAGATATTGAGTAGTCTTGGGCTCCATAATTTGACCACTTATAGTTAGCCCACTTTAACAAATAACTAATACAATTATTATCCCATAAACCACAGCCCACTTCACGTGGAACATATATTTCCAACAATCTCCCACTTGGGCTGCATGGTTTATGCAAATAATTATATCACAAAGTTCCTTAGGCGCGCATCCGAATGTTATTTGTACAATGACTATTCCTTAACAATCTTGTCCATCTCATGTATAGCAGTGGAACCAACGCGGCTTCAATCATGATATGATAATGATTAAACCACCATGATCACCACATTTATACACTCAATGACATAGATCAAATATGGATGAGTGGCATGAAAATTACATGTAATGTGATCTTGAACATGCCTATTTTCAACTGGTCCAACTTTAGTGAGATCAAAAGCACTTCATGCAAGGAAATTGCATAATATGAATAAACACCTTAAGGTTCAAAACAGAAACTGAAGAAAAACAAAAATCACTTTATTCTGCAGAGTCACAAATCAATGTCTATAGAACAAATCGAAATGACTCCCACTAAACCAAAGTATCATCCAGAATAACGCTCATATGAGCAGTGTGCTCATAAAATGCAGTAGGCGGTAATCCTTTGGTTAATGGGCCAGCTAGCATAGACTCTGTCCTAATATGTTCTATAGAAATCTGTCTATTTTGAACCCTCTCCTTAACAACCAGGTACTTGATATCGATAAACTTTGACTTTGTCGAACTCCTGTTGTTATTAGAGTACAACACTGTTGCATTATTGTCACAATAAATCTTCAATGGCCTCTCAATGTTGTTTACCACACGCGGCCCCGTGACAAAATTTCGCAGCCACAATCCATGATCAGATGCCTCATAACAAGCTATAAACTCTGCTCCCATGGTGGAAGGAGCTATAAGACGCTGCTTAGCAGACCTCCAAGAAATAGCCCCTCCAGCCAACATGAAGATATAGCCAAATATAGAGCGCATGCTATCTTGGCATCCAGCAAAATTAGAGTCAGAATACCCAATGACCTCCAGACTATCTGATCTCTGATAAGTAAGCATGTAATCCCTTGTTCTCTTTAAATAGCGCATCACACGCTTGACTGCCTTCCAATGATCCATGCCTGGATCCTTTGAGTATCTTCCCAGTACTCCCACTATGAAAGCTATATCGGGACGAGTACAAACTTGAGCATACATAAGACTCCCTATTGCAGATGAATAAGGAATCTTCTGCATTTCCGCTCTTTCTAGATTGTTTGTAGGGCATTGAGCGAGATTGAACTTGTCTCCTTTGGCTACTGGTGTATTTGCTGGGTTACAATCTTTCATGTTGAATCTACTCAAAACATTATTGATATAGCTCTTTTGTGATAATTTGAGAATACCTCGAGAGCGATCTCTCAGTATCTCAATACCCAATACAAAAGAGGCGTCACCAAGATCTTTCATTTCAAAATTCTTTGTTAGAAATTTCTTGGTTTCGTGCAGTAAGCCTATATCACTACTAGCGAGTAGAATGTCATCAACATATAACACCAGGAAAATAAACTTACTCCCACTGAACTTGTGATATACACAATCATCAACAAGATTAGTCTCAAAACCATATGAGCTAATAACTTTGTGAAATTTGTGATACCATTGACGGGAAGCTTGTTTGAGACCATAGATGGACTTCTTAAGTTTACAGACCATTTTCTTTGGATCTCCCACAACAAAGTTTTGTGGCTGAACCATATAAATCGTCTCATCAATGTCTCCATTGAGAAACACAGTCTTCACGTCCATCTGATGTAGCTCCAAATCAAAATGAGCCACTAGTGCCATTATTGTCCTAAAAGAGTCTTTCGCAGACACTGGAGAGAAAGTCTCTTTGTAGTCAATGCCTTCCTTTTGAGTAAAGCCCTGAGCGACTAGACGTGATCTAAATCTCTCAATCTTACCCTTAGAGTCCCTTTTGGTTTTAAATATCCATTTATTACCAACCGGAACTACTCGTTCAGGGCATTCAACGACATCCCAAACGTCATTGTCATACATGGACTTCATCTCTTCTTTCATGGCACTATTCCACTGTTCAAAGTTAGAACTACGCATGGCTTGAGCGAGGTTGATAGGATCATCCTCCATTAAGCCTATGCCATCCTCATGTTCTTGAAGAAAGACGACATAATCATCCGGAATCGCACTTCTTCTTTCTCTAGTGGATCTCCTAAGTGGCACTTCTTGAGGATGTTGATTTTGTTCCACTGGTGGTACAGGAGGAGGAATTTCATTGTTGTCTTGTTCCATAACTATGTCAGGACTAGTGATAGGTATGATAACCTGATCACTATCAATGACTTGTTCTTCCTCAAAGACAACATTCCTTATGTTTCCTTCCCCCCAAAACTCAATATCCTCAAGGAATCTCGCATTCCCCGTTTCAAAGAATGATCGTGAGGTGGGATTGTAAAATTTGTAGCCTCGAGAGTACTGCGGATAACCAAGAAAGTAGCAACTTACAGTCTTTGAGTCCAGCTTTCCTTCATGTGGCTTATAAGGCCTTGCCTCAGCTGGACAACCCCAAATGTGCAAGTGCCTAATGATAGGCTTTTTGCCTGTCCATAGCTCATAAGGGGTTTTAGTTACTACTTTGCTTGGTACCCTATTAAGGATGTATACAGCAGTCTTTAGAGCTTCCCCCCAAAGTGACTCCGGTAAGGAAGAATGACTAAGCATACTTCTTACCATGTCTTTAAGAGTACGATTGCGCCTTTCTGCAACGCCATTCATGCTAGGTGTTCCTGGAATGGTGTATTGAGGCACAATCCCACACTCTTTGAGGTAAAGCGCGAAGGGTCCTGGACGTTGTTCTCCGGATCCATCATATCGACCATAGTATTCTCCACCACAGTCCGATCTGACAGCCTTAATTTTCTTTCCAAGTTGAAGTTCAACTTCAGCCTTAAAAGACTTGAAAACATCCAAGGATTGCGACTTCTCATTTATCAGAAAGAGGTAACCATATCTAGAGTAATCGTCTATGAACGTGATAAAATATTTGTGACCGTTCCAAGATGCTGTAGGGAATGGACCACATATATCAGTATGAATGAGTTCTAAGACGTCTTGAGCTCTATTGGCACCCAATTTCTTAATGTTTGTTCTCTTACCCTTAATGCACTCAATGCAGACTTCAAAATCTGCTAAATCTAAGGGTTCAAGAATTCCATCAGACACAAGCCTCTGAATTCTCTGTTTGGAGATATGTCCTAACCGCTTGTGCCATAAAGCAGCAGAATTCTCATTAAATTTTCGCTTTGTACCTCGTGAACTTGTTTGGAGGATTTCATTATGGGAACTAATCACATCAAGCATGTATAGATTATCAATCAATGGACCGGTACCAATCAACACTGAATTTTGTGAGAGACTAAATTTATTATCTCCAAATGAACAAGAATAACCTGATTTGTCCAAATATGGAACCGAAATTAAATTCCGTCGAAATGACGGCACCACAAAAGTCTCAAACAAATCCAAGTGACATCCAGTCTTTAATTGTAATCTAAAAGTTCCGATAGCCTCCACTGCAACTTTATTGCCGTCCCCCACATAGATGAACTTTTCGTTCTTACTTGGTGGTCGGCTCCACAGGCAGCCCTACAAAGATACACTTATGTGAGTGGTAGCACTAGAATCCACCCACCAAGTATCCATAGGCACAAAAGCTGAATTAACTTCAGAACAAACTAAAGTAAGAAGCTCACCCTTCTTTTCACGCCAAACGGCATACTTGGGACACTCCTTCTTCATGTGCCCAGTCTTCTTACAGAAGTAGCAAGGAAACTCCTCAGTTTGCATCTTTGGTTTCTTTTGCTGAGAAGACTTTTCTGCAACATCCCTAGCTCTCTTCTTGATTTTGTTTTGAGAACTTGATGCTAAGTGAGCACTCTCAGTCCTATCCCGCGCTTGCCTCTCTTCCTCTTGCACACAGTGAGATATAAGCTCATTGAGAGACCACTTGTCTTTCTGAGTGTTATAGCTCACTTTGAATTGCCCAAAGTGTACAGGGAGAGAGATCAAAACCAAGTGTACGAGCAAATCTTCAGACAGCTCTAACTTTAGTGACTTGAGTTTTGATGCGAGATTAGACATCTCCATAATGTACTCCCTTATGTTCCCCTTGCCTTTATACTTCATGGAAACGAGCTTAGACAAAAGGTTACTTGCCTCTGATTTTTCATTCTTGGCAAAGTATTGCTCAATTTCCTCAAGGAACCCCTTAGCGCTCTCATTCTCAGTCATAGAGCCCCGAAACGCTTCTGGAATAGAGCGCTTCATGATCATCATACACATACGATTAGAGCGATCCCACTTTTCTATTTTAACCTCATTAAGGTTATCCGGAGTAGAAACAGGACGCTCCAACCGTAGTGCAAGATCCAAATCCATACAACCGAGAACAATTTCTACGGTTTCTTTCCAGATCTTAAAGTTTGTCCCATTCAATAGTGGAATATTGCTAATTTGAGCAGAAACATTGGAAGCAGAAGCTAAAGACACTGTAAAGCAAACAAGAAAAACACGCACTCATGTCAAACAAAATACATGAGAAGAAAATTCAGACTTTTAAGTTTTATTTCTGAAACCCATCTTAAGATACCAAATGCAACATTAACACTTAGTCTTTGGACAGAGAAATTAACTGCGAGCGGTACTCTTACTAAAATGATCAAATACTGATAATGAGTTCTGTCAAATAATAGTTTATCTTTGGACCAACTATCATTCACATGAAAATAAGCTTTACAATCATCACGTATTTATTATCAAGGTGCATCATCATTTAGCCAAATAGTATCTACCTTTGTGCCGAACACTATCCGCATAAACAACCACACACTATACATCCAAGTAATTTAATTTGATCAATTTTCACACTAGAGGTTACTTTGGCAACATAACGTAAAGAATCAAATCAATTTAAAATACTGGACCAATTGATTGATTACGTAAACCATGAATTTCCGTAACCGAAAGCAACAGAAGTTAATTAATTATAATTAACCCATCCTTGTTTCGTTTGATAACAATAATTCTATTTAATCAATGTAGAATTAAAATCGCCGATACCTAAGTTAATTCCAAGAGAAAAACATGTCGTAGGGAATTAAACCGGCACTCAAAGTTAATTCCATAATCACAATGCCGTGGGGAATAAAACGGCACCCAAGGTTCATTCAATAATTATCTTCCGTTGGTAATTAAACCGGCAAAAAAACTTAAAGGGCAGAATTATTACCGTAACTGCAAATTATAATTACCGAGCAAAGGGCAGAAGCCGGTTAATTACAGGATATCGCCGGCCCTCTCCCCGGGAAAAATTCCTCCCGGCCAATCCTTAATACCCCAACGCCGGCCCTAATGCCCCAACGTTGAGGTTCCAGAACGAGCAACACTATACCGTAGTGCATGATTTCTTACGAATGAAGGACAAAAAAAAAAAATGACCAATGCCATCCTCAGGGGGAAAACAACATAAGATTGAACTCTTTTGAATGTTCCAATCACAAGAAAAATAATCTTGCTTAAACAACTATACTAGCATGGAATATATATAGAATCATGCGAGAACTCAATATGGAGCATCATCCGAGGATATATGAGCATAATGAATATACAAAAAAAAACCCCAATAATCAAACAAAAGATGAATGACTCTGATACCACTTGTTGGAATTAATCGAAATACGTAATTCCCCGGAATACATCTTGTCAGATTATCAAAGGCGAATAGATCTAAATACCTGGATTCATGATGGTAGATCGTCGTGAGCTTGATGCGGAATCTGTAGAACGATCTTTAACCGGACGATACCTCAGAAGCATGATCCGGGAAGTTTAGTGGCCTTCCTCAACCAAGCCTCCTTAGTCCACACACGGGAAACCTCACGTATTCCTGATGGGGAGAATATGTGTGTATTTTCGGTCTTGGTGTGTTGCGGACCACAACCTCTAGGTTCTTTATATACTATGTTTAGCTAGGGTTCCCATAAAACCATAATTAGGATTAGTATCTGGTTTCCACTCATTGGGCCCATATAAAATATTGAGTAGTCTTGGGTAGGGGTGAACAAACACACCCGCAAACCGACCCACCCGTCCAACCCGACCCAACCCACCCGTATTTATCGCTAAAACGAAGGTTTTGGGTTGGGTGAAGGTTTTCTTTTGTACAACCCGCCTCTTTTGGGTTGGGTTTGGATTTTGGATTACACAACCCGTAGAACCCGACCCAACCCGTGTTCCAACTATTAGTATGAGTTCGTATCTAAAAAATATTTATGTCGTATATAGCAATACTTATGAGAAAATTAAGATATTTCGCCATGTTTTTCTATCATGGTCTCCCTAATCTAATGCATTCTTCGACTTAAAGTTTAGACATAAATTGAGTATAGTTATGATTCACGTAATCCTTTTTCTTGTGTACAATTTTAATAGAATAACATATTATGGATGCGTTTGTTTATAACCTTTTTAGCCTATTTTAACAAATATCGTGAAAAAAACTAGACATATGTTGAAGTAAATCACATTTTATTAAAATTCAAACAACAATTTTGAATTGTGATAGCTTTCACCTCGGTTTATTCGTTTGAAATTTTAATTAGTTATAAAATATTTTTATGATGTATAATAATTATATATTTTTATGTTGGGTTGGGTTTTTACTTAAAAATATCGCCAACCCGACCCAACCCAATTAGAAACAATCCGTAGGGTTTTAATTTTTTTGGGTGGGTTTGGGTTTGATAATTTCCAAACCGTAGTGCATGGATCGGGTGATTAAAATGGTTAAACCCGAACCACCCGACCCATGTACACCCCTAGTCTTGGGCTCCATAATTTGACCACTTATAATTAGCCCACTTTAACAAATAATTAATACAATTATTATCCCATAAACCACAGCCCACATCACGTGGAACATATATTTCCAACAGGAGATCATTGTACCAAATTTTTATAATGACTGAAACATAATTTTCCCCCCAAAATATCAGGACACAGGTGTATCGATTAACATACCTCTCCTTAGTCCCTAACCTAGGTACACTCCTGCCTAATCAGGTGTCAATCTACCATGAAGGTGATTGATTAGCTGTAATTAGTTTTGTTGATGATTGCTGACGGTTTCTTTTGACGGAAGTGTTAGTTAGTTGGCTAACAAATAGTTTATAGGTCTCAATCGTCTAACACTGGTGGACATTGGTTGATGCATTCCATAACTAGATCGAATTGATATAAGATCGGACAAAAAAATAAAAGAAAAATGAGGATCAAAACTTAGACCAAAAATATGTTTGGTTCATTTTGTTCATTTAATCCGATTCAAAATCAATTTTGATCCATTCTTTTTAATACTTAATATAATTCGTAAGTCCAAAATCGATTGAAATATATTCAATTCGATCCGATTTGGTCCGATTCGGTCCTGTTTCTGTGTGAACCGGATTGTGGCGTGGCCACCCCTAAACACAAAGGCCTTAGTTATTTAACTTTCACTAGAAGTGGACTAATTTAGCAATAAATTAAAATAAGAGAAGCAAAATAGCATCTTTCGCTATCTGCCGATTGCCTTCAGTTTGGAAGTTGTTCCGAGGCGAGCTGAAGTGAACCCCACCCTAAAAAATTCTCCACTCCTTCCAAATAAAACCTCCAATCCGCCGCCGACCACCGTCCTCCGCCGTCCTGGTTCGTCGCTTCATTGACTGATTCCTCGAGCTCCACCCTCCGTCGCCGCCTACGCGGCGTCCCCGCCTCCGCTACCCAGCTCCCGTTTACACTCCGGTCGCCCTCTCCTCTTTCCGCTGCTAATTAAATGCCGCGGTAATTAAATGCCGCCACTCCTTTCCGTTCGCCACGTTCTAGGAAAGTAAACTTCATTGGCTAAGTCTGATTACTGCAAAGATTGGTCTGTGAGCTTCCATTCTTGATGATGAACTTACAAAGCCACTGGCAACATATTCCTGAACTCAGAACTATTAGAACGAAACAAAGTTTTCTTTCATTGTTTAATCTCTCAATTCCCCTTCGAGTTAATTGAGGTTTTCTCACAAATTCCCCTTCATTGCTGTACATTTCAACCGAATGCCTAAAAGCCTTACATTTCCTGGAATGCTGTATCAGGGGAAGCACATTCATAACTGCTTAATCTAGGGTCTAATCGCCATCGGATCGACTGCGAGGAACACTTTCATTCTGTCCAGATGCACCGTCGCCTGGCGATATTTGCTTATAGTCGCAGCTTTCATTTCCCTACCACTCGAGTTACAGGTACATTACTATACACTTCTGCTGCTCGTCCCTTGAATCAGAAGAGTTTTGCTTTGGCTCTATGTCGGTTACTATCCTATACTCCACCTCACCACCGACGGCCCCCTGACCCTGACGACCCATCCAACCTGATGAGAGAAGATGGTGTCTCGGTTTGCTCCCGAATGTGGATCGAGAACTTCCGTGAACCGGACAAAACAGTCACCAACTTGACCTCTTATCTACGTCGGTTTGAGTTGTGGGTTCTAGCTTATCAGAAAGTTTGTGCTGATGAAATTGGGACCTATGTACCTCGTAGTGCTATTCAGAGGTCAGCATTGGAGGATTTGCTTGTGCTTAGAAATGCTGTTCTGGATGGTAGATTCAAGTGGGGGGCTAGGTTGGATTTCTTCATCAAATCTCCAAAGGATAAGACTGATTATGCCTCCTTGTCCAAGAGGAAGATCAAGGCGATTCTCACCACCACGCAGCCTGCAGCTTTCCAGGATAAGATAGTTCAGGAGGTTTTGTTCTTGATACTGGAGCCTGTTTATGAATCCAGATTTTCGCAGAAGTCATTTGCATTTCGACCCGGGAGGACTGCTCATACTGTGTTGAGGGTGATTAGGAGGAGTTTTGCAGGGTACTTATGGTACTTGAAGGGAGACTTGAGCACGGTTTTGGATGGAATGAAGGATAGCTTTGTAATAGGAGCATTGATGAGGGATGTGAGGGATAAGAAGATAGTTGATCTGGTCAAGTCTGCTTTGACCACACCGGTAATCAAAACTGCAGTAGAGCCACCAAAGAAGAAGACAAAGAGAAAGCACCAGAAGAAGAGGGTTCTGGCAGAGGATGAGCCAAAGCCGGATCCATATTGGCTAGACACATTTTTTGGGTTTGCACCAGAAGAAGCTGAGAAACAACCTTCATGGGGCCACTGTGGGATTCTTAGTCCTCTACTAGCTAACATTTGTCTAGACGAGTTGGATCGATGGGTGGAGGGTAAGATCAAGGATTACTATTCCCCTTCGAAGAGTGACGTGATATGGAATAACCCAGAAGGGGAAGCGGAACAAGGCAATACTTCTTGGCCAGAATTTGTGCCGACTAGTGGCCCTGATAAGACCAGGAAAATGGACTATGTTCGTTATGGTGGCCATATCTTGATCGGTGTCAGGGGTCCCAGAGCAGATGCAGCCACATTGAGAAAGCAGTTGGTCGAATTTGTCGATCAGAAGTACATGCTGAAGCTCGACAATGACAGTCTTCCAATTGAACACATAACAAAGGGGATCATGTTTCTCGACCATGTTCTATGCAGGAGAGTTGTGTACCCCACACTTAGATATACCGCGACAGGAGGCAAGATCATCAGCGAAAAGGGCGTGGGGACTCTTCTATCTGTCACTGCCAGCTTGAAGCAATGCATCAAGCAGTTTAGAAAGCTTCAGTTTTTGAAAGGAGATCGAGATCCGGACCCACAGCCTTGTTTTCGTATGTTCCATGCCACACAAGCTCATACCAATGCTCAGATGAACAAGTTCTTGTCGACCATGGTGGAGTGGTATAGGTATGCCGACAACAGAAAAAAGATCGTCAACTTCTGCTCCTACATTTTAAGAGGTTCGCTAGCAAAACTGTACGCTGCTAAGTACAAGCTCAGGTCGCGTGCTAAGGTGTACAAGATTGGTGCTCGGAATCTCAGTCGTCCTTTAAAAGAGAAGAAAGGGTCTTCGCCCGAGTACCATAATTTGCTGAGGATGGGGCTCGTGGAGTCCATCGATGGACTACAGTACACTCGAATGTCTCTCGTTCCTGAAACCGATTACTCCCCATTCCCAAATAACTGGAGGCCCGATCACGAGAAGGCTTTGCTCGAGTTCATAAGCCTCGACGATCCCCAGAGATTGGAGGATCAGCGGTCCCTGATTAGTGAACAAGGTCTGATCTCGCCTCAGGATTACATCTCGATGCTCGTGTGGAACTACAAGAGGAATGCTCTTCCCTTGGATCACCAGCTCTCCATTGCTTCAACAGTTAGCAACACAGAAAAAGAGCAAACTTTACTGTCTGGTACAGAAGATCAGGCGAGCACAGAAGAACAAATGGAGCATGGGACGACTAGGCTTATGGCTGCACAAATGTAAAACCGACGATCTTTTCCATCTTCAGCTGATGCAACTTGAGTAAGTGACTAGGACTGCCTGCTTGAGTTCCATTTTTTTTTTTTTTGTATATATGAACATGCTATTGAGTTTCAGGCAGACCACAGGAGGGTTCATTTCACTCTCAAAAGCTGTTATACAATGTGTTGTACTGCTAAATGCTATTAGTCTTTATGCTAGAAAGTCAGCCTGTGAGGCGGTGATAGCTAACCAATTTTGACCTTTCCAGCATTGAAATGAAAGAACCAGTTGCTTTCATTGAAGAGCAAAATGTGGTAGGCAGAGTCATACAAAATTTGTTTGACTAGAAACCCAGACGTAACCACAAGCATCCAGTTCGTGTGATTCCAAATCTTAGAAACCCCATTATCTATCCCATATGTAAACCGTCATATCATTCCGCCGAGCTTGTTATTGTTATTATTATCTCCTTTTCTCATTATAGTAATACCAATTCTAATGGAGTCTGCTTCTGCTACAGCTACTGCTAATCAGAGGGAGCTTCAAAGCTCAACCGCTGCTGCTACGGCGGACTCCAACAGAGGCCGCCAGGGCGTCAAATTCCATCTCCCAAAGCTCATTCACTACAAATGGTGGCTCCGCATAACCTGCTACATCTTCTTCCTCCTCACGGGTCAATCGGCGGCCACGCTCCTCGGCCGCCTCTACTACGACAAAGGCGGCAACAGCAAATGGATGGCCACTCTCGTCCAATCCGCCGGCTTCCCTCTTCTCCTCCCTCTCCTGCTCTACTTCCTCCGACAGAAACACCACCACCGCAGCGGGCGGAACCATCTCCGCCGCTGGCTGCCGCTGATCTACCTGGGTTTCGGCGTCCTCCTCACCGCCGACAACTTGATGTACTCCTACGGCCTCCTTTACCTCCCTGTCTCCACCTATTCCTTGCTCTGCGCTACCCAATTGGCCTTCAACGCCGTCTTCTCCTTCTTCCTCAACAACCAGAAGTTCACCCCGTTCATCCTCAACTCCCTCGTCCTCCTCACCGTCTCCGCCACCCTCCTAGCCGTCAATTCCGCCGACGACGACACCGCCTCCAGCGCCGCCAAGAACAAGTACGCAATCGGATTCCTCACCACCGTTGGAGCCTCCGCTGCGTACTCTCTTTACCTCTCCCTCATCCAGCTCACCTTCGACAACCTCGTACCGTATAAGGAGAATTCGACGGTGGACGAGGCAGAGGTGGAATTGCAGAACCACCACTCCTCCGCCGCCGCCGGAGTAAATTCTGCTGTCGACAACAACACCCTTCACACTCTGGACTCGGACCTGCCAGGAGGAGTGAGAGTTATGGCGAAGGCGGTGGTGGAGATGCAGATCTACCCATCGGCGGTGGCGACGGTCGGTTGTGTGGTGGGGATTTTTGCGAGCGGGGAGTGGAAGGAGGTGAAGGGGGAGATGAGGGGTTATACGGAGGGGAAAGCGGCGTACTTGTTGACGCTGATCTGGACGGCGGTGGCGTGGCAGGTGTCGTCGCTGGGGATGTTGGGGTTGGTGTTCGAGGTTTCGTCTCTGTTTTCGAACGTGATCAGCACTCTGGCGCTGCCGTTGGTTCCGGTGCTGGCAGTGGTGCTGTTCGGGGATAAGATGGACGGCGTGAAGGCGGTGGCGATGGTGCTGGCGGTGTGGGGGTTCGTCTCGTATGTTTATCAGCACTATCTGGATGATCGTTCCACGGCGGAGCGCACGGCGGCGGGCGGCGATGCGCGGGAATGTGGAAATGCGGATCGACGAGCCGAGATTTGTTAAATTAAAGACTCAAAAAGGAGGATACGGAGAGTTGATTGGGCTCAAAGGCAAAAGCCTCCAAATTTTACACGTGTATAAGCTATTTGCATTGGGAAATAGTTTAGTTACGAGAAAGGTCAGGTCATATTATCGAGATAAGAAAAAAGGATAAATTGCAAGTTTGGTCACTGAAATTACTAAAAAGTTTCATGTTTGCCACTCAAATTAGCTTATTCCATTCAACCGTTTAAGTTTGGTCACTCTACGTTAGTCTCCGTTAACTTTCGCTGATGTGGCAGTCAACTCTAATAGTTGACCATTAAATGTGTGACGTGGCAATTAAAAATTTATTAAAAAATAAAATTTAACTTTTTTATAATTTCCACCTCATTATAACAATAAATAAAATTAAAATAAAATTAAAATTATATTTTCCGTTCCCTTTGAGCTCGCCGTCACGGAGCGCCACCGCCTTCTCCGATTCCATATCTACGACTTGGGAAGCTGGAGTCTAACCATGTATAGAGCTTCGGATTAACCAAAGGACATATCTGGCCCATGTCGTGTAACATAAGATCTCCTTTAACCTCTCGCTCAACTGCAATGTCTATAGTTGAGACAAAAAGATTCAAACTTTTCTGCATATAAAGTCATAACAACTCTATAACCATGCGAACCAATAAGAAAAGCAACACAATCAAGCGTGGATGGCAAAATGTCGAGACCAATCTATTAATGGCCGTTCTCAGTTAATGTCTCCCCATACAACTGTCGCGAGAACGACACCGGCGACGGATTCAGGCGGCCGAGGCGGAAGGGGTGCAGCTTGGTCGCCGGCGCCGACAAGAGGAAATTAAAGGATTTAGAGTTAAGGATATCGTGTTTTTACCCGCGGATTGAGGTTTTGACCGCCACCTCCTTCTGCGCTTAGAAAAAAATAAAACCCCCTCAGTTTTGACTATGTACGAATCGAACGAATCCCACATCAAATCGCCCCCTTCTCCGCCGCATCTCCTACGGCGTGTTCCACCTTGACTGATCGATATTAGAGTAGTCAAAGAGTAAAGGAAATATCACATTGGTGGGAGGAAGAAAGTGCAAGTTGTTTTTAAGTTTGCTTTCCACTTTAGTTATTGGATAAAGTGGTTAGTGGGCTTTTGGAAAAAGTGTGGGCTATTTAATTCGACATATTAAATCGCACTACGCACTTAGCACTTGGCGAATGGCAGCTGCTACAGCCGAAGGAAAGCAGGCCTCCAACAGAACATCGTCCCACGTACCTGTGTCAGGATCTATTGGCTCTTTAACGTATGCATCCAACGGGAGCCCCATCGGTGTGGATGTAACAAACTGGTGCTTAGTACTCGGGACCCAACGGTCTCCCTAGATTCTCACATTCTCCTCATTCCCGATCCTCCATCTAAGTCTGCCACTCAACAGCTCATGCCATCCTGCGCAGTGAGGAGACTACGGCAAACGAAACTCGGGCGGTAACCAACAGTAGCATCTATAATTGGCGTCCGCTTATGGTACTTCGCTTTGAGAATTCTTTCTATCAAGGAGTCCGATCTCTTCATCAAATTCCACAGTTGTTTGGCTCACATAACCTTATTGAATTCTTTCAAATCCCTGAACCCCATTTCATCTTCCTCCTTGGGGCTGACCATTTCTCCCCTTCTTGGACAGTGGGCTCGTCTTTCCTCACCTTTCTGACCCTACTAGAAATTCATAATTAGGCTATGAATTCCGTCAATCGTACCATCAGGAAATTTAAACACCGACATCTCGTACGAGAATTGCGCCTGCGCCACAGACTTTATCAACACCTCCCGAGCCACCATAGAAATTTTGTGCTCTTTCCAACAGTTCAGCTTTTCCTTGGTTCTTTCCTTTATTTCCTCAAAGATCTCTTTCTTACGGTCGTGTGGTTTAGATCATTGGGCATCTCAGCCCTCTCAATTATGCCTTTCACAGTTTGCACCACATCGTCACCAACGGTAACCCAGTACTTTCGAAAGAAGAAAGCCCTTCATAGTTGACCGTTAAATGTATGACGTAACAATTAAATATAGAATACGTGCGAAAGCCACCGCTATACAGATATAGCTTAGGCATTTGTTTCCTGGCACATCGCAATGGTCGAGCCAACACAGGTTTGAACCAAAAATTTGGTATTGAGAAACGAAAAAACGTGAGAACGAATAGGTCTACAAGATTGGTTTAATCTAGAGGTGGCAAATAGATTGGATCCATGAATTGGTAGATTGGATCAAATGGATTGGTGGGTTATATGGATTTGATTAAATGGATAGGTGGATTAATGGATTGGATTTAAATGGATTGGTGGATTAATGGATTGGATGATATGGATTTGTGGATTGATCCATGATTCCAAATGACATCAAAATCTTGGACCAATATGTAAATTTGATAAGTTTAGGCACTAAAATGTCATAATGTAAAATTGAAGATACCAAGATGTAATTTTCCAATTATAATTTTCGTACAAAAAAAAATTTGGTACCAAAATGTAAAATATAAAAGTATAGGTAATAAAATATAATATGCCAATAATCAATAAATCCACCAATCCAATTGGATTTCAGATGAATTAGATTAGTTGGATATTTTAATGGATTGAATTAGTTGGGTATTTTAACAGATGTATTGAATTTGATTGGTGAATTGAATTAGAAGTTGCCACCTCTAGTTTAACCTGTCAAAAGTTTTACCATCTTCTTATTCATGGCACCACTGTCGAGCTTTTTACCCCAAGTCGGAGTCGTCAGTGTTCATTAGGAATGGCAATGGGGCAGGTCCGGGGCGGGTATCTCGATACCCATACCCGCCCCATGACAGGTTTGGTCCAGGTCGGGTAATTTATCACGGGGCGCGGGTCGGGGCAGGTCGACCCATTGGGTATGTAATTTATGTGAAAAACATTAGAAATATTCGTTCTTTTCATTGAAAGACCAAGAAAGAAACCATAATATGATAAAATGTAGTTAAATTATTGAAGAAATTGAGGTTTTCACTTATTTACAAATTTATTATAGCTAAAATATACTGTAATAAGAGGAAAATCTTAAGTAATTTAACTAATATTATATGTAATTTAGGCAAGAACGAGTCGAGAATGGGGCGGGTCAGGGCAGGTCGGGTTTGACCGGCCCCAAAACAGGTCAAACGGGCCGGGTAAATCGGGTCAGGTCAAAATTGCCATCCCTAGTGTTCATAGCTCTCTACTGGAAAATTCGTAGTTTGGGTTGGAATTGAAGTGTCTTTTTTTTTTTTACAAAAGATAATAATGTATATTGATTGGAAGAGAGATCATTACATCCTAGAGTTTAACCAGACCATAAAATCAAAGAAATCGACACGTAGTCGGGTACAATAAAAGGGTCTTTCTAGTCATCAAGTGGGCTACCTATTGCTATTCCGACTTACAAATCGAACAGTCAATCTCGCATACCATACCAAAGATAGCAAGACCTCTTAATGACGTTCATTTGGAATGTCACCTATGTGAGCATTTGGAGTGGTGCCGCTCTAACAAAAGTAAAGGTCAACTTTTGTATATGCTCATGAAACAGGATAAGCACATGGCCATAATAGTGCTACCCTTGTTGGTGGTTGTGTTTTAGAGAAGAGACGAGTACGTGTGTGGTGTCTCCGGTTCTAGCTTTGGATCTTGACTCCTAGGCTTAAGCCCGTCATTGATTCGCTATTAACTTTGAGATGCTTACACTAAGTAAAGGTTCAAATCGAAAAGATACCTTTATGTATGCGTTACTTGTTCAAGGCAGGTATTCTCGACTCTTATTGACTAAGTGGGGGATTGTTAGAGTAGTCAAAGAGTAAAGGAAATACCACATTGGTGGGAGAAAGAAAGTGCAAGTTGTTTTTAAGTTTGCTTTCCACTTTAGTTATTGGATAAAGTGGTTAGTGGGCTTTTGGAAAAAGTGTGGGCTATTTAATTGGACATATTAAATCGCACTACTCACTTAGTGGGCTTTTTGAATTTTTGGCTAATTAATTACCGGAATTATTTTAATTAATTAATCTGGATAATTATTTGATTTTGAGATTTGTGAAACGACGCAACCCTTCGGAAGGGAACTGCCGTTTTCACTATAAAAGTCTTCTGCATCCGAATTTCTGTTCCAACGTTATCTTCTTCTCTTCGTTTTTCCTTCTCCAAAAACACAAACACAGAAGTCAGAAAGGTTGCTGCTTTCAGACTTTGGTTGAAGGGACTCCTGGGGGTGGTTTGCCTAATTCCTACCAGCAACAAAGTAGTGGGGGCAAATAACACTCTAAGGAGAGTGATTAATCACGCCTTCAATCGTTCTCTTCCATACTGTTTCCCTGACACTTGGGGTTTGTATCGATGGGTAACAGCTTTGCAACAAGCTTTCGGTTAGATCCAGCGTCGTCATGGGCGTCGGTCTTGCTCAGGAAACCTAATACACGAGGCGAACTCTTCTCCTGACTGGAATTTCTAAGGGTTTCGCAAGGAGAATTGTCGGAGACGCCGTCCACACCCTCCGGCGACAGCCCTCGGCTTCTGAGCAAGCGCTAGATGACGACTGGCGAGTCAGGTTCCAATTTCTTCTTCGAACTTTTAATAGTTTTGAAAATGAGGTGGAAATTATAAAAAGTTTAAATTTTATTTTTTAATAATTTTTTAATTGACACGTCACACAATTGACGGTCAACTATTAGAGTTGACTGTCACATCAGCAAAAGATAGCGGAGACTAACGGAGAGTGACCAAATTTGAACTGTTGAACTAATTTTAGTGACCATGAAAAGAATAAACTAATTTGAGTGGCAAACGTGAAACTTTTTAGTAATTCCAGTGGCCAAACTTGCAATTTAGCCTAAGAAAAAATTAGGTCAAATGTACTGTTCAATGATGAAAGAGATTGTTTTGTTGTTATAAGAGCAACCCAATTATATCTACGATATGAATGACCATGTTATAATGCGAAATCTCGAATGACTGCTTTCGAGAATGTATATATGTTTATTATGATTTACAAATTAAGGAAGTAATTCAGTCCCCAACAGTGCAAAGGTTTCAATCGTTGGGGTCTCATTTTCAATAGGATCCCCACGCTTCATTAGCCAGACTGCTCTTGAAGAAGATACCGATGGTTAAAAAGAGAAATCCGATGCCAATAATATATGCCAATAATATGAAAACTCCAATGATCTAATTGTTAAATCAATTGAGCTTTGTAATAATTCATAGAAGAGAGAAAAAGAAAAAAGAGTTTGAATAACATCTTTTGCTGCGGTTTGAGCAGCAAACGGTGTCCCTCATCTTGTATCTACGAATCCACAAGTGCTTGAGGAAGACTAAGAGATCATCTGCCCCCATACGTATGTAATGGTCACAATAGTACTGTTGAAACTTGCTCGAATATGAATAACCCCTTTTACCATTCATAGAGGTCTGTTGGCATTCTAGTCTTCCTTAACCTTTCAGTGTCTACCTGAAATAGAAACCAGTACTTAAGAGTCGTGAATATCTGAAATAGGATGAACCACCCTCCGAGTATCTTTGTTTCGGAACAAAACAATTCGAAGAAACCATTTTGTCTTTTACATATTACTCTATCTCTATAGTCAATAATTTTCTTTGGGGAACTACTGAACTAAATCACTTGTGTGAGATGAATCGTTGAGAAAACGTAGCACACTGAAACGATGATCGTAACACCAAAAATTATTGTAGCATAACCCCTCACATTGCGTGAGATGAATCCTTTGTGTGACCATCCAGATAATTACCTGCACATTAGGGATGCCAACAAGTAGAGTCGAAGCCTGATAGTGCATATTCATTACCCTAACCAAAAAAGTTGGGATTTTACTCATACCCATACCTTTACAAGAATTGGGTAGAATATCCAAACCATACTCATACCCTAATCAATGTAGTTAAAATCGCGCTTCAAATCTTAAAAATTTACGTTTTTACGCTTTTATTTAACTAAAATGCTTCTATGGGGAATCATAATTTTTATAACTAATGTAGTTTAAAATACGCTTTAAAACTTAAAAGTTTACGACTTTACGCTTCTAGATCACCAAAACCATTTTAGGTAAAAACACGCATTTCACTACATTGTCCGAATGAGTTTCGCATCCACGATAGAGTATACAAAACACGCATCACTTTGTTTCCTGTACAACATAAAAAAGCTCCATACATGTTGACATAAAAAAGGATTATATACCCAGTGATTTAGTAGGCCCCGCTGTCGCTCAAGCGGCATGTAGGACTGAGGTTTCTGGGTTATCAAATAAAAAAGGTTATATAAAATCCAAAGTAATCAACCTAAATTCAGGCTCAATAATTTAAGCTTGAAAAAAATTGTATCAACAAGTAGGGCAGACAAATGAGCCGGACTTCTCTAAATTAAAATCCAACTCAACTAGTACACCCATAAAAAAATCATGACAAAAAATCTCATTGGATTTTGGAAGAAAATCCTGATCAAACCTCGCGAGGCATGGATATTCATAAGTTTGATGAATATAACCGCAAATAATTATTCCGGTCACCCATTTTTTTTGTTATTGAAAAAATTTCTACAATTTAATAACGCCGTTAACTTATTGTTTTACTTTTGGGATGTATATCATGTGAAAAATGGATAGGATTTTAGCCAAACCATACACCCAACCCACTAATTTGGAAAACGAATTTTACATACACCTAGCCCAAAATTCATCAGCATTAGGTAGAAAACGGTTTAAGCTAAGTAACCGCGAATACAAATTCGTTGAAACACAGAGCACAGCTCTTTTGTTGTACACTTGTACGGTAACCTCAGATTGGGCCGAAGCCTTGTTTTCTACACAACCAAACCCAGCTAGCTTGCCTTACCTTCCCACCTAAGCCCAGTTAACAAGCCCATAACGCTCGTCCAACTCGCCCCCTCTTGTTTTCCCTTCCCCGGTTCTCGTATATATTATACGCTCACTAAACCCTAATACCGAAACACCAGCAGCCGTCCTGCAGAGCAAATCCTAGGCCGAAGAAAGGGAGAAAGCCGCTCGCTCTGAAGGTAATTCTCCTCCGCCGCATCGCTTGTCGTCGAATTTCCAGCATCTGTATCATCGTTTATTCTTTCCCAGATCTGTCTCATTTCATCATCCTTCTGAATCTGCTCGTAGTTCGATTGAAAGATCGAGTATTTCTTTGATTCCCATTTGCTTGTTCTTTTTGGTTGTGAATCCTTCGGCTCGCGTTCTGAATTGAATGCCTTTGTTGTTGTTGTCGTTCGATTTGTTTTGTTGCAGGTGAGTCACCATGAAGCATAACAATGTTATCCCCAATGGCCATTTCAAGAAGCACTGGCAGAACTATGTCAAGACATGGTTCAATCAGCCAGCGAGGAAGACCCGCAGACGCGCTGGTCAGTTTTTTCCCCCTTACTTTTTTCGTTTAATTGCTTCTTATATCAGCAAGAAGCAGTTTAGGTGTGAAGTCAGAGTAGAATGAGGTGGTAATTTTTTGTTGGCCTGATGAGAAATTAAGGATTGTGCTGTGTTTCAGCTGTAGTAGTATAATTAGATGGGTGTATTTATTGTTGTGATGATCTTAAACGAGTTATTGTTGTTCATTGTGGTTATGTTGATTCATTTGCGGCTTGCTTGCTGTGTGCTACTATTTCCTTGCAGCTCGTCAGGAGAAGGCAGTGAAGATTTTCCCTAGGCCTACTGCTGGACCTCTTCGTCCCATTGTCCATGGGCAGACTTTGAAGTACAACATGAAGTTGAAGGCTGGAAGAGGTTTCACTCTGGAAGAGTTGAAGGTATAATTTGCTGTGACTTGTTTGTCATGGCTAATTTGTATGGAAGTGGGAAACCGGTGGCCGTGTGGGTTGTTTCAAGTTGGGTTTCTTAAGCTTTTTTCTCTTCCTGTGAATAGGCTGCTGGAATCCCGAAGAAGCTGGCACCAACCATTGGAATTGCAGTTGACCACCGCAGGAAAAATAGGTCTCTCGAGGGGATGCAGGTTAATGTTCAGAGGTTGAAGACTTACAAGGCCAAGCTTGTTGTCTTCCCAAGGCGTCCTGGCAAAGCTAAGGTAAATATGTTGTCTTTTTCAATCTTGAATCATGAATGGATCTGTATGTTTTGAATTACATCGAGTGGCTTATTTGGTATAACAAGTAAAGTTATTTGATTTCTTAGTGGTGCAAAATAGTGATGTGTGAAGTGTTCAGAGCATGGTTGTCATGCCGGTGGCATGCCACCCGGTTGAACCTGGTTCAACCTGTGCCGGTCACGAAACCGGCATGACACCACCGGTATGACCGGTATGATCGACTTACGCAGTTTAAGTAAAATGACATCATTTTAATAAATTTAATGAATAAAAATAATAATTTATTATTCATTTTATGAATGTAATAGTTAAAAGTTGATGATATTTATTGGATTGTAACTAAATTGTCACAAATATGTTTTATATATGACTAAATACATTAGATATTAATTGTTTTCACATTTTTTTATACCGGCATGAACCGGTACAAACTGGTTATACCACCGGTCGTACCATTCCACTTGCTAAACCGGCACAACGGTATAAACCGGTTTGACAACCTTGGTTCAGAGCGACCACCTTTTTTTATGCAATCATGATACCACTCTGCTGCATTCTGGAACCTATTTTATAGAGTTGTTTATTCATTAACAACATATCAGCATGTTCTGTTTAAATTTTTGGATTCCTAATGTTTTTTTCAGTAAGCATTATGAACGCTGAAATCTTACCAACTTGTCTTCACAGGCTGGTGATTCTGCTCCCGAGGAAATGGCAACCGCGACTCAAGTCCAGGGTGAGTTCATGCCTATTGCACGTGAGACTCCATCGGTCGAGCTTGTCAAGGTTACTGGCGACATGAAGTCATTCAAGGCCTATGATAAGCTCAGACTAGAGCGTACCAACCAGCGCCACTATGGTGCTAGGCTGAAGAAGGCCGAGGAGGCTGCCAAGGAAGACAAAAAGTAAAAAAGAGAACAGTGTTGTGATCTCCCTTTTGGTATTCCATTTTAGCAGTCAGTTTTCCGAGGTAGAGACCGTTATGGATTCTGTTTGGAAAAGTTGTTGAATCTGTGTTTGCCTTGCTCATACATTGTCGTTGGATTAGTAAGGAGATTTTGCAATGTGGAATGGATGTTTTGTTTCCCTAAGAATGCTTTATGCTTTATATGAAATATGAATGGAGACTGGAGCTACCTACGATGAATTAGTCCGTTGGTTTACTGATTTACATTTGGTTTTAAAGATGCCTTCTAGAGGAAAATTGAGGGTTTTAGGTAGGGTTTCAATTAACCCTTAATCAACGTACGTTTTTGTGAATGTGGTAATTGAACACCATTAGTGCTGATGTACATGGAACATGTTTTGGGTATCTTGTTTTAGCCATTTGGGATAGTGTGTCTGCCAATCGATAAGCACTCTGTGTGACTGTGTCTCTGTCACTTTAGAGTTTAGACGAGAACCAACTAGGTAAACTGAACAAGCAATGAATTTGGATGATGGGTTGATATCTAGAAGTGAGTGGAGGAATCAAGCGGAGGTAATAGACTGTGACAATATTATTATCTACTCTCTTTGCCTTCTCCTTCGTTGCTCTCGAGATGATCTGTTGTTCACCGTCTGGAAAGACCTACATGTTCGCCGGAAGGAAATATCGGTGGTTCAGAGCAGACTGAGACTCTTGATCATGGCGGAAGAAGAGCATCCACCTCACCCCACCAAGCTGGCTCCTTCTGCTTCTTCTTGTACTGTTTTTTTGAAGAGGTTAGAAGTTTCAAGAAAAGAGTATTTTTGAGTAAGAAATTCGGATTTTTGAAGCGATTCCATTGGTGCATTATGTTGTTAGTGGTTCTTTCCCCCGCCATTGTATAGTTCCGGACTTGAAAGAGAGAACAGGAGTTGCAAAGGCTCTATAGTGGCTCTGTTTCCCCTGTTTTTGGCTTCTCTAGTTGAATAAAATCCTTGTAATGGATGCACATAATTAGTACAGACAGGTTGAAATTCTTCTGTTATTAGATGAATTTGCCATGACCAACTGATAGACAGCTACATCATTGTTGAATTTGCCTGTTCATATCATTGGTTTGCTTGATGGGTTGATCAGTTGGAGCTGGATGGATCATCAAGAGAGGAAATGACACACATTTACTATTTGATGACTAATGTACAGAGATCAAAAGAGCCATAGCCCACTGAAATCACTTCACCAATCTCTCTTCAGAATTCATGACTTTCCTTTCCTGCAATCCGACTATGGTGCTTAGACCCGCTTCAGCCTCTAAGTCATGAAGGTGTGTAGCATGATCTCCTTTTAGTAGTGAACAATGACTTGGTTTAAAGGTACAACCACTAGGTTTCATGTTCAAATTCCTTGAACGATAAAAAGCACAAACAAATCTGTATCAAGAATAAAAAATAAAAAATAAAATCCCAGCATATTCTTTGTATTTTGCTTTAAAAAGGCCTTCAAGGGGAGAAGGCAGATTCCAGATTGGTAAATGGTTAAGTTAGGGGGTCTGCAATGGGCCTTTTTTTCTTTCTGGGCTTGTGGCTAATTCCTCCTTGGTCTTTTTAGCCAATCCGACCACACTGTCGTTGTAGACTTGTAGTAGACTAGTAGTTATTTAAGATTTGTTTTACAATGAGTTAAGCAGCCTTTGATTAACCATGGGGTTAATAATCAGATAAGATAATTTAATTTGTTTCCGCAAAGAGCTTTAATCAAAGAACAAATACCTTACTTATTGCATATAAAATGAAAAAAAGTAAAAAGAAGAATAAATACCTTAATTTTCTTTCACTAATCAAGCAAAGAGATTAATCTGGAGTTTAAGGAAAGAATTAAGTTGTTAATTAAATAATATTTCCTCCCGTTCTATAAATGCAATGCATATAGAACATAGAAGTGGATCTCATTTCTTGATTAAGACTACTTGACAATTCTTTCTAAAAAAAAAAAAAAAAATTCCATACAACTCCCAAGCCTTCCATTAGCCCAGAAACTGAAAGGATTGCAGAGCAGGTTCTAGCTACATGTACGAGTGGCCAAGTATGTATACGTCTTATATTACTTTGCTTGTAATTTCGATTTCTCATATGTGTTAAAATTTTGTTTTGGGTTTTCAACAACATAAATAAGACAAACTTTTGTGGATAATCCTCATCACCCAAAAAGCTGTAACTACAATCACCGTAAAAATAATAATACACAATTAAATGAAGATTTCATAATCCGGTGTCATGATGTCAATTCGAGTAATGAAGCGAAGTTGAAAAATAGATCTTATTATCTAATTTCCTTTGTGTATAGTATATTTTTCCTCGAGAAATGTCAAGAACATAGTTAGAAAGAACCACTACCCACAATCCCTTCCCATCCCACTTACAAGCCAACCAACAAAGTCAAAAGAAACTAACTCTAATCGGGACAGCAGCAGGGCTTTACGTGCCACTCTATGAGCAACCCAGTTAACAGTCCGCGGAACTGCCCTAAATACTATACAAAGAGAACAAGACTCAGGAAGATAACAACAATCTCGAAGAATGGGGCCACCAATCGAATCCTCCACCAATCGAAGCTTGAGCTGACGGATGACCACTTCTGCATCGCCTTCAGTGATAACCGGAGACAAACTTCTAGAAGTTGCAAGAGAGATTGCATCCCTGGCTGCAAGGAGTTCTGCAAGATAAGGATCCGAGATACCATAATGCTGAGCACCACGGGAAGAAGCACATGCCCATCCAAGCCGCGGACAACCAGGCCAGACGAGGAGTCTGCACTTTGGAGAGCAGCATCAAAGATAATCTTCAAAAGTCTTGAGGCGGACAATCCCAAAGAAAAGGTCTAGCAGAGGCAGGAGCACGAGGAAGGGGAGACGAGTCAGGCTGGGCAGAGAGAACCTCGCTAATTTGGAAAGAGAATTGGTGGGCTAACGAACGGACATGAGGCTGGGTATTTTCAAATACCACTTTATTTCTTGATTTCCATATTCTCCACAGGAGGCACACTATCTGGATAATATGAGTTTGGGACTGCTCATCTAGCATAATTTTACGCCACTGCACTGCAACAAAGAATCTTTAACAACAACAAGTTTTGGTCACCAATATTATGACCTTTCCATGACATTTAGTAACGACATGTGGCCTTGGCTCTAGGCTAGGGTTGGCCATGCGGGTGGTTTAGTTTGCACTTTAAAATGGTCACAAATACTCTCAAACTAGATGTATTTTGAGCAGTTACGAAGTTCGTCACTAAAGGTAACTTCAGGAGAAATTTTTTGATACATTATTGTCACTAAAAATCTCACACAAACATGTCGTTGTAATATCATAATATTGCCGGCCGCCTCATGTCCCGTATACAACAGTTTACTGTGTTAGTGATCGACCACCATATTTATGGCCACTAATGTATAGTACCCGACTCCGTGGAATAACCATGGAATGGTCACAAATAAATTGAGAATTGAGAAAACAACGTTTTAATAATTTTATTTCATTTATCTACTAACAATGATCTTAATTTCCAGGATCAAATTCTGAAACACTGCTACAAAATCTTCCAAAATATGTGTTTGTGTTTGTTTAATTTCTCCTTTATGTACTCATCGTTTCTAATCTGGGTCTTCTTTTATCTTATCCAGGATATACCCATCATGAGCAACAATAGCTGCAGCTCCCATTCTGCTCTCGTCTACATAAGCGTAGCGGAACTGCCCATCAAGCTGCCTGGCGTCAATTACTTCTCCTGGGCGCGGCAGTTTCATAGCCTTGTAGTTGGTCACGGATTGTTTGGTTACATCGACGGTACTAGCCTTCCTCCAACCGACGATGTTACCTCGGCCGCCTTCCAACACTGGATCCGTCAGGACCAGCTTCTCTTTCACGCAATCTTGGCGTCGGTTCAAGAAGAAACCGTCGCCCCCTTGATCCTGACATCTCCGTCTGCTCGCGATGCTTGGCTGATCTTGAAGCGCCTCTACGCCAGGAGCTCACAATCTCGTGTCAATGAACTCAAGGAGAAGCTGTCGCGTCTGGCTCGAGGGAAGGATGAATCCGTCCTCGAGTTCATGACTTCGTTGAAGCGGATCGCTAACGATCTGTTCATCATTGGCCACCCTATCGACGAATCTCAGCTTGTTCTCCGTGCCCTCGATGGTGTTGGTGTCGAGTTCAAAGACTTGGTTGCTGCCATTCGTGCTAGAGACACTCCGATTTCATTTTTAGAATTGTTCGAGGAACTCGTCGAATTTGAAACGTTTCTACGACGGCGACAGGACATGGGTAATGATAGTCTGGCTGTTGCTCCTGTTGTTGTTTGTCAGTACTGTGACCAACCAGGTCATTCTGCTAAGACTTGCCATCGCATCATCAATCCGCCTCAACGCTTTCTCACCACCACCACCACGAACCCTAATGGCTCTTCTTCCTCGTGGTTGTTTGATTCTGCCGCCACTCAACAAATTACCAATGCTCTCAGGAACATGTCCTTTAGTCAGTTCTACGAGAATCAAAACTTCGTAATCAATGGTGATGGTTCAGGTTTGTCAAATCACTAAGTATCACACCAGTTTTATTTATCTTATTTATTAAATTACCCAATCACAACGCTTTTTTTTTGAAACCAGCGTCGATTTAACTACCCCCATACCCACCCATCTTACCGTTGACACGATCTGACACCTTTCTCTCTTTTCCCGACGGACAGATACCGTCACTAGTTTTCTATTGAGCATTTACTGACGGGTTTTTGGATCAATGATGCTATAATCTTCTTTAAATATTTTTTTTTTGTGTGTGTCTTTTTCGAATTGCACTTCTGCTCTCTCTAATATTCGTTACTAAACACCATATTTAAATGCAGAAATGAATTTCATAAGAGGAACTGTTATGATGATCGTACTGCTGCTTCAACCGATTGTCTTTCTATTCAAGCTTTTGTTTGGAAGGAGAGCTCTTGATGCCTCTCAACAACTACAGGCTATCGACCATATTCAGCCATTTTTCCTGCTACAGTGGCTGATTCAGAAGATCATGTAGTAAATGATGTCTCAAACAATAACAACAATTCTCAACAATCAGATGCTACTGGCTCTGCTTCTTCTCCTTCCACACATCCTGCTGGTTCTAATTATGGATATGATCAATATGATGATTCTATTTTGGCTCCCCTCCCGGTCGCGAAGTACGAGGTGTTTTTGAGCTTCAGAGGGCCGGACACTCGCAACCAATTTACTGACATCCTTTATCGTTTTCTCGTGCATTTAAAAGTCCGTACATTTAGGGACGATGACGAGCTACGAAAGGGAGAAGGTATATGGTCGAACCTTGTTAAAGCTATTAGGCAGTCCAAAATTCATATTCCAGTATTGTCGAAGAATTATGCCCATAGCAAATGGTGTCTTATGGAGCTCGCCGAAATCAACAAATGCCTAAAGGAAGAAAAAGGGCACATCATACTCCCCATTTTCTATATGATGGACCCTAGAGATATACGCCATCAAACTGGGCCTTATCAAAGCGCATTTCAGCAACACGAGAAAAACTTTGATGCAAAAACCGTGCAGGAGTGGAGAGATGCTTTGAATGAAATCGGAGCTCTAAAAGGATGGCACGTCAAGAGTAAAGACGAGTACGAAACTCTACCTAGCTTTTTATTAATTACCAAATTAATTACTCTAATTATACTTGAAATCATTTTTTGGTGCTTAATTCCTCCAGTTCGGACCCGATCATTAAGTCAATTACTTAAGAAGTATCTTAAATCCATTTCGGTCACTAGATCAATCTTTCATTTTGTAAGTCAGTAGATCAATCAAGAGAGAACGAAGGGGAATAACCCTAAAGAATATTAATTTTTTTTCATGATATATACAACGGTTTTTTTGGATAATTGGAAAAAATCAGAAGTCCCTGTGAAAAATGTTCAAAGTCGAACTTGTTAAATTCTAAATAAAAATTTTAATTTTATTTTCAAAACTCGTGATTAATATCTCCATGTGAGGGTTGTAAAGCTAATAAAAAGAAAGCAAGAGATCGAAACAAAAAGGAAACTAAGAAAATTAAATTTCTTTTGGAAAACCCAAAGTTCTTGAATTAGATAATTAAACCCAATACCTAATATTAGAAAGGTAAAACTTACTAAACAGCAAACTACCAATAAAATGTTTGTCAATTATATGTCACAACTTGGCACATGATTTCCAAGGTGACTGCTGTTTAATATCCATACTTGGAAATGAAGTCCAAATTTCACAATTTCATGGAATCTCATGAAACATCAATTTAAAAATTATAGAACTGATTTCTTAATTGAATCGATATATGTCTCATTGTTTAGTTACTCATTTGTCACTTTTCTCTTATAATGAGATTACAATAGTCACAAATAATATTTAAATTTACAGGCAGGGAGCTGTATCGGACTGTGTCTCTGATGTTGTATGGTACCATCTAAGCAAAAATGACAATTTTTTGGATACCGATGATGAGTTGGTTGGAATTGAAGATACTGTAAAAGCAATTGTAGACAAATTGAGCTTAGACTCTGGAGGTGTGGTAATGGTTGGTCTTCATGGATTAGGTGGTATTGGCAAGACCACTACTGCAAGAGCTGTCTATAGCAAGATTTCTGCTCACTTTGATCGACATAGTTTTTTGGAAAATATACGAGAAACACAAGCGCAAAAGGTTGGTGTCGTCAGTTTGCAAAATAAGCTAATCTCTAATATTATGAGAACAGACTCTGTTGGATCGATTGATAATGTTGATGAAGGAAGGAGAATCATACGAGATAGAGTTTCTCAGTTCAAAGCTCTTATCATTCTTGATGACGTGGATGAGAAATTTAAGTTCGAAGACATTTTAGGAAATGCTGGGAATTTTGCTTCTGGAAGTAGATTCATAATCACATCCAGAAACAAGAAACTCTTGAGTACCTTCAATGAAAGCCAATGCAAGTTGTATGAAGTTCGAGAAATGAGTCCAGAACTTTCACTTCAACTCTTCTGCAAGCACGCATTCAAAACCGATTCTCCTCCTCAAGATTTCACAATTTTGTCGGAAAAAATTGTATCGACTGCAGGTGGACTTCCATTAACACTTAAAGTTTTAGGATCGCTTTTGTTTCGAGAAGAAAAATCAGTTTGGGAGGATAAATTGTCAATGCGGGAAAAAGCTCCCCAGCAAGAGGTAAAAAAGAGACTAAAGATAAGCTATGATGTGTTGGAATACGAGACCAAACAAATATTTTTGGACATCGCTTGTTTCTTTATCGGCATGGAAAGGAAAATAGCTTGTTATTACTGGAGTGACTGTAAATTTCATCCGGTGAGTAGTATTAATACCCTACTCCAGAGGTCCATTCTGAAAATTGGGGATGGCGATAAATTTCAAATGCACGATCAAATGAGAGATATGGGGAAAGCTATCGTGTATGAGGAAAATATAGAAGAACCCTGGATGAGGAGCAGAGTAATGGATGATGAGGAAGGTCTGAAGCTATTGCACAACAATAAGGTATTTTCCAAATGTCTCTTGGTTTAATTTCAAATTTTACGAGTTTTAACTTTTATAGTTCCAATTCCATATGGTTATCATGAACTTTATTCATAAGATAGATTAAGACGAAATCCATCCTTTGTCTACTCAGGGATCAATGCAAACTAAGGCATTAAGAGCATATTATCCATGTGTTTTTTTGGGAGGGCTGAAACCCGACCAATTTCTGAACTTATCAGAGTTAAGATATTTCGAAGCAGAGGGCACCGAGTTCAGTGGAAACTTCAACAATGTAGTTCCAAACATTAGAAGGTTGCGCTTGCATTCACACTACAATCATGGTCATAACCCAAGAAATTTTCATATGAGGAATCTAGTGATTCTTGATCTCGCAAGATCCATTTTCTTAGATCGTGATTGGGGAGGTTGGAGGCAAATAAAGGTAATGCTTAATTGTAAAATTCAACTTAATTACTTCTTGTTGTTTTTCTTCTTCTTCTTCTTCTTATACGTGCGTATGATAATTACACATTGCAGAAGGCAAACAAGCTAAAAGTTTTGGATCTTTCCGGTTGTGGAACCTTACCAACAAAACTTCATGATTTTCCTGAATCCGGGAGCCTAGAAATGCTAAATCTTTCTGGCTTCAGAAGCAAGAAGCTGAATATCGAGAATTTGTGGAACCTGAAATTGCTAAATCTGAACGGATGTGAAGTAAAAATGGTAATTGGGGGAACCATTGGAATGCTGAAGTGCCTAGAAGAGCTTGATCTCACCAACCTCCAATGTGACAATTGGAAGGAATTGGTTGTTGATATTGGTGAATTGCAATCTATAAAGGTCTTGAAAACTATTGGGATAAAGCGTATTCGCTGGTACATGGAGTCAACTACCGAAGAAGAAGAAGAAGATGATGATAAATATGAAGAGAAGAGTGAAGGAGAAGGAATTCTCGATGACGAGGATGAAGAAGAAGTTGAAGAAGGAGGAGAAGAAGATGATGATGAAGAGGAGAGTGAAAAAGAAGGAATTTTCGATGACGAGGATCAAGAAGAAGATGGAGGAGAAAAGGGAGAAGAAGTCTACTATCAAAGAAGAGGAGGAGGAGAAGAAACGGAGGATGAGAAAGATGGAGAAGGAATTCCTGATGACGAGGAACCAAATTACACGAAAGAAGGCAAAAGTAATTATAAGGGTGAGCAGGGAGGAGAGGGGAATGAAAAACTTCCTCCAAGTTTGAAGGTGCTACACACTTCATTCCGAGTTGCCAATCTCTCGGATCTAGTGGAGTTAGAGGAGTTAGTCGTCCAAAATTGTGATTTCGGACTCGAGATCCCTCCCGTAGGAGACGTGGGCACAAATTAGTAATATTAATCCGCAAGTTGCTTAAATTTCGGATTTACTGTTCATTACGAATTTTTAGGGGAAAACTCAAGTTAACTACTTTGGGCTGGTTGAGTATTAAGCCCAACGGTTGGCCTAGCTAGCTCTTTCTTCCCTTCTCACCTCTCGAGTCTCGACTGCTCTTTCCCTTTGTCCTTTTTTTCTCCCATTTAATCCTCAATTCACTACATGTATGAATTAAAAAGAGAAAAATTCCATCTAAAACATTGGATTGAACTTTTATAGGGTTTCCACAATTGATTATCCAACATCATTCATATCACAATTAACGAAAATCACATGGGTGTTTTAATTACTTTAAAAAATTTAATCGAATGTTATAATTTTCATAACTTGATTTTATTATTAGACCATACATTATGAAAGATTTACTAATATCAATTACGTAAATTATAAATACATTACGTAATGCTTACAGAGAGCTAATTTTCGTAATGACTGAGACGCTACATAAAGTTTATTAAGGGATAGTAATTTATTATGTATTAATTAAAAATAAAATATAAATTTTCCGTAATATAAGTTTGAAGAAAAAATCCTAATTTTTAACTAAACTGTTGATCGAATATGATACTTTTTGTAACTTAATTCACTTTTATTAAATACAAATCCTTTGGTATTACCTACTATATTCTTGATCTCATCAATTTGAATTACGCAAGGGCTCCGTAAGATAAGTAATTTTTACGTAATATTTTAATAAAATATGAGACGTATCCGTAACTTGATTTTATTATTAGACCACCCATTATGAAAATTCTGAATAACACCATTCTACAACAATTACGTAAATTAGTTACGTAAAACTTATAACATGATAGTTATTTCTTATGTATCAATTAAGCAAACGTATTATGTAAGTCTTTCGTAATAATTAAGATACTACACAGAGTTTATGTAAGTACCTTACCCAAAAAATATGGTGAATAATTTGATTTCAACTAAATCATTAAATGAGTGAATGAAATTCATTATTTTTTTCTTTGCATAGAAATTCAATTATTATTTTTATTAATTTATTACCGCTGCGAAGCGCGGGTCAAAAAACTAGTGCTAATAATGGCACCGCTAGTACGTGGTGGAAGGTATCCAAATTGAAGTCTCTGACGCTCCATAAATCAAAGTTTGTCGTGGCAGTAGAGAACAACAGTAGCAGCAGTACTACTAATAGTAGTACTGTTGCAACAGCTTCCTCATCATCCAGGGTGTTGCTGCCGTCGTCTCTGTCGAAGCTCCACATTTCGAACTGTTCGATGCTGGAGTGGCTACCGAACTTGGAGAATCTAGAAAACCTGACCGAATTCACTGCCAAGGCGTGCAGCAATCTACGACGGATCCAAGGCCTCGAGCAGAAATTCGAAAAGTTGCACAAGTTAGAGATAACATCTTGCCGTGGTCTCCGAGAATCCACATTCGGCGGTGATAAAAACATCGGCCCTCGGGAGTTGTGCATCCGCAAGTCTGGCGGCGGCATACCTCATTTGTCGAACTTCCCCGGGCTTACGGCCTTGGAAATCGGGGATATAGTTATTGCCGACCGTGATTCTGAGCTGCAGGTATCGATATTCCGTCACAATAGACAGTAAAGTTTCGTCGCTAAAAATAAAAATTATTTGATATTTGGTTGCGTAGGATTTGGTATCGCGCATTGAGGGGATTGCCGGGCTGGCAAATTTGGAGCAACTGAGGCTGTTTGAGTTGCCAACGTTAGAGAGGCTTCCTTCACTCTCCAAGCTACGGAAGCTGTCGAAGTTAGCCATCCATGATCTGCCGAAACTGCGCGAGATCCAGGGCCTTGCTGACCTGAAGTCTTTGGAGCGATTGATGCTCGCCGGTTGCAAATCTCTAGAGAAGTTGATACTGCCGCCTGCAGCTGATCGTTGTTTGAAGGAAATCGATATTCGAGGATGTAAGAGCTTGCGTTCTGCTGATCTCTCTATTCTCAAGGCTAATTATCTGCCTGGTGAAGTGCACATCCAATGGCCGCATGAGCTGTACAAATCTGATGATGCACCGGCGATTTTCCCAGACGAGACTTATACGTCAGGTTGCACAATACAGTAGTACGCACGTGCACAAATAGATCCTGCATCTCATTCTCACATATATATACATATATATATAAGCTTAATTGGTAATTAGCCTTCTCAATCAAATCTTATTAGCTATAGTATTAGTTCTTTTCGACGTCAAATGATGACGAGACTAATTAACGACCTTCTTTTCTCCATTTCTTATTCATATACAGGTGTTGCTTATGAGTATGAAGGTCAAACCCAGTAGGACCTTCTTCTTCTCCGATGATGAAGAAGTTGTTGGGATCAAGGGTGGTTTCCATTATGTGAATTCGCATAAACAATAAGACTAATGTAACATGTTACAGTGGTTGAAATATAGTAGTGTTTTTTTTTTTTTTTTACAAAGGTGATATATATATGTTTATTTTTATAGTTGAGTACTATTTAAGAGATTCGAATATGTGATTTCTGGATTTGAAATTGGTGATATTACCACTAAATCAAGTTATTGTTGAAAATCATGTGATTGTTATATTCCTTCACTTTTCTACCGAGGCTTTTAGGTGGGGGAGAGTGAAGAGATTAATAATCGGAGGAGATAGAAGATGACATACCCTAAACATTTTTTTTATAGTTATTTTTATTCTTTTATGTTATAAATTAAAAAATAATGTTTAAAACTATTAGGTTTTTTTATTACTCAGGAACCTCAGCCTCATGTACCATTTTGTGACAGCGGGTCCTATTAAATCTGGAGGCCATCTACAATCAAATTCGACGCCGATTGGGCTTCGCTCCCAACAGTCTTGTACTTCCGGGAACACCAACGAGCCTCGCTTGAATTCGAACCTGGTATTTGCAACTCTCAAACATTCACTGTCGCGGCAGTTTTACTGTTATACTATCTTATCTTTGGTAAAACTATTAGGTTTTGAAACACCTGCACCTATGTAAGATTCCCTTAACTTTGGTGCTAACTTTAACGGAAAGGGTTAATAAATTGTATTTCAAAGGTTAGAATCTTATTTTTTACAAAATAAAGATTTGAATATTATTTTGTACATAATAAAAGATTTGATTCTTAAATTATTTAGTCCAAACTTTTGCTGATATAGGTTAAAACTCAGCATCCTAGTTAGTATCCAGGTTAGCATCATTTGCCACTTCAGAATATACGTTACTGTGTCGGGTAAAAACCCATATTGGCATGGGTCAGGTAAGGTAATATCTAATGACACAGGTTTAAATTGCTATCCCCTACTCCACCACTTTGAGAACACTTGAAAAATAGTGTTTTTATGCCTTTTTGTTAACAACAATTCCTCTATTCCGGTGCATTTCCAGTCAATCTTCTATGGTTGTGGGTTATATTTGTTCAAATTTGACCTTCATGCATGTCTAAATAAAACAATGGATACTCTTATAAGAAGAAAAAAAGTTATAGGTATAATATGCTCTTTTATTATGACGTTTTATCAAACATGCCCTGTACTTTGACAAAATTATCAAACATGCCCTTATGCTAAAATTTTTATTGAAAAAATCGTCTATCATGGTTGAACTGAGATTTAGACGACCCGACATCGCCAAATGTGATGGAAAATATCAATTTTGTCCCCCATTTTATTTCTCTGGGTCTCTTGAAAGTGAAATTATTTGAATCATTTGGCTATACAAAAGAACCAAAAAAATTCTAAAGTGAAATTATTAGGGATATTTTAGACATTTGAGTCGCCTAAACCAAAGTTCAGTGTTGGTTGACAGTTTTTGGATGAAAATTTTAACAAAAGTGCATGTTTGATAATTTTTACAAAATACAGGAGCATGTTTGATGTAAGAAATAATAAATGGGCATGTTTGATAAAACATCATAGTAGAGTAGTATATTATACCTATATAAAAAAATATACCTTACTTATTATTATATACATGAAAGACGAAAAGAACAGTACTTTAACCCTTCATTCCTTTTCTTTTCTATATATAGAAGAACCTAAAGCTTCCTTCAAAACCAAGCAAGAGATCACTCTGTTTTGAATTCGAGAATCCAAAGATAATCTTGTTAACTAAGCATTGTGTTATCCCCTTCTATAAATACACCTACAATGATATGTCCCATTGGAAGGCAGATAGGTTTCCCCATCGAGAGAGTACCTCGTATAGAAAGACCACCTCAAGGGAGTGCTACAGCCTCAGGTACCATTACAATTTTTTTATTATAAATCATTCATAATAGTTTGATGTTTTTTTTTATAAAAGTTTTTTTACAAAAGATAATAATTTATATCACTTTTTTTTTAATATAAGTGATATAAGTTGATTTTATAATTAGATACTAACTAACGAATTCGAACTTGGGATCTGTAAACTAGCGTTATATATAGGTTGATGTTATTTAAGTATATCGTGAAAATTGTTAGAGTTCACTTTGGAAAAGAATATGCTATGTGTCAGGAATTGGTTCATCTCCCATAATATTTGTGCATGGCAGGAGATCAGTAATGAATCTAATATTATTTTTTCTCACACATTTTAAATGAAGTCTATCTAATTGCGAGCTTAAAATTTACATAATGAAACTATATAGTTTAATTTACTCTTAATATCGAGAATTTAAAAAATCTGAAAACATAGCTTCCACCTAGGAGGTGTCGATAAAATAACTATATGATGACGTGTTCGGTGCACACTTTTTTGGGTGCATTCAGTGTATTCGCTTCATAACCGTCATTTTAAACATGCGATTTATGTCAAAATGATGTCAATCATCACTTATGATGTGATGAACAATAACGCACATGAATTTGCACAAAAAACCATTAAAGATTTACTTTAATTTGAAGGATTAGAGTTAAGAGATTTAGGATTAGGGTTAGGGTTTATAATTTGGGGCTTACAAATAGAACTCAAAATTGGAGGTCTAGGGCTTAGGGTTATCCACTAATTAGTTGTTATCATATGTTATATCATCATATTACACTAATTCTACATCTTAAAATTCAAAATTCGACACCTTAAGACTAGTTTTTGAGTTGGGTGCATTGAACGCACTCATTTTTGTGAGTGCACCGAAGTAGTCACCCTATATATATAACATTAATTAATTAATCTCAATAACTCGAAATATTAATATATATATATATATATATATGTTTGAAAATAAATATTTTAACATTCTACACCACTACGGCACTACACAAGAGGTTCATGTCACTGTGAACCAAATTTTATGACATAAATAAACTAAGGGGTCGTTTGGAGAATGGGATTTAGGGCGTGGATTCATTGAATCCGTAGATTTTGTATAAAGTTATGTTTTTTTGTTATTTTTTGTATTGTGGATTTGAGCTTTAGAGATTTCAAATCTCTAAAATCCACGGATATCAAATCTCTCATAATCAGAGAGATTCTATATCTTGATTCGTGAGATTTTTTTCCTCCTACTTTTCCTCTTTGTTTTATTTATTTATCATATTAAATATATTTATCAACAAAGTTTTTAATATTTCTCGAATCACTCTAATTTTTTATTAAGGATAAACACGTTATTTAATATAAAAATAATTTTTTTAATTTTCATTGAATGTTAACAATCACAGTTACCAAACAATAAACATTTTAAAATCTATTTTCAACAATCCGAAGAGTTAGAATTTTTAGATTGTTGACAATATATAGATTTAAACTCATATTCTCCAAACGACCTCTAAGATTGAAGATTCTATGTATTTCGATGACTTAAATATCAAGTTTGCTACAACGAGCAACTCTGAACTCAGTAACTAACTTGGCGTTATTGATCGATAATCTCGTCACTAAATGCTGAAACGCAATAGCTAGCTGTTCATTGTAAAAAAAAAAAAAGAAGCAATAGCTAGCTGTTGATGTCCGTCGTCTTATATATATATTTTTACTACTGCCGAACATCCTTTTGCGTCGTCTTAAAGAAGTCTTCGTATATATCTTCTTCAGGATGAGCAACAAGAGCTCCAGCTCCCATTCTCCTCTCGTCTACATAAACGTAGCGTCGGAACTGCCCATCAAGTTGTCCGGCGCCAATTACTCTTCCTGGGCGCGGCAGTTTCACAGCCTTGTAGTTGGTCACGGATTGTTTGGTTACATCGACGGTACTAGCCTTCCTCCAACCGACGATGTTACCTCGGCCGCCTTCCAACACTGGATCCGTCAGGACCAGCTTCTCTTTCACGCAATCTTGGCGTCGGTTCAAGAAGAAACCGTCGCCCCCTTGATCCTGACATCTCCGTCTGCTCGCGATGCTTGGCTGATCTTGAAGCGCCTCTACGCCAGGAGCTCACAATCTCGTGTCAATGAACTCAAGGAGAAGCTGTCGCGTCTGGCTCGAGGGAAGGATGAATCCGTCCTCGAGTTCATGACTTCGTTGAAGCGGATCGCTAACGATCTGTTCATCATTGGCCACCCTATCGACGAATCTCAGCTTGTTCTCCGTGCCCTCGATGGTGTTGGTGCCGAGTTCAAGGACTTGGTTGCTGCCATTCGTGCTAGAGACGACACTCCGATTTCATTTTTCGAATTGTTCGAGGAGCTTGTTGAATTCGAAACGTTCCTGCGGAGAGAGGAGGTGGGTGATACTACTAGTGTGGCTGTTGCTCCTGTCGTTGTTTGTCAGTACTGTGATGAGCCAGGTCATTCTGCTAAGACCTGTCAGCGCATCATAAATCCGCCTCAACGCTTTCTCACAACTGGACAAATTACCAATGCTTTCAAGAACATGTCTTTTAGTAAGTTCTATCAGAATCACAACTTCAACATCTATGGTGATGGTTCAGGTTTGTCAATCACTCTGATATCATGCATATCAGTTTGACCGATTTGGTTTGTCAATAAAAATTAATAAGAGTGAAATACACCATATTTCAATGCAGAAATGAATTTCATAAGAGGAACTGTGATGGCGATCGTACTGCTGCTTCAACCGATTGTCCTTCTATTCAAGCTGCTGTTTGGAAGGAGAGCTCAAGATGCTCCTCAACAACTACAGGCTATCGACCACTCTGCCATTGTTCCTGCTACAGTAGTGGCCGACTCAGAAGATCGAATAAAAAACGGTAACAACATTTCTCAACAATCAGATGATACTGGTTCCGCTTCTCCTTCCGGGCCTCCAGCTGGTTCTAATTCCGGAGACGACGATTCTATTTTGTTTCCTCTCCCGTTCGCGGAGTACGAGGTGTTTCTGAGCTTCAGAGGTCCAGACACTCGTCACCAATTCACCGACATCCTTTATCGCTTCCTCGTGCGATTAAAAGTTCGTACATTTCGGGACGATGACGAGCTACGAAAGGGAGAAGGAATATGGCCCAGCCTTGTCAAAGCTATCGGACAGTCCAAGATCCATGTTCCTGTAATGTCGGAGACTTATGCTCACAGCAAATGGTGTCTTATGGAGCTTTCCGAAATTGCTAAACGCCGAAAGCAAGAGAAAGGGCACATCGTACTCCCCATTTTCTATATGACGAACCCTAGAGATGTACGGCATCAAACCGGGCCTTACCAGAGCGCATTTCAGCAACACGACAGGGACTTTGATTCAGGAACTGTACAGGAGTGGAGAGATGCTTTGAATGAGATTGGAGCTCTAAAAGGATGGCACGTCAAGAGCAAAGATGAGTACGAAAGCTCCACCTAGCCTTTATTAATTACAAAAAATTAATTTGTTCTAATTATATACTTAAAATCATTTTTCGGTTTAATATGGAGAGTCCGGTTCCACGGTAAAAAGGAGAGGAAAGTTTGCTCCTTTTTCCTATTTTCCCACTACTAAAGAACAGAGTGAAAACTGCTCAGAATTGAGTTTTCCTTCCTCTGTCCTGTCGTTGGAAAACTTAAAGGTGAAACTCACTACCCAACAAACTGCTAATAAGTAATAAGTAATAACTGTTTGGTCTAGCAGTAATGTTATTGGCCTGAAATCTGGAGGTTCGAAATTTGAATCTCTTATCTAATCATAATACATAAACTTATATCATCCTTGTAAAAAAAAAAAAAAAACTAATAATAAAATATTTATCAATTCCGACAAATAAAGTCCAACCATTAAATAGTACCTAATCATAAAAAATAAACTTATATCATCCTTGTAGATTGGTCAATTCCCGCAAATGAAGTCCAAAACTCCACAATTTCAGGGAATCTCATGAAATATCCATTAAAAACTATAGAAATGATTTCTTAATTGATTCGGCATCTCTGTTATTGTTAAGTTACGTATTTGTCACTTCTATCATAATGAGAGTACAATAATCACAAAGAACATTGAAATTTACAGGCAGGGAGCAGTATCAGAGTGTGTCTCTGATGTTGTATGGTCCTATCTAAGCAAAAATGACAATTTTTCGGATACAGATGAGTTGGTTGGAATTGATGATAGCGTTGAAGCAGTTGTAGAAAAATTGAGCTTAGACATTGGAGGTGTGGCCATGGTTGGTCTTCATGGACTTGGTGGTATTGGTAAGACCACTATTGCCAGAGTAGTATACAACAAGATTTCTGCTCGCTTTGACCGACGTAGTTTTTTGGAAAATATACGGGAAACGCAACAACAGAAGGATGGTGGCATCAGTTTGCAAAAGAAGTTAATCTCTAACATTATGAGAATAGATTATGTTGCACCTATTAACAGTGTTGATGAAGGAAGGAGAATAATACAAGATAGAGTTTCCCGGTTCAAAGTTCTTATCATTCTTGATGATGTGGATGAGTGTTTTAAGTTTGAAGAGATTTTGGGAAACTCTGGTAATTTCGCTTGTGGAAGTAGGTTTATAATCACATCCAGGAACATGAAACTCTTGAGTACCTTCAATGAAAGCCGATGCAAGTTGTACGAAGTTCGTGAAATGGGTCCTCAACTTTCTCTTCAACTCTTCTGCAAGTACGCGTTCAAAACCAATTCTCCTCCTCAAGATTTCACAACTTTGTCGGAAAAAATTGTCATGACCGCAGCAGGACTTCCATTAACACTTAAAGTTGTAGGATCTCTTTTGTTTCGAGAAGAAAAGTCAATTTGGGAGGATAAATTGTCAATGCTGGAAAAAGCTCCCCAAAAAGAGGTCAAAGAGAGGCTAAAAATAAGCTATGATGCATTGGAATACGAGACCAAACAAATATTTTTGGATGTCGCTTGTTTCTTTATTGGCATGGAAATGAAAATAGCTTATTACTATTGGAGGGATTGCAAATTCCATCCAGTGAATAGTATTAATATCCTACGTCAGAGGTCCATGCTGAAAATTGGGGATGACGATGAATTTCAAATGCATGACCAAATGAGAGATATGGGGAGAGCGATTGTGTGCGAGGAAAATATAGAAGAACCCTGGATGAGGAGTAGGGTATGGGATGATAAGGAAGGTACAGAGCTATTACTCAACAAAAAGGTATTTTCAAATGTCTCATTGGTTTGATTTCAATTGCTACAAGTTCTAATTATTAGATCCGTATGGTTAACATGATTTTATTCATAACACTACAGAAAAATCAACATTTAATCACATTATTCACGGGAATTATTTTCATTAAGAAGTATATTAGTAGCTACGAAAAAATTCATGTAACTAATTACATAATTTTCCCATGGTTGTTGAACCAACGTACAAATTTCTCCCTCCAATTCTCCCTAAAATGTGAAAATTTTCCCTCCACTTATAAGGAACCCTGATTTTCCAAAAACTTAAACATAGAGCCTTTTCAATTTTAATCCAAATTCTCAAACATTGAAATACACAGGCGAAAATGTTCTGTCTCCCTTCTTCGAGCAAATTATCAAACAGGGAAAACACATTTTCAAACACAAAATTTTACATCACCAAAGAAGTATTTTTTCCCCCTGTAGTACAAGAGAGATTAACACGGAATCCAACCTATGTCGACCAGGGATCGAAGCAGGTTAAGGCGTTGAGAGCAGATTACCATCGCTCTTTTTTGGGAGGGATGAAACCCGGGCAGTTTCTGAATTTACCGGAGTTGAGATATTTTGAAGGAGATTTTGCTGAGTTCAGTGGAGACTTCAACAACCTTGTTCCAAATTTAAAATGGCTGCGCTTGCATTTCCACTACAATGATGGCCAAGAGCCGACCAACTTTGACATGAGTAATCTAGTGATTCTTGATCTCAAAGGATCCATTTTCTTAACAGATGATTGGGGAGGTTGGAGCCAAATAAAGGTCTGCTTAATTAATTGATTGTAAATTTGAACTTAATCACTCGCTGTCGCTGTTGTTGCCGTAATCTTTTGTTGCTGTTGTTGATTCTTACATGTGCATATTACATATTGCAGATGGCAAAGAAGCTAAAAGTTCTGGATCTTTCCCATTGTACTTCCCTAATCAAACTTCCCGATTTTCCTAAATCAGGGAGTCTAGAAATGCTAAATCTTCCGGCCGAGATAACAAGCTTCTCTTCACTTTCAAGCATGGAGCTGGATATCGAGAATTTGTGGAACCTAAAAGTGCTAAATCTGAAGGAGTGTGCACTAATAAGGGTAACTGGCGGAACCATTGGAATGCTGAAGTGCCTTGAAGAGCTTGATCTCACCAACCTACAGTGTAATAATTGGAAGCAACTGGTTATTGATATTGGCGAATTGCCATCTCTTAAGGTATTGAAAACTATTGGGGTAAAGCATATTCCCTCGTACTTCGAGTCGAATACCGATGATGAAGAAGATGACGATGATGAAGTGGAGAGTGAAGGAGAAGGAATCGAAAAACTCCCCCCAAGTTTGAAGGTGCTACACACTTCATTCCGGGTTGCTAATCTCTCGGAGCTATTGGAGCTGGAGGAGTTAGTCGTCGAAAATTGTGATTTCGGACTCGAGATCCCTCCCGTAGGAGATGACACAAATGCTAATAGTACCGCTCATATGTGGTGGAAGGTATCCAAACTGAAGTCTTTGACGCTCCATAAAACAAAGTTCATCGTCGTCGCAGGAGCTGCTCCATCTTTCGATCAGCTGCGACTTCCGTCGTCTCTAACCACACTCAACATCTCCAACTGCCCCTACTTGGAGTGGATCCCAACCCTCGAGAACCTAAACAATTTGACTGAGTTGACCATCACCAAATGCTCCAAGGTGCTAGAGGTCCGAGGCATCCAAGGCCTGACTTCGTTGCAATCTCTCATGATCGATGACCGAGACGACTTAACTCACCTTCATGGCCTTGCCGATCTAATGCGTCTCAAAACATTCGAGATAAAGGAGTCCGCTCCCCTGTCAAGAGAAGCCCTACTCCTAAACGATGATAGTGATGATGTGTTTACACCTAAAATTATCTTGTACCACATTGATGAGTTACAAGGTAATTAATTAATTTATAAGACCAAACAAATTATAACAATTAATGTTATTAAGTTGGGCCTTATGGATATTGATTTTAAGCCCAAACTACTAAGTCATAAATGAGCATGGACATAGTTCAATGAGGACATGGGCCTCTCGTAAGAGGTCATGCCTTGCTACGAGATGGTATAAAAATAAAATAAGTATGGAGACACACGCGCCGCTTTAAAGAGGAGGGCCACATCCATCTAGGATCTAGAAATACATGCCATCTCAACGAGAAGGGCCATGGACACGAGACAAGAGACCTTGAGTATGGTTGAAAAATACTAAGTATGAGAAGGCCATGCCGCTTCATGAGAGAGGTCATGTGTGTGATTTGGATGTCTCTCCCCGCGAATCACACATTTCAAAGATAAAAAAAAATTCTAAGTTTGGAGAGGCATGTGCCGCTTCACGAAGAGGGCCATGTCCGTCTACAATCTAGAGGTACATGCCATCTCAACGAGAGGGACCATGGACATTGGGAAAGAATATCGGAGTCACATGACCATGCGACTAGAAGCGGATCTCAAAGAAGATAAGAAAAATTACTAAGTATGACAAGTCCATGGCCGTGATTGAAGAGGCCATGCCACCTCATGACCAAGGCCCAATGACCCAAAATATTATGATTCTGAGAAGTCCATTAAAACGACCCGATACTTTTAAACAAACTGAAATACTCATGGCTCCGGAGCCGACCGAAATAGTGTCCAAAACAGGAATAAAACCAATAAATCCAAGTATTTTCCACAAGTAATTAAAATGAAATGCCCTAAACAGTTGGGCGACCCAAATCCATGGTAAACAAAAGCACCCAAACTCAACCTCGAATCTCCAATTTTATATACTCATAATCATGACCAAAAATAATGAAAATAACTATAGCTCTACTCGCTGAGGTCCCCTCGATCTCGTCCGCTCAGGAGCGGCTTTCTGCTTCGCCTCGCCTCTTCTCGGAATCCACCTACGCTAACCCTTCCTCGAACTGGTGAGTGAGAAGGGGTCAGTCTCGTCGTTACTTCCTAAGATCTTTGCCTAAGCAAATCCTCACTAACACATTATTATATAGAAATTACTTCCTCTTACATGAAAACCGTTCTCACTTTCATCCTTAATACTTTAGTCCTAAATAGCTTATAGAAGTTCTCTACTTCTATCTTAACTTAAACTCTTAAAACTAGGGTCTACATATCACCGTCCAGTGTCCCTACCCTAGTATGCCAACCGCGTTACGTCTCGCCGTCCGGTTGCATACCCAAACTCGGCAATGACATTGCGTTACGTCTCGCCGTCCAGTCCATGCCCGGTCAACTACTGCGTTACGTCTGGTCGTCCATTAGCGACCCCAACATACTCGATCAACTGATGCATTACGTCTCGCAGTCAAGTAGTGATCTGACCATCTACCGCGTCTAGTAGTGGCCCGAGGGTTTCTCATACCATCATCCATACAACATCACATACATAAATAGCACAACGCGTGCCTCCACCTTAAGTAGGCAGTGGGGTGCCTCACACACATAATCGTGCATTACTCAAAAATTAACTAAATAATAACTTGAAACGAAAAGAATAAACTAAAAGGACATCTACAGAGATTTTACCCCCTTTACACTCATCTCGAAAAGATGATTCCTCGCTTCCTTACTCGAAGAAATCCCTCCTTCGCCCAACTATCTCGGGAGAACCTATAAATCATAAATTCATTTTTAGACAACCTTTCTTGCTTTAAAGTCCCTTCTGATTTACCAAAGCATGCTCTCCTTAACATCCCATCCTCGAACCTCTTCCCAAAGATCCATTATCCTCCTTTAAAAATTTTCTGGAAATAATCCCTTCAAAACTGACCATTTTTCCTAATTAATTTCATCTTGGACGAATTTTTCACCTAACATGAAACTCCTTAAAAATTCAGATAATAATTTTCCCATGTTAATCATGAGAACATACATCCTGGAAAATATCAAACCCTTAAAAATATACACGGCGGCTCGAGCTCCCACATCCCGAGACACGAAAAATTTCTGTATGCGCTTGAGCAAAGCCATGACATCCATATCCAACTCTCCCAACGAAGAAAACAAAGGACAGGAAACCAAACCCCTCTCTCTGTTAACTCCCGTAGGGTCAAAAACTCGACAATGGCCTTGCGTTATGTCTCGCCGCCCAGTCCATGCCTGGTAAACTACTACGTTACGTCTCGCCGTCCAGTAGCAACGCCAACATACTCGATAGTGATAAAATAACCAGTAGTAGAACGCCAAGTGGTAGGACAGCCAACCCAGTCTGCATCACAATACCTTGTAAAAATGAGAGAACCACTAGCAGGCAGAAAGAGACCACAGCTTGGTGAGGCCTTAAGATAGGCAGATAACGGAATGCAGCATCCATATGCGCCCGCGTGGGGAGAGTGAACCGCCTGACTGAGAACATTAACTGCATAGGTGATGTCAGGACGAGTAACAGTAAGATACAACAAGCGACCAACCAAGTGACGATAAGTCGCAGAATCAGGAGCAGGATCTAAAGGAGCGCGACCAAGCTGATGGTTCTCCTCGATCAGGGTAGCAGTGGGGCGAGTAGCCTGCAGGGCGGAATCAACTAAGATATCCAAGACATATTTCCATTGATTAAGAACAATGCATTGGGGAGAGCGAGCAACCTCAATGTCAAGAAAATACTTCAATGGACCCAAGTCCTTGATAGTAAACCAAGAGTGAAGAAAATCCTTCACATGCCGAATGAAAGGCAGATCGTTGCCGGCAAGGATCACGTCGTCGGCGTAGGTAAGAGATGCCACATAGTTCGCCCCCTGACGATAAACAATGAGAGAATGATCGTCCCGACTGGGGACGAACTGCAATTCTTGAAGAGCATGAGTAAATTTCTGATACCAGTTGTGTGAAGCCTGTCGCAACCCATAAATAGACTTACGCAAACGACATACACGAGTATCACCTGGGCGAGCAAAACCAGGAGGGACTTTCATGTAGACCTCCTCAACCAAGTCGCCATGAAGGAAGGCATTGTTGACATTAAGTTGATGAATGCGAGTCTTGTAGCGTTCAACTGTACCGTCAGGATGGAATTTGATTTTATACATCCATTTGCAATCGATGGCCTTCTGATGCTCTAAAACACAACACCTAACAATGGCCAAGTGTAACCAATGAAAGGGACTGCAGTATAGTGGCACAAGTAATAAATATCGAATCCACGGGTCTCTAGAGTTACTATTACTCAGCTTCAGTTCATTATCTAGCAAACTAGATTAAGGATTGATTAACTAAACTACTCTACTAACTAAACTAAGTAAAACTACTAATTACAGTTTGGGAACTCACTTAGGTATGATTCCCCCTAGCTCCTCAATTAGGTCCAAGTTGTAATTCATTTTGGTTGATTTACTGTTGATTAAACTGCGGAAGATCCGACAGTAGCTTGGAATCTCTTAAGCTGACCAAACCCTCTCAGTCTAACTATCCGGCAGACGACTAGTCTTCACCGGGATAGAAAGCTGAAGCAATAAGCACAGAACTCCACTACTGGAATTGGATTCCAGTACAAAGCAGTAAACTGGCTAACTCTCGTATAGCCAATCTCCTACTACCGAATGATGAGACTCTAGCAACCTAATCAGATTCTATCTATCTCAGATTGCAGCAGAAATCAGGAAAAGTTGATCAGACTTCAATTGACTCAATGAACATGCATCATTCGATTATAATCAAACAATATAGCATCCAAAACTTCATACAAGAAAGATCCTAACTCATGGAACTAGGGTTCCTCAAAACCTAAGTGAAGGGAAGTTACTCCATAGAGAAGAGAGAGACTGCAGAAATCTGATCTAGATCTTCAATCTCCATCTCCAAGCTTGATTCCCGAGCTTCAATGGCGAAGAAATCCTCCAAAATAGCTCCAAGAATGTTCCCAAGTCGCTCTCTCTCTCTAGGGTTCGTCCCTTGGGTGTTTGGGATCCAAAACCCAGCTCTCTCTATCCTTTGGCTCGAATTTGGGTTAAAAACAGCCATTCCCGACTCGCACGGCCAGGGTGCACGGCCGTGCACATCACCATTCTGGCCGTGCACCTCAAAACGCGGCGTATCAATTAGTTGAACCTCAGCCAACTCGCACGGCCAGAATTGTATGTTGCACGGCCGTGCGTGGCCACGCACAATCCCGTGCGTGCCCACGCACAATCCCGCACGGCCAAACTGGTCACTTGCACGGCCGTGCGTGGCCACGCTGGTCTGCCCGTGCAGCTTGCTCAGCCTCTGTTTAATGCTTCGTTTCTCCCTCGTCCGGACTCCGAATCAATCACCGTTTGATCCCAGATGCTCGTAGTCTCGTCCTCTTTCGTTTCATAACAAGCTTGCATGATTCTTTGTCCATAAAGTGAGGTAGAAATCCATTCTTCTTCAGGTCATGCCCGAGTTTCTTCTCTTGAATCGTCAATTGATCTCTGATTGACTTGAAACTTGCGCCTATGCTTCACTTTATGTGCTAGGACCTGAAATGGGACAAAGGAACACAACCTAGCATAAAATAGGCCAAAGACGCAATAATTCAAGCTCAAACAATCAAGAAACAAAGGGGAAAACATGTGCAAATACCGAGTCATCAAATCCCCCCACACTTAACTGTTTGCTTGTCCCCAAGCAAACCTAACTCAAACCAATGCAACTCTCCAGACCTCTATAGCAACAAACAACCCAGATCGTAGGTAGAGGACTTCCTAGATCATTTAGCAGCTTACGAGGTCAACCGACGCACAAGTCATCTCATAACTTCTTCGGCGAGTCGGCATCATGGCAAATAGTGAACAGAGGACAAATGAATTGTGGATGAGGAGATTCTCAAAAACAACAGATCATGGACTCACATTTTTCAAGGTGCTCTATTTTCTGCTTCTTGAAGATGGTTGAGACCCCTTTTTTTTTTGTTTTGCTTGTTTTCTGATATTTTTCTTTTCTTTTCTTTTTCAAGGGTCCCAACCTGCTCTTACCGGCCATGCCAGGAGCGGATGTCTCGAGCCTCGTGCGGGGGAAAGACATGTAAGGGGGCTGGAGGTAGTAGGTGGATATTGGGAACGAATTCCCGTCTCCCCTTACACACTTTCGCCCTATTCGCACGGGAGACGTTTATTTTGAAGCACATTTTCGAGCACCTGCTATTTTCAAAACATGATACAAGAGTCCATGACAGGTAGAGAATCCACAACACCACACAATTCAAGGGTCCTAAGATCACTAATTCACTCAATCAACCAACTCAATATGAAGAAGAAATGAGACTTCTTAAATGCATCAACATCCTCCATAGTGCTACACTACCTCCCTAGGTTGCATATTACTGTAAAGACTGTCAATTCAAAGCATACTGAGCAGGCAATTGCATGGAACACGTACTTGGAGCCCTCAAATTTAAAAATTTGGACAGTGGACTAGGCTCCAAGCACACAAACAGCCAAACATTCATCAGCATACATAATCGAACATCCCCCCACACTTAAGCACGACATTGTCCTCAATGGAGGAAAGATAAGGAGGGTAGAACGAAGTTACCAGATCAAGGGTGAATGATGATGAATGGGTCAGGCGGTGCATTCCAGGAAGAGAGAGTAATCAGAACACAAACACCACACAAAATCTCACAAAGGTTGAGTTATTGACTCTAAAATCAAATAACAAAACTGACTCAACCGAGGAGAAATAGAGAAAGAAATGCAAACCGACTGGTTGGGTTGCCTCCCAACAAGCGCTTCTTTCACGTCGTGAGCCGGACGATGGCTCCTAAGTTTCGGTCCATGCTAGAACCTCCTTGAAGTTGAGGTTCTCGTCGATGAGGTGGAGTCTCAAGTCACGAGCATGTGGTGTGGCAGGTGAGGAAGGCTCATGTACTTGATGCAGATGAAGTCTCCACCCTCGAGACCTCTTCTTCTCTTCTCTCGTCTCATTGCCCCAAACCAGATAAGAAAGCATCGATTGGCCACCATCGCGTCCACCAAGAGGGACCGATGTCGATGTGGCCTTGGTCTGGCAAAGAGACACTGCAAATGGGTCCTTGCCAAGCAGTTCCTCAAAGTTTGGTGGGGATATCACATGTAACTCATGGCCGGTGCAGGCCTCTTCCACCTCAACTTCGTCCTCAGCCTGGACGCCAATTGCTTCTTCAACCTCCCTTTCTTCTTCATGTGGTATCACCCCTGGGAAAAGATCAAGAACTCCTCCTGCTTCACTTTCTTCATCCTCCACAACTTCTTTCTGCACCCTTTCTCGCTCTTCTTCTTCTAGCACGGATTGGAGAGCAAGTTGCCAAGCAATTTCTTTCATGAGATTTTCTTGCATCTCCTCACTCATGCCCGCCTCTTCAAAGCTCAGTTTGGGATGTGGGAAGGTGTGGTCGGCTACGGCAGGAAATTCCTGATCATGATCATCACGAGAGCTTTTCGTGAAAACTTCTGTCTGCTCCACAATATCCTTGTAGCCTTCGTCTTCCTCCTCCTCTTCTAGTATGATAGCAGAAGGGTGATCTTGAGCAGGTTGTGCATAAGCTTTCTCAAGATCCTCGAGGCTCTTCTTTATGCTCAGGAGGGTCTCCTCTGTTTCACGGTAGGAGAACCCAGTTTGGGCATTGTCTGGGATATCCATCTTTGGAAAGGATGTCTCAGGTACTCGAGCAATCTGGTCCACGAGAAGCCTCAAGTGATAGTTTGGATCTGGCTGATGGAGGAATTCTTCTTGATAAGGAGATTGTTCTTGAAATACCCAGGGGTCTGATTGTTCTTCGTAGGATGGGGGTTGGTACTGAAACCCGAATCCATAGTCTTCTCCTCCTTGATTGCTCCAGGGGGTCTCGGGGTAATACCACTCGGATGGTGGTGGATACCCCCACTGGTTGGAGAAGCCATGCGGATCCATGATTCAGATCTGCACCAACAAAAACAAAAAACACCCAAGTGAAAAGCAAGGGTGGAAAAGATAAGAAAAACGCTAAAGTAACAAACTTCTGCCTTTCCTAATACTCTAGAAAGTCCCCGGCAACGGCGCCAAAAACTTGATGCTCTAAAACACAACACCTAACAATGGCCAAGTGTAACCAATGAAAGGGACTGCAGTATAGTGGCACAAGTAATAAATATCGAATCCACGGGTCTCTAGAGTTACTATTACTCAGCTTCAGTTCATTATCTAGCAAACTAGATTAAGGATTGATTAACTAAACTACTCTACTAACTAAACTAAGTAAAACTACTAATTACAGTTTGGGAACTCACTTAGGTATGATTCCCCCTAGCTCCTCAATTAGGTCCAAGTTGTAATTCATTTTGGTTGATTTACTGTTGATTAAACTGCGGAAGATCCGACAGTAGCTTGGAATCTCTTAAGCTGACCAAGCCCTCTCAGTCTAACTATCCGGCAGACGACTAGTCTTCACCGGGATAGAAAGCTGAAGCAATAAGCACAGAACTCCACTACTGGAATTGGATTCCAGTACAAAGCAGTAAACTGGCTAACTCTCGTATAGCCAATCTCCTACTACCGAATGATGAGACTCTAGCAACCTAATCAGATTCTATCTATCTCAGATTGCAGCAGAAATCAGGAAAAGTTGATCAGACTTCAATTGACTCAATGAACATGCATCATTCGATTATAATCAAACAATATAGCATCCAAAACTTCATACAAGAAAGATCCTAACTCATGGAACTAGGGTTCCTCAAAACCTAAGTGAAGGGAAGTTACTCCATAGAGAAGAGAGAGACTGCAGAAATCTGATCTAGATCTTCAATCTCCATCTCCAAGCTTGATTCCCGAGCTTCAATGGCGAAGAAATCCTCCAAAATAGCTCCAAGAATGTTCCCAAGTCGCTCTCTCTCTCTAGGGTTCGTCCCTTGGGTGTTTGGGATCCAAAACCCAGCTCTCTCTATCCTTTGGCTCGAATTTGGGTTAAAAACAGCCATTCCCGACTCGCACGGCCAGGGTGCACGGCCGTGCACATCACCATTCTGGCCGTGCACCTCAAAACGCGGCGTATCAATTAGTTGAACCTCAGCCAACTCGCACGGCCAGAATTGTATGTTGCACGGCCGTGCGTGGCCACGCACAATCCCGTGCGTGCCCACGCACAATCCCGCACGGCCAAACTGGTCACTTGCACGGCCGTGCGTGGCCACGCTGGTCTGCCCGTGCAGCTTGCTCAGCCTCTGTTTAATGCTTCGTTTCTCCCTCGTCCGGACTCCGAATCAATCACCGTTTGATCCCAGACGCTCGTAGTCTCGTCCTCTTTCGTTTCATAACAAGCTTGCATGATTCTTTGTCCATAAAGTGAGGTAGAAATCCATTCTTCTTCAGGTCATGCCCGAGTTTCTTCTCTTGAATCGTCAATTGATCTCTGATTGACTTGAAACTTGCGCCTATGCTTCACTTTATGTGCTAGGACCTGAAATGGGACAAAGGAACACAACCTAGCATAAAATAGGCCAAAGACGCAATAATTCAAGCTCAAACAATCAAGAAACAAAGGGGAAAACATGTGCAAATACCGAGTCATCACCTTCATGCCAGGAGGCAAAAACGTAAATTAAAGAGTAGACACAACGAGATTTACATGGTTTCTTCGTTCGATGTGAACAGGACTACTCCACGGAGAGTTCACACTCTCAGGATTGATACGATTATGATGATGAGAGTTAGGGTTTTAGCCCTAGGTTACAGAGATATATAGTAGCCGAATTGCACCTACTTCTGCTCGACAATCGGCATACTTGAAAGGAAAATTACTAAGAAATCCTTTGAACAAAAGTAATGTGACAAATTAGAACACGTAACAAGTTCCAACTAGGACAACTGTCATAGGAGCGTCAAGCCACTAAAGTTAGAGGAGCGGGGAGAGAATTCCATTTATCCTTAAAAAATAAAAAGCAAAGGAGTCATGCTGTTGACAAAAATACTATGTATATTTAGATTAGATCCCCTCAAAGTCTACGTTTCACGCTTGTGATTTTAGAAAGATTGCGGGGGCACTCACATTTTTTTTGTCTCCTTCTCGACCGGGATTCGCTTCAGGCAACTTGTTTCTACTGCTAATTTTATTTCTATATGGCAAGACAAACAAATAGGAAGGAATGGTTCTTTCATTGCATGGATAGAAGCCTAACTAGAAAAAGATCTATCTATTACTATCAATTTAGGAAGAGAATTGCTGGTTTAACTGACGAACTATCAGAGTGGATGTCATTCTAAAAAAAACACGACATGTAATAAAAATTTATTTATGACTTAAAATGAAAGAGATATAGCACGCCAACATTAATAAGAGAAAAAATTTATTTGTCTAACATGACCCGTTATTAATGGATTATGTATCAGTAAGTTATTTAGGGGTTCCGAAACCCACTACCGTCGATTGCCTATATTTTATGGGGTTCCCCTTCATTTTGTTTTCTAATCATCGAATTAAAATGAGTATTATACTATTACTTATATTTTAATGGTCCATTTACGTCAATCTTTCGCGACGAACCTTATCGCGCATAAATGTCGATCTTTCGTGACGGATAGGTTCCTTAGCAGCGAAACATCATAATTCGTTGCAGAATCTTGTAGTGACGCGGTATATGCGGCGGAACTGAAATGCATTCGGCGACGAAGAAAGTCGTCTGGCAATGAAAAAGTGGGGCTTTTTAGCGACAAATTCTTCCGTTGCAATTGGGTTTTTAGTGTACCCAGCTTGAAAATAAACACAAATCATTGTAGGTTAACAGTTACTAGTTAATTGGTCCGCGCTACGCAGCAAATTTTTACATGCTATATTAATGAACTTATTTGTTTTAATAATTATTAAGTTCCTTAAATAAATTATCAAAATGCAATTTCCCCGGTAATTTTAAACTCTTCTTAACCCATATCCTGGCCAAGTGGTTCGGGAAAAACATGTGCTACAACTACACAGATATTTACAATTTTTTGAACTTGTTAGGAGACCAAATTACAATACACAACATTAATCACAACAGATGTAAAGTCTGGGTTCTCCATAATGTATTCCCGAAACTCCAACTGACCATAATGCAATATTAGACATGGGTTTGTGGTAAACTTTATGAGGTTTTTGTTGTGCTTCAGCATGATATACTCAATGAGGTTTTTGGTATGTTTAAAGAAAATTGTGGTCAACTTATTAGTATGTTTCACGGGACTTGTGGTAAGATTTTTTATAAGATTTTTTGTATGCTTTAAGAACTTGTGGTCAGTTTTGAGTTCTCAGGTATGCTTTATGAATTTATGCAGTGTGATGAGGTTTTGATATGCTTTATAACCTTCTTGATCTACTTTATGTTATTGTGGTATGGTTTGTTGTGTTTCTGGTATGTGTTTTCTTGTCTGCTTATGATACTTATGGTCGCTGTCGCCTAAGAACATGACACGAAATATATGGACAACGCCACACGCGTGTTCCCCTTCAATTTTAAAACGACAGCATGCCCCTCCCTTTTAAAATAAGCATAATTGTGGTCAACCCCTTAAATAGAAAAAGTTATCAAAATAAAATTTTCTTATTGATTAGAGTTGATCATACTAGCAAATTGAAAGCTAACACCCTACCTAACCCGTCTCCCAAACCTCTTCTCAAAACTAAAATAATTCGTCCCTACTAAAATGTTCTGTTACGGTATATTATTTAGATTATGAATTAACCAAAATTTATGTATGGTACATATCCTAAATTTGAGCGGCAGATTTTACACCCTGTAAACCGGCTCTTTGTATTAAAAACGGTGCATTTGGTAAGTTAGATGTATTTTGACAAACTGAATCATTGAATATTATTCTTTATGAATTTGATGTTAGGGTGTAAAGTTGAACAGATTAAGTGTATTATACTAAACGACAATACTCGGAGGAACTTTTTTTTATAAAATGTACCACCATCTTACCACTATGCTCCCACAACCATGTATATAACCATCCTAGCACCTTGGTATAATCTTTTGCACCACCACGACATATTCTGGTAGAAAAGGTTTCTATTTGTTTTGTATTTTTGTTTCAAATTATATCACGGTGAATTTCATTATGTACAACAAATAAATTTGACTGAAATTTTTGAAAGGTGAGTTAAGGCGAATAGAATATAGTCCATTAAATGTTAATGGAAAAATAGTTATGCCAAATTGAGTAACCATGCACTACTGACCAGATTTATTTTGAAAGCATAGCCCAAGTTTCTTATAGCATATACCACAAATTCTCTTGAAGCAAATATACCAAAAATGTCATAAAGCATATTACAAGTTTCCTAAAACATGCTAAAAAGCTCATAAAGCACACAACAAGTCTATTTAAACACCCAACATGTTTATTAAAATAGACCACAAGCTTCCTGAATAATACCAGACAAATCATAAAACGACACAACAGACCACAAGTTTAGGTTCTTAAAGCGCATCACAAGTTCATTAAGCGCATAAAAAAAGTTTATTAAAGTAAACCAGAAATCTCATAAACTATATCAGAAACCTCATAAACCAGACCACAAATTTACTAAAATACCACAAATTTCTTAAAACATATCACAAACCTCATAAAACTACACAAATTTCTTAACAAAAAAAAAAACCCATAAACTTGGGAACTATCTGTAAATTTAAAAATACAAAAAATAATGGGTATGTAAATTCGAACTTGTCAATTTATATTAAGTTGCTATATATCAAACTGCAAAATTGAGATGGCAGCAATGAACTAGTACGATCGAGTTGTTAACAAACCTGAAGCATCACCGTTGATTAAGAAGTTAGGGCCATTCAAGAACTGAGAAAAGGATAAATTCCCGAGAGCATTGGTAATATGCTGAGTGGTAGCAGAATCACACAGCCAGCAAGAAGAAGAAGAAGAAGAAGAAGTAGGTGTAGTAATAATACGAGGACAGGTCTTGGCAGCGTGACCTGGCTCGTCACAATACTGACACTCTGTTTGGGAAGATGGATAAATGGGATGAGGGTGCAAATGTGAGGGGTAAACACAGTTTCCAACATATTTGCATCTGTTTGGTTAATTTGGAACAGTAGGGGGTACAAAATGGGAGTGCAAATTTACTGTTTTGGCTTACCCCCGAATTGGGGTGCAAGGGAAGGAAGGAAGAGAGGGGGAGGGGGGAATTATGGAATTTTATTTTTTTAATTGTGTTATATATAATTATATAATAATTAATATTATCAATTTCTTCTTTTTATAATTATCATTAATGTAAACATTATTCGGGGTTGACCATTTGACTCTGGAAACAAGTTTATCAATGTTCGTCAAGTCAAATCTAGATCTCTTGGTTGAATCGAATTTGCATTGAAAATTAGAGATACGAGGTGTTTGTGGAAATGATAGAGAGAATTTGTTTGGTTAACTCAGTTTATTTGACTAAATAGTTAAAACTTACAAATTCGAACGTGTTTGACTAAGTTTGACAATTTAAGATTAAACTAGACACGAAAACCCTATATAGGATGACCAGTTACGAGTTGAGCTTCGAGTTTTGAGATCGCTCGATCAATGATTATTACAATTGTTATAACTAATTATTATTTGAGCATTATTATATAATAACTATTTTTAGTAAAGTATATTTATTATTATATAGTAATATTTATTTTATTATTTTATGATAATATTTTAAAATCTTAAAATCTATTTTATAATCTTAAAATCTATTTTAAAATTTTAAAATCTACTTTAAAATAATATAATTACTTACTTTTCACTCTATTTGCACCCCCTACTTTTTCATCCAAACAACAATTTACCCCTCCACTTACAACCCCAGCAATTTACCCCTCAACTTGCACCCCCTGCAATTTGCACCCCCCTTGTTGCCAAACAGAGGCGTGACAAACAACGCGAGTAGTCGGGTCGTCCTTTCCCTCGAATTTGACAAGCTCATAAAACAATTCTTCAAACGAAATCGGATCACCTCTGGCATAAATCGCCGCCACGATCTCCTCGACCCCGGATCGACACCGTTTAGGGCATGGAGGACGAGGTCAGCATCGTCCACAGGCAGTGGCCTAGCCAGGATTTTATGTAAGGTGGGTCCGAATTTTTTTTATATTGCAAGAAAAATTTGAGTCATTACACTGTCCCATAATGTGTTCTCATATATTGACGAACTTGCATTCATATGATATCAATGTCAATACATCCTATACAATAATAAGTCATGATTTTGTCACCCATTAGATACCAAAGAGTGTTTTCACGTGGCTCATTGAAAATGTCATTTCAATACTTGCAGTGGAGCCTTAGTTAGCAACAACAATAAGTTAATTGTTTCAATTACCATACTTCGAAAAATAACTCCTAATTCTATATAGTTTTAGACAATAGCTAGCCTATATTCACGTCAAAGTATACATATAATACTCTAGTTGAGGTTTAAAACCTAATATATTGAATTTATTATTAGGATAAAAATAATCTAGCGAGTTTCAACAAAAGAAAGTTTTGGCGATATATAATGAATAAACCTGAACCACGATTAAACCACGTTTTCAACATAAAATATCATACCATTGACTTGTCCGATGTAACTTTTGGTACGATTTTTAATCCTTATTATCTAGGCGTACATATTTTCTCCCGAGCCAAGGTGGGTCCCGGGACCCACCTTAGTATGCACCGGCTCCGCCACTGGCGTTGGAGTTCTTGTTTGCTCTCTCTCTGTATTAATGTATGGGTTGGAGTATATATAGGAATCAAAGGAACTTCACTCAACTACAACTATGCATATCTTAATAGCTAGCTAGTTCTCACAATTGAATCCCCATCGTTTGGGAAACCTATACGTATTCCATCCTTGTAGGTGTATTTATAAAAGGGGAGAACAAAAGGCGGAGTTAACAAGATTTCCTCTGGATTCTCAAATTCAAAATTGAGTGATCTCTTGCTTGGTTTTGGAGGATGCTTTAGGTTCTTCGATGAAGAATAAAGTGCTAAAGTACATGTTCTTTTCGTCTTTTTATACATACATATAATAATAAGTAAGGTCGTGGACCTACCCCTGCAAGGTTCGATATTCACTTGGAGTAGAGGAGGCTTGGTAAGATCGGCTTCTCGTATTGATAGAGCGCTAGTAAATTTCTGTTTCGAAGAGTTAATTTCCCCGGAAGCTCTTTTGGCTCTTGATAGGGTGGAATCAGACCATAATCCGATCTTTACTAAAATGGGGCATCAATGATCGCATTAGTCACACCTGGAGATTTGAAAATATGTGGCTTGGAGAGGAGTCTTTCTTGCAAAGCTTGGTGGGTTGGTGGTCAGTTCCCGTTATGGGGACTAGTCACCTAGTCAGGTTCGGTCAGAGATCCAGACAGACCAAATTTCTGATCAAGCAATGGAACATACTTCATTTTGGGAAAGTGGAGAGCCGAATCTCAGACTTGCTAGTCAGGATTAAGAGAATTGACGAGGCCGAGGAGAACGGTAATCTGAATGAGTTATTGTTTACTGAGAGGGGACTTTTGAGGTTTGAGTTGGAGAAAGTTTTAATTATGGAAGAGATATCTTGGCGCCAACGTTCTAGAGAAATCTGGCTTCAAGTGGGAGATAAAACACTGATTTTTTTCACAAAATTGCTAAGTTCAATGGGCGAAGAAAAAAATCAGCAGGTTGATGGTCGATGGCAGGGCAACAGAAAATGGGGAGGAGATTAAAGCGGCTTTCCTCAATCATTTTCAGGCTAAATTTATTGAAGAAGTAGAGGATCGCCCATTCCCGAGCAATTACAGGTCATGCATTATTTCTCAGGAGGTTAATGATTCACTAGTAAGGCCATTCACAGAAAATGAGATTTGGCAGGCAATCAGTCAGTTCAATGGAAGCAAGGCGCCGGGACCAGATGGTTTCTCGCTTGAATTTTTTAAGAAAGCATGGGGGATTATCAAATGGGATGTGTTGCAAGACTTTGATGACTTTTACCTTGCTGGATCGCTCCCACATTCGATTGCTCATGCGTTTATCTGTTTGTTGCCTAAAAGAGACCCGGTTGAAAAGGTTTCCGATTTCCGGCCGATCAGTGTGCTGGGGAGCTTGAACAAAATCATCTCGAAGGTATTGTTTAATCGGCTACAATCCCTTGTGAATAGTATCGTCTCTGATTTTCAGTTCGCTGGAAAAAGAGGCAGAGTTATTCATGAGTCCTGCCTCATTGCAAATGAATTGATTGATAGTCGAAGAAGAAGCGGAAAGCCAGGGATAGTGATCAAATTGGACATCGAAAAGGCCTTCGATTCCATCAGCTGAGATTGTATTTGCAAAGCTCTGAGTCAATTGGGGCTACACTTGAAGTTCAGGAAGTGGATTGCAGGGCTAACCTCCTCGTCTAAGCTGTCCGTACTTATTAATGGGGAATCCACTGGTTTTTTTTTGGATGTCTCGTGGGGTTAAGCAAGGCGATTCGCTTTCACCGCTTCTTTTCAATATTGGTATGGATATTCTCTCATTCATTCTTTGTGAAATCAAGGCGGCAGGGCATATCTCGGGATTCTGCGCTGATGAAGATAGACGTAGAGGAGAGGTTACTCACTTACTTTATGCTGATGCCATTTTTTTTTGTGAAGCAAGTGAATCGGAAATGCGCAACATATTAGCTGCGTTAGTCTGCTTTCAAGCGATCACTGGTTTGCAGGTTAATCTGGAGAAATCTAAATTGTTCCCCGTCGGTGAAGTTGCCAACATGGACAGATTGGTAGAAGTGTTTGGGTGCGATTGGGCTTTTCTACCCACAACATATTTGGGCGTGCCTTTGGGGAGTCAATCCCCACCAATCGGGCATTGGAATTCGCTCGTGAGAAGGACTCAATCTACATTGGAAGGTTGGAAAGGAAGTTTCCTTTCGATAGGCGGCAGGGAGGTACTCATCAATGCGGTTCTCGCAAGTCAGAGCACTTTTGTGAGTTCCCTATTTCTTATCCCTAAACAAATCATTAAATGCTTAGAAAAGGTACATAGGGATTTTCTTTGGTCGGGCAATCAAGATAAGGAGAAGTTTCACCTTGTGTCGTGGGAATTATGTAAGACCGCAAAAGATCGAGGCGGTTTGGGAATCAGAGATTTAGAGTTACATAACAAGGCACTCTTATTCAAATGGCATTGGAGATTTGCTACAGAAAGAGGATCTTGGTGGAGAAACATCATAGATGTCAAGTTTCCCATTCCTTACTCTGAATGGTTTCCTGGACTCACTCAGGGCAGAATCAGGGGTAGCCCGTGGGCCGGTATTATGAAGTTGAAGAGCGATTTTTGGAAGGCAGCCTTCATTGAGCAGGGGAGTGTAATCAAACATCATTCTGGCTTGACACTTGGATTGTTGGTGTGTGCTTGGCTGAGAAATTTCCGAGAGTATTTGCTTCTGCTGAGACCCCTTATTCCACCATTGCGGATTATCTCATTTTTTCTGAGGGAAACCTTCAGTGGGATATTCCATTGATTTATTCTCTTAGGGGTGGGGCTGAAAGTGAGAGAGTAAGTTTGTTTAACCTTCTTGAGTCTATTACCTCTTCGAATTTTAATGCAGGTCCCGAAAGACCAAACTGGTCGGCAGCATCATCGGGGAGATTCAGCGTCAGTTCTGCCGCTACTCAGCTCGCTTCGGCCCAATTCATGGGCTCCGACAACTTCCCGTCAAAGATGGTGTGGCAAAGTTTAATCCCTTCGAAGATCTGTATCTTTTTATGGTTGGTGTTCCACAACAGAGTTCTAACTTTAGACAACCTCAAGAAGAGAGGAATCCATCTTCCCAATCGGTGTATTCTTTGCAAGAAGCAGGAGGAGTCAGCCAACCATATTTTTTTATCATTTGTGAGTTCTCAAAGCAGGTTTGGAACATGTTGAAATGCTTCATCAAGATCGATGTATCTGCTGATGAGTCGACTGAGGTGACAGAGAGAATTAAGCGGTGGCCTACTTCAAAACCGGAGAGCCCTGCACAATGGTGCTCGAAGGTTGCTCTTCACGCGTTTTGCTGGTTTATTTTGTTGGAGAGAAACGCCAGAGTTTTCAGTGGTGAGGCCTGTCCTGTTTGGTTGATTGTGCTTAAGATTGGAAGTGCTGTGTCAGCTTGGGTGACTGCTGCAAAGAAGGTGGACTCCGAGGTTGCCGAGTGTTGGCTTAGGGAACTGCGATCAAGGGTGCTTCCTACCAGCCCTAGTCTCCCTTCTTCTCCATCCCTGCGGTGATCGCTCCAAGGATTTGTTGTTATATTGTACTCCTTCAGAATTCAATGTCGGGCCCTTTGTCTTTTGTCTTTTGTCTTCTTGTGTAGTTTGTCTCCTTTCCTGCCCTTTCTGGTTCTTGCTAGGCTGCTGGCTTTTCTTTTTCGTTTTCCTTTTTCTAGCCTCGTTCTGTTAGCTCTCTGTTGTTCTTCGCGTTGGTTCTCCTTCTCCTTCAGCCTTCGGACTGGTTTTTATTATTTTAAGTGAATATATATCATCCTTATAAAAAAAATAAGTAAGGTATCCATTATTTTATTTAAACACGAAGGAAGGGGTGATATAATCTACTAATCTAGGGTCCAGGATAGGATGTATACCAAAGGGTTATCAATTATGCACACTTAAATAATCAAATATGGGTCCTTAGTTTTAAGTAAGGTCAGATCTAAGGAATGAGAATTAATGATTTCTTTTTTTACTTTTCCTATTTTTCTGAATTAGCTTTTATCTTGGTATCACCTTTGTTTTTAACTTGAATTTTGAAAAATTTTGCTCAGAAGGAACAAGTTTTTCGTGATCTATTAGATCTACTAATTTATGGAGAAAAAAAACTTCAGGACAAAAAGTACCATCCAGGTACAATGGAGGAGCTAGGTTGAAGCCATGAGGGGCTATAGCCCCCTCCTAATTTGAATATAGGTAAACTTTCATGTAAAACCGATAATAAGTTTAGGAAACAAACTAGTTAGTAAGGCCTTAGCCCCCTCACACAACAGTTCAAGTCCCCCGTCCTCATTCAAATTCCTGGCTTCGCCACTGTCCAGTGGTATACGTTGATGAAAGATGGTAAATGACGCTTAATATATTTATACTATCAAGAATGCAACCATTCTACACTCTGATGTGTTCGTACTATTATGATACACTTTCATACCACGTGGTACACATGGTAGAGATTGGTAATAAAAGTCTCAGTTTTTTTGTTCCAAAATATATTGAAGTAAATGTCATTTTGAAGAACACAATTAATATGAATTTTCTGAAGAATAATATTTTGTTAAGTCAGTCAAGTGGACAATTAGTTCTTCTCCTCGTAGTGTGCCAAGTATCCAAAGGATAACTGCCTCGCTCAACAAACACATTCATCATACTAGTAAAAGAGTACATCACATGACAGTTTATGCTATGAAAGACCGTTAGCTGCAGGATCTTGCACCCACTTCTAGACGATACGATTATTGTTTTTATTCCATGTCATGATCTTATACTGATATGCATGCAAGTCAAGTGCTTTGCACTTTTGATGGACGATCGGTGCCACATAGGTAATTGTTGTCTTTTTAATTTTTCTTATTTACTAACTTTTCAATTACAATGTGTTGAAGTAAATTAAAATAATAGATGGGACCCACATTAGAAATTGCTAGCATAATTTAGAGATGTAGATGATTAGAAATTGATAAACGAAGAATTGCTAAAATTGATAATGTGTATGTAGGGACCACATTTAGAAATTGCTAATCAATTTCAGGGATGAAGATGGTCTTACCGTACTGAATGCTAATGACCCAACCGTAGCATCTTCTTGCTTTCTTACATAAAAGAATAACGTACCTTACTTACTTATTAAACATGGAAAAGAAAGGGCAAAAGAATATATACTTTAATCTTCCTTTGTTCCTATATCTAGCTAGTTTCATTCCTTGTGAAGGAATCTAGGGCTCCTCCAGAACCAAGCAAGCGAATGCGTAAATTAGCTGTACTTTTCCGTTTGGCAAGTAAAAGGAAACTTGTTATCTGAGCAAGGTGTCTTCTCCTTGTATAAATAGACAAAGATGTTCAATGTTGGAAATGTCGCCTCTAGGCTGGACAAATGGGCGTTCTTGGCCTATAATATATATATGCAAGTGTGGTTTTCCTTAATTAATTCTCCCAAAAGTCATCCATCGATTCATTCTCAGAAAGGATACGTGGAGGTGTCGACACCAACAAGATTGATCAAGTAACGTACTATCTCATATTATTTATTTATTTATTTACGTATATGCATGCGCACGTAGCTTACATGTGTTTGGTTCAAGCATCAAGCTAGGGAATTTAAACTATACAATAATGAATTAATGAGTATGGAATCAAGTGTAGTTTTCTGTTTTAGTAGAGAGGAATGCCTAGCTAGCTATGTGCTTTGTATATATACTGATTAATTAGTGCTTGGCTAGGGTCTATATGCATAATGTTTCAATTATATATAGTCTACAAGCCAACAAGCGTTTAATCTAGTGATAATACCAGTAGTTTTGAATCTGAAGGTCTCATATTCAAATGTGTTTGGTAGAACCAAACTATGAGAATCAACCTATGTTGCCCTTATCAAAAACGAAACTATGGTCTGCAAAATCATATCGCTTGAAAGAAAAACTACTGTTTAGGCAAACGGTTAATTTAAGGTTTAAATAGTGATTTTTTATATACTAAATGTATGTAATATCCCCAAATCTAATAGGTCACCATGAAGCCACTATATATATAAACAGTATGATGAGGGTATAACTACAAAATCATGTACCACCCGATACAATAGCACGTAAAAGGAATTGAAGTGTATTTTGGAACGTTCATTCCTCGAAATAAACCATATAATCATGTGAAAAAGATCCAAAAAGATCTTAATAAATTAGGGATTCTTTGTTTTTTATACATAAGGCTACATGAAATATATTTTTCATTATACTTTTAAAAATAATTTTTCCTGTTATAACTAAAAAATGACCTTTCATCCCTACACATTCATGTCATGAACCAGTTGGTCTCAATAACTCGAGTTGTTGGGAGAAGGTTATGTTGGATCTTATACCACACTCTAACACGCCCCCTCAAACGAAAGCCAACCCACGGGCTTGAAGTTTTCACAGGCTCACAATACCTTGTGCTTTAATCAACTGTTAGTATTTGGGGTCGTGGAGGTTCGAACACACGACAACTTGGTCAAACCAACTCTGATACCATGTCATGAACCAGTTGGTCCCAATAACTCGAGTTGTTGGGAGAAGGTTATGCTGGATCTTATACCACACTCTAACAATTCATTCTGTTGACATTTTGTGATGATCAAATGCATTTTGTAATGATCGTATGTGTTAGTTTATTTGCTTGAGAAAATTAGTGTATATTTTAAATAACTATATGAGAGTCAAATTTTAACTATTGTTTACACGATAACTAAGTGACGTAGTCGAATAATTGATTATTCAATGACTGACTGCTTGATTGTATGTATATAATAAAGGAAACGTACTATATAATTGACTACAAAAAATCATTCATAAATGAGACGCCACTATATAATTAAACCATGTCCCAATGGGCATAACTCTTGGTTATATTTATGCAACTCATAGTTTTGAAGAAAATTATTAATATTTATCACAACCCTACCACATAAAAATCATCTGCCAACTCAAAACTTCTTCTCTCCCAACTCAAATCGATCCTTTGTATAACTAACATTTGTTACTATATACAAAATTCATTTAACATTTTTTATATTTAATCTAACAATTTAATAACTTAATTAATAATATCAAACCTTACTTCATATCTAAGTATAATATTAACGCAAACAATTTTTTATTACTAATCTAGGTATTAAAAAAATTAATTATCTTCATTTAATGAATTTCATTTGTAAGTAAATACATGATCAACACAATCTAAAATATCATACCTACAGCCCTTTACCCTACATACTGCTAAATATCGCCACAATGTGCATTGAAAAAGTAAGATTCGTTGCAAATTTTCACTTTCTGCGACGAATTTCTTAGTGTTGAAATAGAATAAGTCTAACATAATATAAAAAATTTAAACAAATTTTAAAAATGACTTTTCATGTTTGATGATAAATTAAATTTTTAAAATAATACTGATCAAAATTTCTATGTAAATAATAAAGGCCTAATGCCAGAAAATGACCCATAGTTTAGACTTTCTGTCATTTGTATCCTCATGTTTGTCTCGTGTCAGTTGTGTCCCAATGTTTAGAATCTTCCTGTCAAGATTGTGCTATGTCCTTTCATTGACTGTTAGACTTAACAGTCAAACAAACGGCTGTCAACATTTTATTAACTTTGTGCCAACATGTTTGCAATGTCATCAACACATCAGAGTATAATAATTTTAAATATTAATTAAAAATATAAAAATTCAACCACACCACATATATTCCTTTATACCCCAAATTAACAAATACCTTAATGCAAAACTTTTTCGTAAGTGATGTGGCAAAATAATCAGCATCATCTGACACATCATCTGTTAATATTGACTATTGACTACTAATGGTCAAAGTTAACGGAGATAAAACAATCGGACACAACTTACACGGGACAAACATAGAGGTACAAGTGATAGAAAGTGTAAAGTGTAAACTATGGGTCCTTTTATGGTATCTATGGGTCCTTTTATGGTATTAGGCCAATAATAAATAAAGTTAAATTTTTAAATAATCAAAATTATTTAAATGAAATTACATAAGATTATATCATGATGGTCTGGGATTGTGTAATTGGTGGCATGAATATATCAAAGTATAGAATAGTTGTATAAATGATAGTACGAAGATACGTTTCAAATGGAAATTAATAAGAGAACTATACATCACCAGAAAAGCAAATTAATAAGAGAGTGAACCAAACATCATTTTACCGCTTCCCTTAGCGTAATGAGTTCGATTATAATACATTATATTTTTTTGATGAGGATGATATAATATTGTTTTTATTATAAGGAGTTCAATTTGCTGACGAACAAAAAGTATTGTGACCCCCTCCTGTTTAGTTAATCCTGCATGGAAAAATAACAAACACCAGCTAAATAGAAGTGCAAACTTACTTATAACATTTTGGATTTTGCTACGGTGAGATGCATGTCACCGTGACATGGACTTTTCGGTCGACCTAATTCTAAAGGTGGTCGACCGAATTGACTAATTTTGACAGCACGAGAAAACATTGCGGTCGACCTAATCCTAAAGGAGGTCAACCTCAATTCGTAGCATAATTGATGAGTCCTTGTTATCATTATTTATGACTAGTTATGATGGTTTAAAGCGTAATTTATTCGAGCAAAAGAACCACACAAATCGACATACATAAGCAAAAAAGACACGGGGCATAGGTTGACTTTCTTGTATTCGGCCGACCTCGTACCGGATTAGGTCGACCTCGACACCAACACTTGATCTTCATTTTACGTCAAATGATTGGATAAATTGATAGAACACTTATAGTCTATTTGGTCGACCTCTTTCTTTATCTGGTTGACCATGTTGTTAATGACTGCCATCAAGTGGTCGACCTATATACCTTTACGGTCGACCATGTTGTTTCTCACGCCAACGAAATGGCCGACCGAGGTTTATCCTGGTCAACCAAAAATAACAACTTAAGCTAAGAACGGTCGACCAGGTGGTCTTTGAGGTCGACCGCAATGCTTTCTCGTGCTGCCAAATTAGTCAATTCGGTCGACCGCCTTCAGAATTAGGTCGACCAAAAAGTCCATGTCACGGTGACATGCATGTCATAGTAGGCATACCCTAACATTTTACATGTTTATATAAACAGTTGTATAAATATCACAATTATAAACCTAAAAATTAGTCTTACAATCATTACAAAGAAAGGCAATGCACAAATTTATACTAAAAATAAGTAAAAAAATTGCATATTATAATTAGATGTATACTAAAGATGTATAGTTTTGATTGAGAATGAAAGAATGCATTATTTATACTATAAATTAACTGTATATGGATAATAGATCTCACAAAAAATGTTGGTGTATACATCGTTTCCCATGTATTAAGAATACCTTATTTATTCTCAATACATGTATTATGTGATTAAATCAAGTAAAAAAATATTGTATTTTGGAAGATAAATATATACTCAGAATGCAACATTTATAATCGGATGTTCCAAAGGAATATTCTATGCAATATAGTGTTTTATCTTTTTTGTTAGGAAATACCACAACTAAATAACTTATGTAAATATTCTTACCAAACAAGACATGCTTCATGTGATAAGCCCCAAATAACTCGTATATAGATGCTGCGAAAGTGAACATAAATCTAAACAACTTGTTTTTTTCTTTCATATGCATATTGCAGAAATGGAGTGTTGCTTCTGTGGCATAAGGGCATGTGCGAAAGTGATCCTAGCTCCTATTCGCATACCCTACAAATTATGTTGTGGAAGTAAGAGTAACACCTCACCCCAACATCCACACGATCCTTCCCCTATCTCTAAACAACCATCAATATCATCATTGGCAAAATCGTCCCTTCCACTCGGGAACTATGAGGTGTTCTTAAACTTTAGAGGTCCAGACACGCGTCATCAGTTCACCGTCTTCCTCTTCAACACTCTCGACAGCGTTAAGATTCGTACATTCATGGATGATAACGATCTCTACCAGGGGGAGGAAATAGGGCCCAGCCTGGTTAAGTCTATTGAGCAGTCCAAAATCTACGTGGTGATATTATCGGAGAAGTATGCCGAGAGTAAGTGGTGCCTCAGGGAGCTTGCTAAAATCGTCGAATGTCGAGAGCGTGACAAAAGGCACATCATACTTCCTATTTTCTACCTGGTGGACCCTTTCGAAGTGAAACACCAAGCCGGTCCTTACGAAAAAGCATTTCAACAGCACGAGAGGAACTGCGCTCCCGAAATCGTGCAAAGTTGGAGAAAGGCTTTGGAGTTGGTTGGACATCTAAGCGGATGGCACGTCCAGAGAACAGACCAGTAAGCGCCATTGATCGATCTCATCAGTTAGCTAGCTCTTTACTTGTTACCATATATATTAATTAGCTAGTGAATCACAAATTACTTCTTGATCATATACTCATTTTCTTGCTTGCATGGTTGCAAACCACGTTTCATTCATTCTACAGGCATAAAGATACATTAGATGGTGTTTCCAAGACGATATTATCGTTGATAAGGAGAAATGACAATCTTCTAGATACCAGTGACCTTGTTGGGATAGATGAACATGTGAAAGCAATAACAGAGAAATTGAGCTTAGAGTCTCCCGATTTGACAATGGTTGGCATTCATGGATTTGGTGGTATAGGCAAGACCACCATCGCAAGAACAGTCTATCATAAACTTGGTGACGAGTTCGAACGACAATGTTTTCTACAGAACATACGAGAAAAACAAGAGGTTGATAAGGATGCTGCCATCGAGTTGCAAAAGACGCTAATCTCCAGCGTTATGATGAGAAAGGATTTTACTGTATCTATAAACAGTGTTGAAGAAGGAAGAAAGCTGATACAAGACAGGGTTACCCCTTTCATCATTCTAATCGTTCTCGATGACGTGGACGAGAAGTTTGACTTTAAGAAAGTTCTGGGAGATGTTAAGAATTTTGCTCGTGGAAGTAGATTCATCATTACTTCTAGAAACATAAAAGTCTTGAGTTCTTTCAATGAAAATAAGTGCAAGTTGTATGAAGTTGGACCGTTGAATCGACAACTCTCACTTCAACTCTTTTGCAAGCATGCATTCGGAGAGGATGGCCCTCAATCGGGCTTTGAAACCTTGGCAAAAAAAATTGTGAAAAAAATAAATGGAGTCCCGTTAGTGCTCGAGGTTATAGGTTCCAGCTTGTTGAAGGAAGAAAAATCATTTTGGGAGGGCACACTAGCACAAATAGAAAAAATACCTCCGAAAGAAATCATACAAACGTTGAGGATAAGTTACGAACAGTTGGACTACGAGGCTCAACAGATGTTTCTGGATATTGCTTGTTTATACATTGGCGAAAATAAGGACTTAGCCTCGTACATGTGGAGTGATATCGGGTTCTATCCAGAAACGAGAATCACTCTACTTATTCACCGATCCCTGATTAAAATTGGTGATGACAATAAGTTTCAAGTGCACGATCAACTAAGAGATATGGGAAGAGCAATCGTGCGTGAGGAAAGTTTCGAGCATCCCTGGATGAGGAGTCGAGTATGGAACAAGAAGGAAGCTGTGGAGCTACTACAATACAAAAAGGTACATTTACCAATTATTTTTCCTTTACAATGAATGCCCCGATCGGCCGATCCCCCTCATTATATATATATGGTTTCTGATCGAGCGAGGTACATTTAATTTAAATGAGCTTATATATATAATTTGGTTCTCTTTAATTGATCTCAGGGATCATCCAATGTCAAAGCACTAAATTTGGAGGATGAATATGAAACTGGAAAGCTTACATGCGAGTATTTCCAGAATTTATCGGAGCTAAGATATTTCGAGGCGCATGGTGTTGCATTTGAAGGAGACTTCAACGAAATTCTTCCAAACATACGATCGCTTTGCTTGCGTGAGCATAAAAATGAGGGTTGCTATCCAACCAATTTTCAGATGAGAAATTTGGTCACTCTTGATCTCGAGGACTCCGGGGACTTAAAGAGTGACTGGGGAGGTTGGACCCAACTCAAGGTCGGTTTGCGCTTTGTTGTTGCTTAATTATATTCTTCCATATGTGCTAACAAGTACATGCACTAGTTCGAATTTCTAACCTCTAGGTTATGTTATGCGCGCAGACGGCCAAGAAACTGAAATTTCTGAACCTTTCTGGTTGTAGTTCCCTCACCAGACTTCCTGATCTCCCACAATCAGGAAGTTTGGAGGGGCTTAACCTTTCAGAAGTCAGTAATTTGGATCCAGACGTGGAGCTGAATGTCGGAGGTTTATGGAACCTAAAACAGTTGTATCTAAACGACGTCAAACTGAAGAGAATAAGCGGCGGAACGATCGGAACGATGAAGAAGCTTCAGGTGCTTGATGTCAGCGACCTCGAGTGTGAAAATCTGGAGGAAGTGCTTGCTGACATCGTTGAATTGTCTTTTTTGGAGACCCTGACGACGATCAGGCCGTTGACAGATGAGCTCCAGGATATAGATGACTTGACGCCGAGTGACATAGAGGAGATTCTAAAGATTACCAAGCCAGAAGATGAAAGCGACCGAAAAGAGGCGGTGCCACTAGGGCAGCTTCCCACGAGCCTGAAACGATTACGAACTTCGTCTCCGGTTGTTAATCTCTCGGAGCTGTTGAAACTCAAGGTACTGACGGTCCAAGATTGTTATGATCCCAAGCTCCACATCCCCTCCGTCGAGGATTCGTGGTGGAAGAAATCTAAACTCAAGCATATAACTTTGATCAACACCAACATAGACATTGCTTCTTCTTCTTCTTCTCCTCTTCCTCGACTCCCGTCGTCTCTGGAATTTCTCATCATTTGGGATTGCTTGGAATCCAAGTGGCTCCCGACTTTGGAGAACCTCGAGAACTTGATCGAGTTGGGCATCATAGAGTGTAGCCATCTACAAGAGATCCAAGGCCTTGAGACGCTCCTGCAGTTCAACAAGTTGAAGAGTTTACAGATAGCATCTTGCCCTCTTCTCACATCGACATTCCGCCGCGGTGGGAGGTTCGTCAACTCCTCTTTACAAGAACTGTGCCTCCGCAACTGTGGCGGCAGCATACCTCGTCTCTCCAACTTCCCGAGTTTAAAGGAACTCGAAATTGGCAAGATCATCGATGAAGCCTCCGAGCAGGTAATTACTATCCCCACATTCTTCACCACTCTATCATAATCCTAGTCGTCCAGTCTCAGATAAAGGTGGCAATTCTCAACCCAATACACCAATCCAATCCAATCCAATCCAATCACTTAAATATCCAACTAATCCTTATCCAATTGGATTGGTGGATTCATGGTTTGATCCATGGATCCAAATGATAAATTACGATTCAGTACCTATACTTTTTATATTTTACATTTTGGCACTTGAATTTTATTTTTTATACGAAAAATGTTATTGGAAAATTACATTTTGGTGCCTAAAATTTTTATTGTGACATTTTAATTAGTACCTTAACTTTTCAAAATTTAGATTTTGGTCCAAAGCTTGGATATCATTTGGATCCATGGATCAATCCACCAATCCACATGATCCAATCCATTTAATCCAATCCACTTAATCCATGAATACACTAATCGAATCCACCAATCCATTTGCCACCTCTAGTCTCAGACTATTGTACTGATACCCTCGTTAAAAAGTCCCAACGTGATGTTATCACTACAGCAAAAAGATCATTTATTCACGGGAAATCCCGTATTTGAAGGTGTGTTTCCCGTGTTTAATAGTTGTAGTCATGGAAAAATTGTCGTAATATATACCTATGTGTCTAATTGTCAAGGTCACGGGAAATGTGTACCGTGAATAATTTAACTAATCACGGTATAATTTCCCATGATAATTTGTTCCTATTAATCACGAGGAATCCTATGACTAATAACAAATCTTGCACATAAAACAAACAAACAAACTCATTTAGACGATATGTACACCTTTCAACACCGTATTTATCGTGACAAAATCATTTCTCGTGACTAGATGACATACATTAGTCAAGGTATTTTGGTTGGTTCTCTGTGTCTAGATATTGGTTATGAGTCATATTAAATGATATATAAAATTTCGTATATTGACTTACAATTGAAAAGACAAAATCTTATTGCATGAAATGAAATGAAATTCTACATTATTGTCAATACAATTAGGTCAAATACCATTTATTGATCACCGTTAATTAACATACATGTAAGAAGACTAACTATTGTAACATGAAACTTCGACATAATAAAAATCATCTACAAATCCAATGAGTTTGACCAAATCATCAAAGTTATCCAAATCTTTAGTCTATTCTTTCACAAAATATTCTTCAATAGCTGCAATATCCATAAACTCGTGAATCTTCAAGTCTCTTCTCCATCATTAGACTATTCTTCCACAAGATATTCTTAAGTAGCTGCAATATCCAATTTCATAATTAGAACAAAGATTGTATGGAAAAAGAGGGAAACTGCAATTTCGGACAAAAAAACATCAGAAACATATGTGTAATCTGCAGATACCAGAATATATGTTGCAGTACCTAAACAATTTGAAAAGTTTTTGAGAGCAGAGCTTATTATGAGTTGTGGCCTATATATTCATCTGACTAAACTGCAAACAGGAGTATGCTCAATCGTTATTGAATAAACCTAGCTATGACAATTAACAAAAAAAACATGGCAAATCTCCCGGGCTGAATTTGTAGCGGGGAAAAAATGCGGGACAGCTGAATTTTGATCCACATGAATTTTAAGGCAAATCATAGATGTCCAAATTTATTAATTCATCAATAACTTTGAACTTTGAGACAATTAGTGAATTTTTGGAGTCTCAATTCTTGAGTTGTCTCTAGGGGTGGCTATACGGTCCGGTCCGGTTAAATTGGCCCAAATTGATCCGGTCCAGTTCGGTCTTTTTGAAAATATAAGGACCGAAGATTGGATTGGATACAGTCCGGTCTTGATCCGGTCCGGTTTTGATCCGGTCCGGTCCCAATTTGGTCTTGATTTTACATTGAGATTGTGGGATTTGAGTGGCCTAAGGCCTTAAAGGGTGAGGAGTTGGTTAAGTTTTGTACTAAGTGCAAAGATTTGTGACCGTTTATGCAAATTACCCTTAAGTTTTGGGTGTTGAGCTCTCTTATCCGGTCTTTATCCGGTTTTTTACCTCAAATCTAAGCCCAAAGATTGGATTGGATTGTTTACTATTCGGTCCCGGTCCGGTCTCGGTCCGGGTTATACGGTCCGGTTTCCGGTTTTTAATCCGGTCCCGGTCCAAATAGCCACCCCTAGTTGTCTCAACCAATTTGGAGAAAAAATTGTATTATTCTAAAACTCCTTTTAATTTTTATTACTTTGTGATATGAAATTCATTTTTCTTATAATCTTTCTTAATTTTCACCTAAAATTTACAAAGGTAAATTTACACGGTAATTAAACGTATTTAACAATTAATCGCGTGAAATGAAAAGCATAAAATATGTAAATGGTGATTAGAAGAACTACACAATTAATTACGGGACTTGTTCCTGTGACCATTAGTATACTTTTTTAGTACGGGAAAAATTCCGGTGAATAAGGTCCCGTGACTAGAAAGCTGTTTTCCTGTTGACTATTGCATGCATGTATATAGGAAATGGAATCACGGCTAGAGGAGATTGCCGGTCTGGGAGAACTGCAGGACCTGAAGCTGTATGAACTGAATTTGGTAGAAAGACTTCCGTCGTTGTCAAAGCTGCAAAATCTAAGCCTTGTAGCCATCATCGACATGCCGAGATTGCGCGAGATCCAGGGCCTTGCTGACCTGAAATGGCTGGAGCGACTGGTGCTTGCCGGCTGCACGGCTTTGGAGCGGTTGAAACTGCCGGCCGCCAATTTGAAGCTGCTGCAGGAACTGGACATTCGAGGGTGTCAAAAGTTGCCTTCCGGCGATCTCGATGCTCTGAGGGCTAGTTATCCGCCCGGTAATCATGTAAAAATCAAATGGCCGGACGAGGACTACGAAGCCGGCGAAGGCCTGCCGTCGAGTTCCCGGCTTTTCAACAGCGAGGATTCATCGGCATCAACTTGATCGATCGAGTGCACTGCTACGTAAGTGATCATTCCATCTGAATTCATGCATTGCATTGCATGCATGCTACTTCTTTTGGTCAGCACGTACGTACAATGACGATCGAGACTAATTAACAATTTCTTTTTTTTTTTAATATATATACAGATGAATGAAAGCTACGCTTTCCATAAGCCAACTTCTCCGATCAAATACTTAATCACTTCCACCAAAACTTCTACCTCAATTTTTATTTATTCGTATATAAATAAATACTTTTAAAAACAACATAAAATGACTTATGTGAAGCTCACTTTTACATTTTATTTATTCTTATTTTGTTCCTCCATTTGAAACTAAAATGTTCCTATTTTCAAAGCCTCCCTTCCCCACCTAAAATAAAAACTTGGTACCGAAAATTCATTCATTTAAAAAAATATATATGCATATGTTTTAATAATAATTTTTTTTTACTCTAATAAATCGTGAGCTCATGTAATCATTGATTCGTTTCAAATATTCATTTAATTTTATTTGTTTTCATCCCCATAAAATACCCCCTAAAAAATCATTGAAAAAATAAATCCAAAAAAAATATTATTTTAAACCTTCTTCAATAAAACTACCTTTTATTTGAAACAAATGGACTATTTTCTTACACAATTGGGACAGTCGATGATTTGAGAGCAGAGCAGTCGAGAGGCTTGATTGGTTGGCGTGTTGTTCCTCCAGTTACGTTGAAGGTGACGCATTGCTTCTCCCACCGATGAATAAAGGCTACTACGTACGTAGTCGGCAAGTCATATTAAAACTATGTATATACATAATGCCACAATGTGCGCATATGAAATAAAGATATTGGAATAAAATTAAAATGAATTGTTAAAATACACTGCGCTTGTATGTATTGCAACTTGTGAGAAGGATGATGAGGTAAGGCGAGAACGGATCGGGTACATAATTTGGGAGTTACGCATCATGCACGGTTAATTATTAAGGAACTATACATCTTATTCGTACTAACTTGATTTTCTTCTTTTGCAAGAAAAATCGAACTAGTTATCCTGTATAAAACATCTTTACTGTTTTCAAAATTTCGGTAAAACGAATGAGATAAGGGTGGTCCAAAACAATTTACTCAAAATATATTTAAAAAAACTGCACATTATTTTGAAGATCACCTTAAATCAGTTCTTTATGTGCAAAAAATTTCAAATCTAAAATGTAAAAGAGAACAGATATCGACTAAAAATACAGAAAAATTAATATTTTATCATCTCGCTCATCGAATCTCTGATTCCAGTCAAAATCAACGTACGAGATCTGGCTAGGCAACCTACTCCAAATTGATTTTGAAGTGCATGGAAACACAACTCGTTTCTTCATGTTTAAGTAAAAGAATAAGATGCCTTACTTATTATACTATGGGAGGGGAAAAAAGGGAGTAAGAGAATAATAAGATAATTTAATCTTTCTTTGTGTAGCTAAGCTAGTTTCAATTCTTGTAAAAGAATATGAAGCTCCCTAGCTCCAACAATCAAAGCAACAGAATAATTAGTTAGATATATATATATAGTTTCCTCTCCTTCTAAGCAAGGTATCCTCCCTCTTCTTCTCTATATAAATACGTACACAAAGATGTCCATTATTTGTGTGGGAATATCTATCTATCTTGCCTGTTATGGGAATGCGCTAGCTAGGTTTTGTCGCCGAGATTTGACCAAGTACGTATTTTTAGTTATTACGTATATGCTTACATGTGTATGTATATACTGCTTTTGTGTATATGTAGAAATGCTAGTGTAAGTAGCTTGTGTACGTGCATGTGCATGTGTGCATATATGTCTACTCATCTATTATCTATATATGGTTGAAGGTAGGTAGCAAGACTATATGTATAGTAATTATACTATTCATTTTTGAATCAAGGATTCGAGTAGTGGAAAATTACTATCTAGCAAGCTTTAAATTTGTGTGATGTCTACATCATAGTCAAAATCGCGGTTTAAAGTTTGAAAGTTTTTTACGCGTCTATGTCAACAAAACGTTTTAAGTTTCCATATAAAAGTTGTGTATTAAATCGGCCAAAATCGCTTGTAGGTATATATGGTGGAAGAGCTTAAAATCATGTTCTTACTCCGTTTGTGTGCTTCTATGCAAGTTGTGTATTAAATCGAGCAGAGTGCTTCTATGTGCTTCTAGAAATTGAGGGGGGAATTGAAAGAAAAAAATGAAACAAACTTGGAATCATTGAACACTCTGCTCCCTTTCCTAATTCTCAAAACTCGATCTCTTCACTCCTTTCAATACCTAACATTCCAATATTAGCGACCATCCCCTCTCTTTGTTTTTGTTTTTTTTTTTTTTCATATTTCCTTGTCGTCGCACATATTATTTCCGGTATCTACACTTAAGATAGTATAATAATAACATCTTATTTCCCAAAATTAAGCAATGAACATGTAAGTTTTATTCTCCTACTCCGCACAGTGAGTATTGGTAGCTAACAAATTCTTAATTTCGTTCTAGCTAGGGATCGTGAGTTTCCATTTATGAAAATTTGATTTTTGATTCTTTTTCTACTTCAAAACTTTGTGATTTGCATGAGAAAACTACGAAAATATACTCCGGTGATTTACTATTCATTGTACTTCACGAGCATGTAAATTAGTTTGTGTTTTTTACTAGTGACCTTAAAATATAAGACAAAGATAGTTATTGGAAGTCTATAATGTTATATTTCAAAGAGTGCATATTCTCGTTACAAGATGTTAGAAACCGAATTATATCGGGTTTCTATATTTATTATTATAATCATTATTAGGGTAATTCCTATTATGGTTAGTAGTTTTCTAGTAGGATTAGGTTTATTGTTAGGGTTTTCTAGTATTTCCCTATATATATGTACTTTGGGTCATTCGTCAGATCAAGCAGAAATCAGTAAAACAATTATCTCCCAAAACCCTATTTTGTTCTCTCTCAACCTTGTCTGTCTTTCTTCCTCAAAGGCCTCGGCCGTTCTTCCCCAAATCCCCAATTCTTCTCCTAATTCCTAAATTCTCTTCTCAAATCGCTGAATCCCCAATTCTGTTCTATAAACCCTAAATCCCCAATCTCTAGATCTGATCTAGAAACCCGTTAGAAACTTTGTTTCTAACACAAGATATCTAACAATATTAACCCTATGTATACAATATTAATTTCTCACTTACGATTCGCTTTTACGCTTTATGCTTCATCTTTTCGCTTTTACGTAGAATCGTTTCTTTGACTAAATTGCTCATAATTCATAACTAGCCAGGATCTGCTTCTAACTATGAGTTCTGAAATAGTATCCAACTTAATACAAACTATGCATGTTTACACAAACTGTTGATATGCATGTATCCAAAAAATTTATTATTTTTGGTACCTAAATTTTTTGTTATGGTATTTTAGTACCTAAATTTTTCAAAATTAACATATTGGTTCAATGTTCAAATGTCACTTCGGTCCATGAATCCACCAATTCATCAATCCAATTTCCACATTTCGTTATCCCTAACCTATCAATGGTTTTACTTATTTGGATCCTTTCTCATATTTAAATTCAGTTATTTAGTTATGTTGTATTAGGTATTTTGAATTTAAAATAGATTACTTAAATAAAAGTCAGTTTTTATCTTTCTTTGACTAAATGTCAATTTGATCAATTAGTCACTCTCAATTTTTTTTTTTTTTTTGTTGCTTTCTTTGTTTTGTTCCAAGGGCCATCTTATTATATATTGTTATTATCTCATATGCCTAATATATATTGTAGAAATGGGTTGCATAAGGATATGCGGGAAAGTGATTCTAGCCCCGATTGTCATCCCCTACAAGTTATGTTTTCGACGGAAAAGGCCTACTACTGCACACTCAAAACCCAATGCTCCTCCTCCTTTTCTTTCTGCTTCTACAGACTCAACCCTCAATGATAACACTTCACAACAACACCAAGAAGCTCCTTCTTTCGATTCCCAACAACCATCTTCCCTTGATTCTCAACAACCATCACCAACACCGCCCCTTCCATCCGCGGACTACGAAGTGTTTCTAAGTTTCAGAGGTCCAGACACTCGTCATCAGTTCAGCGAAATCCTAGGTCTTTTCCTCACGAAAAACAAGATCCGCACGTTCCTGGACGACAACGAACTTCGACAGGGGGATAGAATCGCGCCCAGCCTCGCTAAAGCTATCGAACAGTCGAAAATCTACATCCCGATATTATCACTGAAGTATGCCGAGAGCAAATGGTGCCTCAACGAACTTGCTGAAATGGTCGAGCGCGAAAAGCGAAACGACGGGCACATCATACTCCCCATTTTCTACCTGGTGGAGCCTAGAGATGTCGGGCACCAAACCGGGCCTTACGAAGTCGCATTCCAACAACACGCCAGGAAATACGATGCCAAAACCATACAAAGCTGGAAAAACGCTTTGCAAAAGGTTGGAAAGATAAAAGGATGGACTGTCAAGAGCAAAGATGAGTATGTCTCGTCATTCATCTCTTAATTCATAGTTATTACCACACTAATTACTTATCAATTACTATCGGGCGAGTTGGTTCTTCTTTCTGTTGAATTTTCCTGTTGCGCTGCTTCGTGAAATAAAAAAATTATATTTCTAAATTTAAACAATGAATTGTATAATGATAAACCTTATCTATTTTTAAGTTAAACTAATAATAATCACAATGACATTATTACAGTTATTAATAAATTTAAACACTAATTCCTAAATTTAAACACTAAACATAATTCATTTCAAATTTAAGCACCAACCAAAATTCATTTCTAAGTTTAGGAAAAAATTCATTTCATTTCTTAGTTTAGACAATAAACACAATTCATTGTGAAACTGAATTTTAAATAAAAATAAAAATTTAAAAATTGGTGGCAAATATTAAAAAAGTTGGCGGCAAATAACATGCCTCATATTTAATTTTACAGGCACGCAACTATAATAGATCGTGTTTCCAGCGTTGTTTGGTCGCATATAAACAGAAGTGAAGATCTTCTTGGTGTAGATGAGTTGGTTGGAATGGATGACCATGTGGAAGCAGTAGTGGAGAAACTGAGCTTAGACTCTCCAGGTACAATAATGCTTGGCCTGCATGGTTTTGGTGGAATAGGCAAGACCACCATCGCAAGAGCAGTCTATCGTAAACTTGCAACTCGATTCGAACGACGATGCTTTCTGGAAGACATTCGAACAACTTGTTGAGAAACCGGGCAGCAACCACAAGCAAGAATAGAATGCACAAGACACACGATTTTTACGTGGAAAACCCAAATCGGGAAAAACCACGGGACCTTTGTCCAAGCCACAACTCCACTAGACTTTGGTGGGATTACAAGTCCTCTCTAGACTAGCTAGAGGATTACAAACACCTCAAGAACACCCTTCTTGGATCAACAATCAACCATAATAGCTCTCACCAACATGGTGGATAACAAGAACAAGAACAAGGCAAAGAGAGGTTTAGAGATACCAAAAGACAGATTCGTACACCTTCTGTCCAGGAGCGATTCCGACGAACTAGACCTCAGAATGACGATCCCTCCGGTCAGAATGAAGCCCAGAGAATCGCGAACCCACTGTCCAAATTTCAGGACGATCCAACGGTGCAATCTTCCGGAACGCTCACTTGAACAGACTGCCCTGCTGCAGAAACGAAAAATCTGCAGCTCCTCTTCACTTCTCTCTTTTTTTCTTATCTCTTCTCTTTTCTTGATTCTCTCTCTCTAGGAAGATGAAAGGCTGTCACCACTTTTTACTTTTAAGTAGACAATAACTCTCTATTTTAAAAATAGAGGATCTTCTAGAAACCAACCAAAACTCAAACTCAAACCGGTTAATCCAACCACCATATGAGTTGGACCAACCCAACAAATCTCCCCCTCCAGCTCATATGGGGGTTAGTACCAAACCTGCTTCATCTCGACAGAAGATATGTTTTCCACTTGGTAGAGACTTAGTCATCATGTCCGAACCATTGTCATCCGTATGCACTTTGTTGAGCTCCAACAACTTCTCTTCCAAAACATCACGAATCCAATGATATCGAACATCTATGTGTTTCGACCTTGAGTGGAAAGTAGGATTCTTGCAAAGATGTATTGCACTTTGGCTATCACAATAGAGCACATACCTCTCTTGCTTGATGCCCAACTCTTGAAGAAACTTCTTCAACCATAGCATCTCTTTGCAAGCTTCTGTCACAGCTATGTACTCGGCTTCTGTTGTTGATAATGCAACACATTTTTGCAGTTTAGATTGCCATGAAACTGCAGCACCTGCAAAAGTCATCATGTAACCAGAAGTCGACTTTCTAGAGTCCATATCACCTGCCATATTAGCATCGGTATATCCATCAAGTATGGTCTTGCCATTACCAAAGCATAGGCACACTCTAGAAGTACCTCTCAAGTAGCGAAGAATCCACTTCACTGCTGTCCAATGTTCTTTCCCCGGATTGGAAAGAAACCGACTGACAATCCCAACTGCATGAGCTATATCCGGTCTTGTGCAAACCATAGCATACATCAAGCTCCCAACAGCTGATGCATAAGGCACATTCTTCATTGCTTCTTTCTCTTCCTCACTTGTAGGACAATGCTTCGAACTCAATATGAAATGTCCTCCAAGTGGAGTACTAACCGCCTTAGCCTTGCTCATGTTGAACCGCTCAAGAACTCTTTCAATATACCTTTCTTGAGACAACCAAATTTTTCCATTCTTTCGATCCCTAGAGATTCTCATCCCTAGAATTTGTTTCGCCGGTCCTAAGTCCTTCATGGCAAAGGATTTACTCAACTCCTTTTTCAATCTTTCAATCTCTCCAACATTCCGACCCACGATCAACATGTCGTCCACGTAAAGCAAGAGAATGATGAAATCATTTTCAGCAAAGTATTTCACAAACACACAATGATCTGAGGTAGTTCTTGCATACCCGTTTTTGACCATGAATGAGTCAAATTTCTTGTACCATTGCCTTGGTGCTTGCTTCAACCCATATAAGCTCTTTCTCAATCTGCATACAAGATCTTCTTTGCCTTTAACCTCGAACCCTTCCGGCTGATCCATGTATATCTCTTCTTCTAAGTCACCATGAAGAAACGCCGTCTTCACATCGAGTTGTTCAACTTCTAAGTCCAAACTTGCAGCCAACCCAAGCACAACTCGTATAGAGGACATCTTCACCACGGGAGAGAAAATTTCTTCAAAGTCAACACCTTTCTTTTGGTTGAAACCTTTCACAACTAGTCGCGCCCTAAACCGAGGCTTTGAACTAGTTTCTTCCGTCTTTAACTTGTAGACCCACTTGTTCTTAAGTGATCTTTTTCCTTTGGGTAGTTTCACCAAATCATAGGTGTGATTCTCTTGCAAAGACTTCATCTCTTCTTGCATTGCTTTGTTCCACTCCTCCTTGTCTTCATGAGACATGGCTTCTTGATAATATTCGGGTTCTCCCCCTTCAGTCAACAATAGGTACTCATGGGGGGAGTACCAAGTGGAAGTTTTGCGATCTCTTGTTGACTTTCTTGGTTCGGGTAGAGGTTGCTCTTCTTCAACTTGTTCTTCTTGCTCCAATTGCTCTTCTCCTTGCACTTCTTGATCTAGTGCACCTTGGGGCTCATCATGCACTACTTCCTCAACATTTTCATGCATTTGGGATGGAGATATAGGCTCCAAATTAACTGGACCAGCTGCTGTATTTTTCTTCTTTTCACCCCTTTCGATGTCTTCACTTGTCTCATCTTCAAGAAAAATCACATCCCGGCTCCGAACAATTTTCCTTGCAATTGGATCCCATAATCTGTACCCAAACTCTTCACGCCCATAGCCCATGAATATACATGGCTTTGCTTTGTCATCAAGCTTTGCTCTCTCATCTTTTGGAACATGAACATAGGCTTTGCAACCGAACACTCGCAAGTGCTCATATGAGACTTCCTTTCCCGTCCATACTCGTTGAGGCACGTCACCCTCCAAAGGGACCGATGGCGAAAGGTTGATTAGATCAACGGCTGTCCGCATTGCTTCTCCCCAAAATGATTTAGGTAGCTTGGCATGTGAGAGCATACACTTGATTCTCTCACAAATTGTTCTATTCATCCTCTCGGCGACACCGTTTTGTTGTGGAGTCTTGGGTACACTTTTCTGCAGTTTAATTCCGTGCAATCTGCAGTAGCTTTCGAATGGACCTCTATACTCTCCCCCGTTATCAGCCCTTACACACTTCAACTTCAGGCCGGTTTCCCTTTCCACTTCAGCATGAAATTGCTTGAAAACATCTAGCACTTGATCCTTTGTTTTCAAAGCATATGTCCACACCTTCCTTGAGTGATCATCGATGAAGGTAACATAATAGCTTGCACCCCCAAGAGTTTTATCTCGCATAAAACAAACATCGGTGTGAATTAGATCAAGTACCTTACTCCTTCTAGAAGGTGGAAATCTATGAAATGCAACTCTATGAGTTTTTCCGGCTAAGCAATGAACACAATTTTTAAGAAGGGTACCTTTAACTCCGGGCAAAAGTTGTTTCTTGGAGAGTATTTGCAGCCCCTTCTCGCTCAAATGACCGAGTCTCTTATGCCAAAGCTCAATGGAAGAATCTTTTTCAGCAACATTGATTCCTCCCTTGCTATGCTTTGCATTCGTCATGTAGAGCGTACTTTCCTTCTTGCCTTTAGCCACCACAAGAGAACCTCTTGAGAGCTTCCATTTTCCTTCTCCAAAATAGTTGGTATAACCATCATCATCAAGCTTTCCCGTGGATATCAAATTCAGCCTCATGTCAGGAACATGTCTCACATCCTTCAAGACTAGCTTGCAACCCGTGTTGGTCTCTAGATGAATATCACCCATGCCAACAATCTTTGATGCACCATCATTTCCCATCCTCACACAACCATAGTTACCGTTTGTGTAGGAAGAGAAAAAATCAACCCGCGAGGTCACATGAAATGAGGCACCCGAGTCAACAACCCATGTACTCTCTTGACAAGCAAGGTTGACAAAACCGGCATCACAAACAATGACTACATCACCATCTGTGGCAGCAGCAGTAGTATCATCTTTTTCTCGGTTTTCCACACCTTTTCCTCTAGCTTGTTCCCGTTTCAAGATTCTGCACTCTCTCTTCATGTGTCCGGGCTGGTTGCAATGATAACATGTGATTTCTCCTCTTGGTCTTGACACTGATTTTGATCTTCCTTTTGATCTCCCTCGGCTGTTACTTCGATTCTGAGAGTTCTTGAAGTTGGAATTTCGATTTCTGCTTCTTCCACGACTTCCAGAATTATCTGCCACCAAAGCATGTGACTCTGATGTAATCCCCAACTCTTTTCTCCTTGCCTCTTCATTCAACATGCTATCCTTGACAATGTCCATCGTCAACTTGCCATTAGGTGCTGAGTTGCTAAGTGAGACCACCAAAGTCTCCCAACTATCCGGCAAAGAACTGAGAAGTAACAATGCTTGCACTTCATCATCAAGTGCTAACTTCATAGTAGTTAGCTGGTTCACAAGCCCTTGAAAGTCACTCAAATGCTCCGAGACACTATGTCCATCCTTGTACTTCAAGTTCACAATTCTTCGAATGAGTGAGGCTTTATTTTGAGCTGATTGCCTCTCATACATGGACTCCAATTTCTGCCACAATTCATCTGCTCTTGTATCTTTTGCAACATGATGGAAGATGCTTTGGTCAATCCATTGTCGAATGATTGCCACCGCCTTTCTATGCAAGATCTCCCATTGCTTCTCAGTCTTGTCTTCCGGCTTCTCGCTGCCATTTTCAATTGGCTCATAGAGATCCTTGCAAAACAGAATATCCTCCATCCGTGGCTTCCAAATAGAGTAGTTGGAAGATGTCAACTTAATCATTGCTCCACTTGAGTCATCCATTCTTGCCATTCACCAAACACAGCCCCCAAACAACCAGGCTCTGATACCACTGTTGAGAAACCGGGCAGCAACCACAAGCAAGAATAGAATGCACAAGACACACGATTTTTACGTGGAAAACCCAAATCGGGAAAAACCACGGGACCTTTGTCCAAGCCACAACTCCACTAGACTTTGGTGGGATTACAAGTCCTCTCTAGACTAGCTAGAGGATTACAAACACCTCAAGAACACCCTTCTTGGATCAACAATCAACCATAATAGCTCTCACCAACATGGTGGATAACAAGAACAAGAACAAGGCAAAGAGAGGTTTAGAGATACCAAAAGACAGATTCGTACACCTTCTGTCCAGGAGCGATTCCGACGAACTAGACCTCAGAATGACGATCCCTCCGGTCAGAATGAAGCCCAGAGAATCGCGAACCCACTGTCCAAATTTCAGGACGATCCAACGGTGCAATCTTCCGGAACGCTCACTTGAACAGACTGCCCTGCTGCAGAAACGAAAAATCTGCAGCTCCTCTTCACTTCTCTCTTTTTTTCTTATCTCTTCTCTTTTCTTGATTCTCTCTCTCTAGGAAGATGAAAGGCTGTCACCACTTTTTACTTTTAAGTAGACAATAACTCTCTATTTTAAAAATAGAGGATCTTCTAGAAACCAACCAAAACTCAAACTCAAACCGGTTAATCCAACCACCATATGAGTTGGACCAACCCAACACAACTCAAGAGGGCAAGGATGGTATCATTAGTTTGCAAAGGAAGCTGATCTCCAACATAATGATGACAAGGGATTCTGATCCAGGGTCTGTTGATGATGTTCATCGAGGAAGGAAGCTGATACAAGATAGAGTTTCTCAGTTCAAAGTTCTTATCGTTCTCGATGACGTGGATGAGAGGTTCGATTTCAGGGAAGTTCTGGGAGATCCTCGGAAATTCGTCTCTGGAAGTAGATTTATCGTTACTTCCAGAAATACGAAAGTCTTGAGGTCTCTCAATGAAAACCAGTGCAGGTTGTATGAAGTTCGGCCGATGAATCGTAAACTCTCACTTCAACTCTTTTGCATAAGCGCGTTCCAAGGGAATGCTCCTCTGCCGGGTTATGAAACTTTATCGCAAGAAATTGTACAAAGAACTGAAGGAGTCCCTTTAGTTCTTAAGGTTGTGGGTTCCAGTCTCCTGAGGGAAGAAAAGTCATTTTGGGAGGACACACTATTACGCTTAGGGAAAATACCTCACAAAGAGATCATAAAAAGGTTGAAGATAAGTTATGAATCATTGGATTACGAGGCTAAACAAGTGTTTCTTGATATTGCTTGTTTCTATATTGGCATACGCAAGGATTTTCCTTCTTACATGTGGAGTGATCTTGGTTTTCATCCGGTGACAACAATTACAATTCTTACTCAAAGGTCCCTGCTTAAAATTGGGGATGAGGGTGACCTTCAAATGCAGGACCAACTAAGAGATATGGGGAGAGCGATTGTTCGTGAGGAAAATATTGAACAACCATGGATGAGGAGTAGGGTATGGGATAAGAAAGAAGCTACGGAGCTATTACAAAACATGAAGGTAATTACCTAACTTACATAAATTGTTTTTTTTTTTTCTCCTTTCATTTTGGCTTTTCCTGGTCCATTTGTAAACCAAACATATAAAGCTTGATTTAATTCTCTTTTATCTAGGGATCAAACCAAGTTAAAGCGCTTGTTGTAGACGACGCATATGACAACGTTGGAAAGCTTAAACGCCAACATTTCGTGACTTTACCAGAGCTAAGATATTTCGAGGCACAACAAGTTGAGTTCATTGGAGACTTCATCAACATTCTTCCAAATATAAGATGGCTTTGCTTGCCTCTGCATAAAAATGAAGGTCTCCATCCGATCAATTTTCCCATGGAGAATTTGATAATTCTTAATCTCAATTGCTCTTCAAACTTACAAGATGATTGGGGAGGTTGGAGTCAAATTAAGGTTTGTTGCGCTTCTTCAGTCCTTGTTGGGCCGCATTAATTAATTATTATTCTAAAATATATTTAGATAAAAGAAAATATATTTTTTCTCTAGCCTAGTATATATTTAGTAACTATCTTGTGGAAGCTTCTCCGATTTATAATTGTGTATTTACGACGACGTATGTTGCTTGCTTGTTGTGCAGATGGCGAAAAAACTGAAAGTTATGGACCTTTCTGATTGTCCTTCTCTGACCAAACTCCCCGATTTTCCAGAATCAGGGAGTTTGGAGTGGCTTGACGTTTCAAATGTCAATGGTTTGGATTCAGGTGTGGAGTTGGATGTTGGGAATTTATGGAACCTGAAATTGTTGCATCTGAGCAACATCAAAATAGGGAGGATAACTGGTGGAACGATTGGAACCATGAAGAGGCTTGAAGACCTTGATCTTAATGACTTGGAGTGCGACAATCTCATGGAAGTGCTCGTTGATATCGGGGAACTGACTTGTCTTGAGAGATTGCAAATCACAAGATCCGAGAAAGCTATCATGGACTACCAGTTATCAAAAGAAGAAGAAGAAGAAGAAACAACCAGTAGTAGTTATGATGATGATGAAGAAGAAGAAGATAAACAAATTATTGCTGCACAAATGGAAGCAAGTAGTAATCAAGAAGCTGAAGGAGGAGTAGTGCTTGGGAAGCTTCCCACAAGTCTGAAATTGCTATACACTTCGTACAAAGTTGTTAATCTATGGGAGCTGCTGGAATTGGAGGATTTGTTCGTTCTAGATTCTAATTCTGAGCTCAAAATCCCTCCGGCCGACGAGGATTCATGGTGGAAGGTATCTAAATTGAAGTCCATGATGCTTAAAAAAACCAAGATAGAAGTTGTCCCAACAACTAGCACGTCACAATCTTCTTCTTCTTCTTCTAGTTCTTCTTGTATGCTCCCGTCGTCTTTAACTTCGCTCCTCGTTTGGGATTGTTTGGAGTCGGTGTGGCTCCCGACCTTGGAGAACCTTGAAAATTTGGTCCACGTGGCGATCAAGGAGTGTAGCTATTTGGGAGAGATCCAAGGCCTCGAGAATCTGTTGCAGTTTAATAAGCTGGAGACATTGGAGCTCACGTCTTGCCCGCTTCTCACATCGACATTCCTCCGAGGTAGTGCTGGCACCGCCGCCGGCAAGATCGTCATCGAATCTTTGCGGGAATTGTGTATCCGCAAGTGCGGCGGCGGCATCCCTCATCTGCCAAGCTTCCCCAGGCTAACGACGTTGGAAATTGGGCCCCTAACGCCTCCTGATAATGATGATCAGGTAAATATTTATATATGAATATTCAAGGGTACACATAGCAGTACGTACGTATAAATCAGGATTTTACGTAGAATCGAAAATGGGGTAAAATCGGAATCTTAAAATTGTAGGAAGTGGTGAATCGATGATGATTAATACGTTGATATGAATTGATGATGGTCGATGATAGTTAGTGTACATGAGAGAACTAGATGATGTAGCTGAAGGAGAAGGAAGAGAGACATAATTTTGCAAATCCTGGGGAAAATAAGTATATAATTGGCCCAAAAATTTGAATCGTAAGATTTTATAAAATTTGAATTGTAAAATCGTAAGATTTAAAATCATGAAAACTGAATAGTGTAGGATTTTAAGATCCATAGATTTTATAGTGAAATTGTAATCGAAATAGGAAAGTAAAACAGTGGAACCGTAAGATTTTAGGATTTAAATCGAGATTTTGACAACTCTAACGGTACAAAATTAACCTAGAAAACCCGTGTTTTACCGCTCCTAATACGAATCATATCACCCCGGCCCCGAGTGTGACGAGCCAAATAATAAATTTTGACGTGCATGCATGCATGCGTAGGGAATGGAATCACAACTGGAGGGGATTGCGCGTCTGGAAGAGCTGGAAAGGCTGAGGTTGTCTGAACTGGTGTTCGTAGAGAGACTTCCCTCATTCTCAAAGCTGCAAAAGCTAGCTTTTCTAGTCATCAGCAATATGCCGAGACTGCGTGAGATTCAAGGCCTTGCTGAGTTGAAGTCTTTGGAGAGGTTGATACTTGCAGGCTGCACTTCTTTGGAGAGACTGATATTGCCCGCTGCTGCAGCTGGTGATCATCATTTGAAGGAATTGGATATTCGAGGATGCAACAACTTGCCTCCTGGTGACCTCTCTGCTCTCAAGGCCAATCTGCCAGATGTGCGTATCAGATGGCCGCATGAGCCGTGCAGAAGTCGCCGAGAGATACCGTCGGTTTTCCGAGGACCTGAACTCTGGCGAATGGTCCCGGAGGATTAAGAATGAGTGGAATTGAAAATCTTGGATTGATGAGAGGGATTGGTACGTACGTATTTATTAAAATGTATGTAATGTGATGGATCATGAATCGTGTGGTTGTTAAAATATGTGTGATGCGTCAGAGTGTGCATTTGAAATAAAAGGTATATGTATATATGTATGAGAGTGGATTGTTAAAATATGCTAGGTATAGTTTTGTTGGTTGTGATTGGGAGGGTGAAATTCATAATTTTTTTATTGAACAACTATGTACATATAATGTGCTTTTTGTTGGTTGTGATTGGGAGGGTTCAGTAAAGGAAATGTTGACAAGAAACTTTTTATCAAGAAAGAAAACACTGATACATTAATTGTGCAAATCTATGTTGATGACATAGTTTTCGGATCAACTAATCCATCTACGAGTACCAAGTTCTGTGAAACAATGAAATCTAAGTTTGAGATGAGTATGATGAGAGAATTATCTCATTTTCTAGGCCTACAAATTAAGCAATCAGACTCGGGAATATTCATCAGTCAAACCAGTTACACTGAATCAATACTTAAGAAATTTGACATGTATTCAGTCAATACTAGTGCAACTCCTATGGACACTAACTTAAAATTAGACAAGGATGAGGGAGGTATCTCCTTTTGTGAAAGAAAATACAGAGGAATGATAGGGTCTCTCCTTTACTTAACGGCCAGTCGACCAGATATCCAATTCAGTGTAGGGTTGTGTGCCAGATTTCAATCAAGCCCTAAAGAAAGTCACTTCAAAGTTGTTAAACGAATCTTTAGGTACCTTAAAGGAACCATAGATATTGGATTATGGTATCCTATATCCAACTCATTTGAGTTAATCGGATACAGTCACTCAAATTTTGGAGGAAGTCTAGTAGATAGAAAAAGCACTTCAGGAACTGTCCAACTACTTGGTCCATCACTTGTGTCCTGGTTTAGCAAAAAACAAGGGGCAGTAGCACTCTCTACTGCTGAAGCAGAATATATGGCTGCTGGGAGTTGCTGTGCTCAAATAATGTGGATGAAAGCTCAATTATCAGACTATGGTTTCAAATTAAAAGACATCCAAGTATGTTGTGACAATACTAGTGCAATAAGTATGACAAAAAATCCAGTTCAACACTCAAGAACCAAGCACATTGAAATAAAGTATCAATTCATAAGAGAACTTGTCCAAGCTGGTCATATTAAATTACAATTTGTGGCAACTGAATATCAGTTGGCTGATTTGCTAACAAAACCCTTGGCCAGTGAGCGTTTTCTACAACTCTGCACAGAATTAGGCTTAAAATCCTTAAGTCATATTAAAAATCTTCAAAACTAAGTACCTCTTTGGGTTTCTATCTTGCATGCATTGGTGCAGCAAATCATGATTGTGAATATATCAACCAAAAAATAAAAATAAACGAGTTGATTGGTTCTTTCCTTCTCACTACCTTTTGCGTGTCTTGGTTTAACAAAATAAATGCTCCTTTTCGGCTCATGCTTGCCTCGACTAATACATGTATGCTTTTACTTAATCATTGCCCTTTATATCTTTGCCTACGGGAAACTCTTCATCTTCCCCTCTCCTTTACCCTTCTTCTCTATATAAGCACCATTATCCATCTCCCCCTCTTCACATTACTCTACTCAAAACCAAATCCTTCTTACCATACACCGAGAGAAAACACGAAATATCAGCCTCTGAAAAGTATGAGTGACCATCTTCCGCGCCCTTTTCGCTTTGACGGTCTGGTCCACACATACTCTGGATATATGTTCCATGAGCCTTTAGTGGTCAACCATCATCGCTATCTGTAGCATTTTGACAAAAGAAGGCTGCATCATATCACTCAACTCGATCCTTACGAGTTCAATCTCTACAAGTATGATATTGTCTCTCTTATTGAGGGTCTCGGGTGGGATTTTCTTCTTCGCCAGCCAGTGCACCCTGCCTACCCTGGTGCTGTAAAATACCTCTACTCCAACCTCAAAAGCCAGGGAGTCAGCTCTAGAAGCTTCACTACTCTTGTGTATGGTCATCTCTTGACCATACCTGTCGATGCTATCAATGGTATCCTGGAATTCCCTTCTCAAGGACTCGGTTTAGCTCATCCCTCTGAATTCTGGAAACATGAATTCAAGGTTGAAGTGGAATATGGGAATTTCTCCACTGAGCCAACTGGGGGCTCAGATGTCCCTATTCCAGTGTCTTGGTTGCCTCCTCGACTAATAATATTTCATCATTTTCTCACTCATGTCCTCTTCCCACGATCCTTCAATCAGGATCGAGTTCTCCACATGGATCTGTGGATAATTGCTAGTGCAACTGCAAGACGCAAGCCGGACTATTCAAGCATAGTGTTTGGCCAACTTCTTCCTATTAGAGATTAAAACTATAGAGGGCTAGTGCCATTTGGGTCCCTAATCACTCGCTTACTGATCAACCTCGGGGTAGATCTTTCTGAGTTTCGAAGCATTTCCTCTACCATGTACATCAGTGCACTTAATGTACTGATGGTGCTGGACTTACCCACTGAAATCTCTCATCCCCCTCGTCCTTCTGCCTCTCTCCTCGGGCCCCCTCCTAAGCCCGCTGCTGTCAAAAGGACCAAGTCAGTGGGAGAACCCAGCAAGACTGGGGATCTAGTCTTCACCATCTCTGAAGGAGATTCTTCCTCAGATGACTCTACTGCTACAGCTCCTGCCTCTTAATCTTCTATCTGTTGTTCAGTTTTTATGTTATCCTGTTGGTAGGGTGTGTTCTTTTAATTAGGGGGAATCTAGTTAGGATTCTATTTTGGGGATTCTGTTCAGGGGGAATTATGCTAAGGTGTTTGTCCTGTTATTTTGTACTGCTGTCCTCTTCAGGGCAAGCAATCTGTTGTACTCCTTTTCTTATTAATCAATGAACTGCATATTCCCCTCGAGATTCTTATACAGCTGTGTTTTCTTGTTCTGTTTTGTAGGGACTTCTCGGATGAAGGGGGAAATTGTTGACCCTGAAACGACGCAGTAACTATCAAAACAGAGTACTTCACAATGATGCCATTTCGCTACACCTCGCAACAACGCCGTTTCACTACATCATCCTTCGAAGTCAAGAGAGGACTCCTCGATCGATGATCTCCCTGATCTCTTCTCTCGATCGTCCTCTTTCAACAGAAGCTTCAGCTTTCTTGAGCCTACTCCACCTAGCACCGTCTCTATGATGATGAATGATGAAGACTATGGAAGGCTCCCAATTAGGCAACGTTCATCTGCTATTAACACTATAAATTGTAAGCCTTCTACTCAATAGCAACTTGACAGTTAGTTGCGAGAACTTCTGGGTTTGAAACTCTTCTACTTTGGGTCAATAATTGTAATTGCTTCAGTAGATAGAATCACAGTGTATGGGAGTGTACTGGGTGATTCGAATCTTGGGAAGTGAGTGTGTTGAGTGTTGTTTCTCAAAGAGCCAAGTCACTGGGCTTGGCTAGGGTTCATTGTGTAGTCTGATCTTCATTTGCAAAATCAATAAAAGTGTATTTCTTTTCTTTACAAGAGATCATCTTAGAAAAGTTATAATTAGAATCTCTTGTTGAGTGCATCTCATATTATGAGTTTACAGATAGTTCTGACCCCATTTTTCAAATAAGACATTTTATGGCCCACTTTTGAAATTATTGGACAAATTTGGCCTACGATTTGAATTGACCGTCAAAATAGACAGTCAACTATTTTTTTCGTCGATGACTCAGCATCAAAATACTGAGGTGGATCTGAGGTGCTGCCACACCATTTATTTAGATTAAAAATTTAAAAACAAAAAACTTAAAATAAAACAAAACAAAAAACCAAAATACACTTTCCAATCCCTTGAGTCCCTCCCCTCCCCTCCGAATAGGAATCCCTAACATCTTCGTCATCGCAAGCCCATCCTCGCCACCATTCCCATCTTCGGCTACCTCCGCTCCATCTCCCCTACCATTTTTCTTGTCCGTCCGATTTTGCTGCTGCTCCATCAAGATCCCGTCCACAATATCAGAAGCTGCTGCTCTTTGATTGCCCCTGTCCCTCTCCTCGTCGAACTCGTGATGGTGCCTCTTCCACGGAAGCGAAGGCGACAGGGAGCGTTGGCGGTGTTGGCGGTGCGGCAGTGCGATGCGCGTGCGTCCGGCGAGAGTGAGTATGCCAATGGTCGTCTCTCCTTGGAAGAAGCAGTTGTCAATGGTCGTCTCTTCAAACGATTTCCCAGAACTGAAATTTTGGGTTTGGGTTCTTCGATTTTCAAAACTGATTCAGATCCCAAACCCAGATCTACAGTAGAGTGAAAGAGGGAAAAGATGTGGTGGCTTGACTCTGACGACGAGGGTCGCAATTGATAGAAGGAAGTCAGCCAGGGATGGCGACGACGAGAGGCAGCTAGGGATTGTAGGATGGGGAAGGAAATTGGGGGAAGGATTTCGCAATGGGTGGAGGTGGAAGTTAGAAGAGGAAGAAGATGAGGAAAGGGTTTCGTTTGACCATTTTTCTGTTTTGTTTTTTAGTTTTAAATGATGTGGACGTACTAGTCATCAGTGGATGTTGAGTCACTTATGGAGAAAATAGTTGATCGTCAATTTTGACGGTCAATTCAAAATGCGGGCCAAATTTGTCCAATAATTTTAAAAGTAGGCCACAAATGTCTTATTTGAAAAATGGGGTCAGAACTGACACTTACGCTAAACTTGGGGCCAAACTAGGGTATTAACCCTAACGGTTTCATAAAGATTTTTTTTATTTTTCAGAAAGGTAAACTCAAGAAAGATTCATAGTAGAGAACTATTTTTTCATGTGAAACATAATAGAGGGACTCGTTTAGAAAATATCCATAATGGAAGGACATAGTAAATTGGAAAATATATCTTTTGGGCTCATTTGTGTTGCTAGACGGGGAAAGTTAATATGCTAATTAACTTGAAGATTCGTTAGCAAATACTAACTGATATCCAAAATACATGAACTATTATCTAAGTACTAAAGTATCTAGAGAGCACAGACTAGTATTCAAAGTTTGCTAACTGATATCCACCATGAATCAACTATTATCCCAAATTCACAAACTAATATCTAGACAACACAGAATAGTTTCCAAATAGCACATAATTAGTATCCAGATAACACATAAAAGTATCCATATAACTCATAAGAGTATCCATATTGAATACTAGTTGGTTGATTGTGGATATTAGTTGGTATATGCTATATGGATACTAGTTTGTGATGTTTTGAATATTAGTTTGTGCTATCTAGATACTTAGCAGACTTGGATATTAGTTCGTACATTTTGGATATTAGTTAGTATATACTAACGAATCTTCAAGTTAGCAGAATAACTAGACTGTGGTAGACGGGTTGTGTGCTGCTTAGAGCACATTGTATGGACTTTATTGGATGGGCTTTCTTTTTCTCAATCTCTCTTGTATGATGTCGTCATTTATGCTCATAACCAAGATTGTCAAACCGGTTTACGTCGGTATCCTGGTTTAGCATGTGAAATGATTCTATCCGTGGTACAATCGATTTGTTCTGGTTCATGCCGGTTAATAAAATATGTGAAAATATATAAAACCATTAATGCCAAATGAATTTAATCATATAATTTAATCATATATAAACCATATATGAAGAGAATTTACGTAAAATTAATATTGATATTTAAATAAAATGTAATATTTAAAATAAACTTACATGTACTCCTATTTAAATTCACTAAAACGACGTCATTTTACTTAGAAATTCGTAGATAGATCATGTCAGTCATATCGGTGGTGTCATGTCAGTTTCATGACAGGTATTGGTTGAACCAGGTTGAACCGGTGGCATGCCGGCGGGAGTGACAACCATGCTAATAACCAAGATTTTCAAACCGGTTCATACCGTTGTACCGGTTTAGCAAGTGGAATGGTTCAATCAGTGGTACAACCGATATGTGCCGGTTGATACCAATTTAATAGCATATGTGGAAATGTGAAGACCAATTAATAATGAATGAATTCAATCATATATAAAATTATATTTGAAGACAATTTACTTACAATTCATATGATATTTAAATAAAATGAGACATTCCTGATGAATTATAATTACTCATATTTAAATAATATAATTAACGTCAATGCCTACAAGTCTATGCTTAAATGCAACAAATAACATCAAAATTTAACTTTTAAACTCATAAAATAAATGATAAAATAATATTTTTTAATTAAATTCACTAAAACAACATAATTTTACTTAGAGATCGTAAATCGATAACTTATTTTTTTATTAATTAAATTCACTAAAATGACAAATTCAACCGATGGCATATGGCGGCCGGACAACCATGCTAATAACCCACTTTGCTCGTTAACGAATCCTCATTGTAAAATTAAAATTATTGGACTTTGCTACGGTGACTTGCAAGTCACCGTAACTTGCACTTTTCGGTCGACCTCAGTTAGAATTAGGTCGACCTAAGCTGTTATTTCAATTTTGCGAGGCTCAACGACGCATTCGACCTTTTACAGCAAATGGTAGACCTCTTTGGGAAGCGAACATATTAAAAGGTCGACCCAAATACCGCAAAGGCCGACCATTTTGCTACTAAAAGGTCAACCTCATAAGTGAAAAGGCAGACCTCTGTGTAGTTAACTGATCAACATCAAAGTTAGGATTATTAAGAAATATAGTATAAAAGGTCGACCTGACAAGTACGAAGTCGACCACGTGCACACCGTATCCGTATTGGATAAGGATTCTGATAGAAACCTGTTTATTATGATTCTATCGGATCTAGTTGTGACGTTGGGAAATTGGGGATTTATGGAGAATTGGGGAAGAATTAGGGATTTGAGAAAGAACAAGAGAATCGACCTAGGCCTTTAGAGGGATCGAGATCGAGAATTGAGAGGATTGGGAGAATAGGGTTTAGGAGATGGATTTCTTAATATTCTTCTTATTGCCTCTAAACGAATAACAAAGTACATTTATGTAGGAAAAGAGCTGAAAACCTAATAATAACCCTGAACTTAACCACCAATTAAGTAATAATTATCCCTAATATGAATATGGTAATTATGATAGAAACCCGTGGAGAATAGGTTTCTATCAGATTCCAACACCAAAAAGGTAACCCTAACTTATCTACCACTTAATTCGACCCAATCTCGTCACCACCACCGAAACTTTGAATTTGGTTTTTTGTACTGTTAGAGCATTTGTGAAGAAGATCATTTGAGGTTGCTGTTGTAGGGGAAGAGTTCAATCCTGTGTTGTTTCAGACCAAAATATAAAGCGAGAAATATGAAGAGAACAGAATGTACAACCGTAGGGTTGCTCCTAGAAGACCATTGACGACTGATGCTTATACCCAATTCGAAGAGTACGGGTTCCTTGAGGCGTTTGTGGAGCAAGAATGGCTAAAGGTCATTTGGTTGTGTTCTTTTAGATTGTGTTATTTTATTGTTTTGTCTGGAAAACCATTTGGTTTGAAACAACTATGATCGTCAATTGATGTTATGTGGTTTTTAATTTGAGGTATGTGTGAACAATTATGAGTTGTGTTTTATTGTATTTCTTGTTAGATGTCGAGTTGTTATGTTATGAAGTTATGATTTCTACTTTCTTGATATCATGATTGAGTACTGATTCTGTTGGTTTTAAATGCTTTAATGTACGAGCAAACTAACACACACATCGACATACATAAGCAAAAATTAAGGTCATGTGTTGATTTTCCTATATGAGGTCGACCGCGAAACCAACAATATTGATTTACGTTTCACGCACAAGGTCAATGGATGAATAGATAGCACTTTAGTCTTGTATCTGGTCGACCTCATGATGTATATGGTCGACCATTTTAGTAATTTACGGTCCACCATTTTGCTTCTTATTCAATTGAAAGGTCGACCGAAAATTTGTCGGGGTCGACCATTAAAGTATCGACTAACTAAACACGGTCGACCACTATGCTATTTAAGGTCGATCGTGAGGTTTCAGTAGAGTGACCACGATGGTAAATTCGGTCGAACGCATGTAGACAGAGGTCGACCGAAAAGTGCATGCTACGATAACTTGTAAGGCACCCGGCGCACCCAAAATTATTTTAAAAATGATTCAAATTTCAAAAGTTTGGAACGGAGAAGGAGACCCCACCAACCTTTTGTCTCATGCCACGTCGTCGTCTCCAAAATTCCTCCCCGCTGGCTCAAATTCAGTAGCCACTAGCCAGTCAGTAGTAGTAACGCACACTACAGTAAGCCAACCAGCCCACCGAGCCCGTCTCCACTCCACACAGTCGAAGTCGAAACCCCCCATTTCCTCCGAAGTAATCGCGGTGAGAAACCGTCGAAACGGAATAAAGGCGAAAATAGCTCCACTCGCTCTCTTCTTCCTCCTCTTCTCCCCTTTCTTCTTCATTTTTCTGCTGTCTCGTTCCCCAAAGACAATGGAGAGCTTGATCGGACTCGTGAACAGGCTGCAAAACGCATGCACTCTCCTCGGCGATTATGGCTCCGCCGGCGATTCCGTCTTCTCTTCCGTCCCTACTCTCTGGGAGTCCCTCCCTTCCGTCGTCGTCGTCGGCGGTCAGGTCTAATCCCAACTCTCTCCCTCTCTCCTCGTTTGCGTCTCGTCTTAGTTTTGTTATTCAGTAACTTTACTCAATCTGATTAACTGCCGTTTTTTTTTTGGCCGGGATTTTGTTTTGTGTCAGAGTTCTGGGAAGTCGTCGGTGTTGGAGAGCATCGTCGGCCGAGATTTTCTTCCCAGGGGATCAGGTTTCGGTTTCCTACTTTCCTTTCTCTGCCTCTGTTTGCTTCTCCTAGTTTATCGTTTGGGCAGTGGAATGTTTGTCAGTTCTTGGGAGAGCGAAAGTGGCCGTGGAAGTAGAATCGAGAGGGAAAGAAATAGCGATTAAAGAATTGAATTCAACTCGGCAGGAGTCAACCCTTTTCAAGATTTATTTATGCATGCTAAGTTCATATGTATAGAGTGATAGAGAGTCGTTTTCCCACCATGAATCCTTTTACTCGACAGCCAAACAGGTTTTCCATTTTTTAGTTTTCGCCTTTTTTCTTGCTTTTGCCGGAAATTGGAAGCACACTAACGATGGGGAAGTGGAGACACGACTTGGGGTGGAGTGCTTTCACTCTTTTTTAGCTGGGAATCTTGCTATTAGCTGCAATGATGCATAATTTAGTACTGGTAATATAATCCAGGAAACCATTTCTGTTTCCTTGTAAGTTTGAGCATTGCATATATGTACAGGGATTGTGACAAGGAGGCCGTTGGTGCTGCAATTGCACAAGGCAGAACCAAGGGTTGAGGACTATGCAGAGTTCCTTCATTTACCAAAGCAGAGATTCACGGATTTCTGTGAGTGATTCATGCTTATAACATGCATGGATGGATCTATATCTCTGTTTGCATATCCTTTTATCTATTGCATTACCGTAGTAATATTGAACAGCCTCCTTTCTTGCTCATCAGCTATGGTTAGGAAGGAGATTCAAGATGAAACTGATAAAATGACAGGAACCAACAGACGCATTTCACCTGTTCCTATTCATCTAACCATCTATTCCCCAAATGGTAATAAGAATTCTGCCAAGTCTTCTTGCTCTTATTACATATACTTGTTAATGGGATGTAGAAGGATTGATGCTCTTCCATTGTTTTGGGTTTCTCCTTTTCTTTTCCTTTTTCTTGGATGCAGTTGTTAATCTGACCCTCATAGATCTGCCCGGTCTAACAAAGGTTGCTATAGGTAGGCTGCTGCCTCCATCCTTGTTTGACTGATTATTTAGTTTCTTTCAAGACTTGTTGGAATTGAGAGTGAGGCGTTTGGTTATTGACAGAGGGACAGCCAGAGGCCATTGTTAGGGACATCGAAAGTATGGTTCGCTCATACATTCTAAAGGTAACATCAGAGGTTCTTGGATGCAATTTGAAAAATGAACGCCAAATGGGTATCATGTTCATGTGTTGTAATAGTATACTGGCCCTAAACATTTTCTGTCCACACCAAGCTCATTCATGCGTGCAACAAAAACCTATCAGGGTTTTAGAATATTACCATGTATTAAGTGCGAATAGTGTTTGCTTTTCAAGTAATCTTGCTGTGCTTATTTGAAATGTAGCCAAATTGCATCATTCTGGCAATTACTCCTGCCAATCAAGATATAGCTACATCGGATGCTATAAAGCTCTCCAAAGAAGTTGATCCATTGGGTATGACCTCCTTCTAGATTACCCATAAATATACTTACGCAAACTGTTTTGTTGTATGTTACCTCACTAATTTTTCTTTGCTGCCAGGGGAGAGGACATTTGGGGTATTGACAAAGCTTGATTTGATGGATAAAGGAACAAATGCTGTTGACGTAAGGCTCCTTCGTCCTCATCAAATTTTTTATACAATGTTGGGATAGTCATGCTTGGCCAAGCTTAAAGTGCTGCTGACATGTATTTTAAGATTCAACAAAGATCACCGGCAACTAAACCACGTTATGTTACTTGTTCTCTGAAACTTTTAACATGTTCTTGATCCATCAATAATGCTATCTCCTTATTACTTTGTCTGCTTACTGGATAGATCCTTGAAGGACGGGCTTACCAGCTTCGTCATCCTTGGGTTGGAATTGTGAATCGCTCACAAGCTGATATCAATAGCAAAGTAGACATGGTTGCTGCTCGACAAAGGGAACACGAGTTTTTTGCAACTAGTCTTGACTATAGCCATCTAGCTGGCCGAATGGGCTCTGAATATCTTGCAAAGCTTCTGTCAAAGGTTCTATTTTTCCTCTCACTTGGATGTCTAATGAAATGTTCTTTACTTTTTCCTAAAATATTTCAGTTCTGCGAGCAGTTTTCTTTTGGTAGAATACTACATGTTATTTGAGAGTGATGCTTTCTTAAGATGATAGTTGCAAAGATTTTACTTGAATGATGATCTGCTTTTAGTCCGAAAACTATTCACCGAGTGGATTCCATGTGGTTTCAGCATTTGGAAGCTGAAATCAAGGCCCGCATACCAGCTATCACATCTCTAATCAACCATAGTATCGATGAACTCGAGAGAGAAATGTCACACATTGGGAATCCTATTGCGGTGGATGCTGCTGTGAGTGAATTGTGCGTGCTTTTTTATTCATAAATATCTATATGCTGGTGAAGTAATCTAGTTTCCTCTAATATTAGGCCCAATTGTACACCATTCTAGAGTTATGTCGTGCCTTTGAGCGAGTTTTCAAGGAGCATTTGGATGGAGGGTATGCTTTGACTTCCTTCCTTTCTTTTGTTGTGGAGTTACCTGTGTTTGTCACAACCAATTCTGCCAGTTAACTGCTACACACTCAAATTTTCAGGCGACCTGGTGGTGACCGAATATTCACAGTTTTTGACAGCCAGCTTCCTGCTGCTTTGAGGAAACTGCCATTCGACCAGCACTTGTCTTTGCAGAATGTAAAGAGAATTGTGTCACAGGCGGATGGGTACCATCCTCATTTGATCGCTCCTGAGCAAGCCTATCGCCGCCTGATTGATGGTGCACTTAGTTACATCAAGGAACCAGCCGCAGCTTCTGTGGATGCTGTAAGAACATCCTGTTCATTTAATTGCATTCTAGTGCATTTACATAGTGCAGTCTCAAAGGGAACGCAACCTTCAAAAGCCTAGCCCACAAGTGATGCCTTTTCTCCTTAGCTGGTCTGACTGGTGGTTTTGAATGCTCTGTAAACTTGTCCTCCAGATTCACTCCATTTTGAAGGAGCTTGTCCGGAGGTCCATTAGAGAAACTGAGGTAATGGAAATATGGAAGCTTGTTCTTGTTTCTTCATGACAATGGGGGATTGATTATGACCCATATTTTTGAAATTTACTATTGGTCGGCCTAGATTGTTGAACCACGAGTAGGAAATAAGAACCAATATGATTTGGTCATGAATTGATTACAGTTTATCACGACTCTATGATGAATCTTAAACCGTAGTCCGGGGCATTATGGTTTCGTAAACACCAAATGAAATTCCCAGCTTGTTGATTTTTTTACAGGAACTGAAGCGGTTCCCAGCACTCCAGAACGAAATTGCATCTGCAGCTTACGATGCATTGGAGAGGTTCCGTGGAGATAGCAGGAAGACGACTCTAAGGTTGGTGGAGATGGAGTCCTCATACTTGACTGTGGACTTCTTCAGAAAGCTACCCATGGAGCCAGAAAGGGGCAGTGCAGGAAGCCCCATTTCCTCGACTACAGACCGTTACTCCGAAGGGCACTTCCGCAGAATAGGATCGAACGTTTCGTCCTATGTTGCCATGGTGGCTGAGAACTTGAGGTACACCATTCCTAAAGCCGTGGTCCATTGTCAAGTGAGGGAAGCTGGCCGATCGCTGCTCGATCACTTCTACATCCAATTGGGCCGAAGAAATGTAAGTAATCAACTTCCTCCCTAGCCAGTAGCTCCTTGCTTTCTGTTTTGTGTCTATGTTTCCTATTAGGTAGTCAGGAATCTGATTCGTCCAAAGCGACACGTGATCTAAATATGACCTTGGCTGTTTGACCCAGTCTTTCAATCAACTTTGTACTAGGGGTGGGGATGATTGAGCCTGGAAATTGAACTGAATTGGTGTGTGACCAACTTAGAATGAGGGAAAATAATGAATACGATCAGATCAAAATGGATGCGAATCAGTTCAGTCAGTCTGTTCTGGTTCCAGTTCAGTTTAGCTTAGAATCAAAATCGAATTGTGGTCCGGGCCGATACCCATAGATAATGAACAATCCTAGCATGCCCTGCTACTCGAAATGATCAGACTTACTATGATCTGGTCTACTTGTTTGCCACTTGATGGATAAAAATGATGCTTGATCGCTGGACTGAAACATTCAGGAATCAGGAATGTAGTTCCTTGGGTGGTTGCAAATTGATCTTGGAAATGGAACACATGCCTCTGCTTATTCGAGATATATTTATTCAAGAAATGCATATTCAGAACGTAAACTAGACATTTGAGTGACTCCATTTTCGGTTTCCTGCTTGCTATGATTCTCCAGAGCAAGCAGCTTGGAGCACTGTTGAATGAAGACCCATTATTGATGGAAAGAAGGCAGAGGTTCAGCAGGAGGCTGGAGCTATACCAATCAGCAAGGGATGAGATAGATTGGGTTTTGCGGTCTGAATGAATTGACTTCATAGGTAGCTTGGAGATGGGAGAAAGAAAGATCATAATGCAAATCAGATTAGCTACTTTGGGCTCGATCAAATTTTGCTGACTCTTTTCTCGTCTTGGCTTTGCACATATCCTGTTGCTCTGTTCCTCTCTGGTTCATGCATTTCTAGGGCAGAGTTCTTAAGGCATTCTTTTAGGTTTAATCCATTGTTTCCAAGTAGATAGAAGTGCAAATCGCAGAGAGGTAACAAAAGAGATTCACAAGCCAGAAATTGAATGGCATTTTACTAGATTCGAGCCCGCCTGTTGGGCGGATAGCCAAATATATTGTGTCGATGGCATAAACAACAATAGTAATTGTTCAAAGCAAGTTACGTTTCTTGTTATGCGAAAAAATATAAATTATTCTGTAACTGAAAAAAATAATATACATGAACATATATCATAGAGTTATTCGATGTTCTAACTGATTCTCTTATGTAATGATGAAAGTAAATAACTAAATCCCTACCAAAGATGCGATTCCTAATTAGAAAAAATTATCAAACTAAACCAATACAAAGATCTCCTCCATCAAAATTATCTACCTTCTTATCAACAATTTCATTATCTCCATTATCAAATCCACTACCTTCAATATTATCCGACACTTCCTCTAAAAAAAGGCTCTTTCTTCTTCTCCCGGACTTTCATGAAAACGAAAGTTTAATTAGAGAATGTTTGCAATCATGACACTGCATGTATAAATTTATTCCATTCAAGTCATTATATTGTCGATGATTTGTTGTTTCTCCACATCGGAACCTCTATCTCCAACATAAATAGCATCTTCCTTCTTCTAAACAACGTCATTATTTCAATCACAAGATCCATTAACTCCACTTTAGGAGACTCTTCTTCTCCTACACTTCAGCAAATTCAAAATTTTCTTAGTAAAATGTTTGAAAATATGAAAATCACTTTCACATATGTAAAATTTCTAACGTCCAAATTTTTTTTTTTTTTCTGATTTGCTCTTTAATCCTTGTCTTAAAAATTTGTATACTCACTTGTGGTGTTCGTGATATTGAAATGGATGAGTTTGTTGTCAAACTTTCAGTCCATTCCCTCTATATATAGGAGATAAGAAGGTGCAAGTCCTCATTGTCTTTATCTGGTAATACTTTGTCCACAACTCGGACCTAGATCAGAAACATACAAAATTATAACAATTAAGATCAACTATTTAAGTCAAACAATTTGTGTTTAAAAGGTACGATGATTTGTCCTCAATTGAATGAATTTGAAATTAAGAAGAATGAATTACTACTTAGTTGATATAGTCTTTGATGTTCTTGCACAATTCACACAAAAGTACTTGTGGGAGTCTTTTTTACTTTTGATAGATAGGTTTGTGTCTAGCATAGCACTATACCGATTCCCAACTTTAACAACTTTGTACTGGAAGGAATATAAATTGTTCTACACATTAGAGAAAGAGTTAGCATTTTAATATGAATGAGTTGCTAGATTGAAATTGATGTTTACTTCCTCTCCATTCTCCACTTCAATTTGTTGAGCTCTTGTCATATTTTGGTGGGGATTGGGTTTCATTTTTACTCTCCATGGATGAAATAAGAGGATGATTACCAATATTTGTGATTTCATTTTTACTCTCCCTGAATGAAATGAGGAGATGATTATCAATATTTGCGAGAATGACATTTATCTATCATGTATTCAACCATCCTACAGTCTTGGTTTGTTCATACCACCATGATACGTTTTTCAAACCATAGATATGCTTTTATTTAAATACCAGTCAATACCATATGGTATAGACTAGTAAAAAATGACTCAATTTTTTTGTTCGAAAAATATATTAAGTGGATATCATTTTGAAGAGCACAATTAATCTGATCTAACTGTGCAAAAAAAAAAGTTTAAATTTTGACTTAAAATGAGTGAGAAATCATTCGTCAAAGATTAAAGAGGTGAAAATTAAAGGCTTTCCAGGAGAGAGAGGATGCTGATCATGCTGATGTTGACGGGTTACTCATAGTTACCCACCATAAGGTTACTGACGTGATCCATTCCTCTGATTAATTATTCCAAGCCCATAATACAAAATATCGATGAGGGGATAAAAGAATGTGGACGGTACACATTTGAGAGAATCGGCCATTAATCTCAATTTTTAGGGAAAACTGGCCTGTTGGCTGGTACATCATAATTGGATGTGCATATATGAGCTCATTGATTCCAGGGAACTGGGAACGTATATATTGCAAGAAGCCCACCCGAAATTTGAAATAAAATTACCATGGAGTCCTTCCGTTGTATGCGCAGCGGCCAGAGAAAAGGGAATAGGATAGGTGATGAAGGGGAATCTCCGTATAATTGTTGTTTGATCATTTGGCTAGAAGCCTATCGGCAGTAGGTTTCCTTAGTAAACCAGTATTTGATAAAATGCATCAAATTTCCAACCACATCTTTTCCTCTTCAAGCATATGTCTAGTCTGACGTAATGGTCTTTTTTTTTCCTCTGTGTGTGTGAATAAACTGACGTGTAATGGTCGGAGGAAAAGATTTCGTCATTGTTCCTGATGATCAAGTCCACTGTTTCCAAACTAATTTATGTACTAATGTTGGAATGTGCCCTATGCAGGCGTTTTTACCGCATATTCTTCTAGTTCTGTTTTGTTATGGTTTCGTTCTTGCATTTCGAGGGCTGAGTTCTTTGGTTTGGCCATTCTTTCGAGGACAGAGTTCTTGAGACCAGATGTAGTCCAGAATCACAGATGTAACTAAGAAATTCCGAAGCCATAAATTTATTACATTGAAGTTGAAATAACCACTTTTAACAATAATTTTGGCTAGAAGCCAGTTTCGACATTCATTCTTTCAAGTAATTCAATACTCAAGATCATCGGAGATGTATCTGGGCTTGCATGGCAGAGCTATGGTCAGGTGAAAGTAACAGTACTATTGAATGCTGATCATATGATTGCTAACCATATCAGTCCCTCCCTCTTCAAGTTGAAGCTCCATTTTCAGCTCCCATGGCTTTATCAACTTCTTCAAGAGCAGCCCACAATTTGGGGTCGGCATAGTTCTTGATCAGAAATGTAGGCTTAGCTTGCATCAACATATCCTCAGGGTTCCTCGTGGTTATACCGATAACCGGCATTCCAGCTGCAACTCCAGCTTTAATTCCAGATACAGAATCCTGTCCCAACAGCATTCATCAGAAAATTTTCCAAGGCTTTGGAGGAACAAGCAGAATGTAAATAAAGCAAAAGGAGAAGTTAAGAGAGACCTCAAACACGAATGTGTGCTCCTTCGACACTTGGAGCACCTCTAGTGCTTTCTGGTAAGGTTCAGGGTGTGGCTTAGCATGCTCACAGTCGTCTCCCAGAATGACAGCCTGGAAGAAATCTGTTAGCCCAAGTTTCGCGATCATGAGCTCAGCATTGGGTTTTGGAGCGTTGGTGACTGCAGCGCGTTTCAAGCCATGATCTTCGATCCACTTCGTCACTTTGTAGAGGCCTTCTATTGCTGTAATGTGCTCAGCTGCCAATCTGAGTTTGTTTTGAAACATAAAGCTGTAAGTGCATCATACTGTGAAAGGAATCCTTTCATGTGAGAGAATTCATATTTAGAGGAGAAGGAAGGAGCTTTATCATACTTCCGGAAATAGGTTTCCTTGTCCACCATAAACTTTATGCCTCGAGGTATGTCATCTGGGAAAAAGAGTTCTGCAATTTCCTCATTGTGTTTTCCAGCAATATTCTTGATGAAAAAGTCCTCTGATATTGGTTCCCCATTGTTGTAGTTGATCTATTGAGCAGCATAATAGTGAAATTAGTTTAAGTCCTTGAGCCAATGACTTATACGAACTAGAGCAATTATATATTCCAACTAACATGCTAATCAACTGATACTAGCTACCATTTAACAGAAATGGTCAACCCTGTAGTAGATCCAAATTGTCCTTTTAAAAAGATAAAAACGGAGAATGAATCAAGGTGATACCTCTTGAAGCAGGTCAACAAAGGCGCGATGATGAATTGGATCTGTATCACATAGAGTTCCATCGACATCGAAAAGGACAGCTTGAATTGGAGCGAGTTTGGCGAGAGAACTGCTACTGCATCTAAAAGTTGGGGAAAAGAAGCTGTAAGTGGAGAGTATGGTCACCATAGATAAGCTGAGCTAAAGATAATAAAGAAATAGAAACATAAACAGCTCATTCGTTGTCTAAGCTTATTGAAGAGAATCGGAATAACTGTATTGAGCTGGCCTTATGCATACTTCATGTTTCACTACATGTTACCAATTTGAAGCTACCTTCTCCACAAGCACATATGGTTTCTCCCAAATAGTCTTAATACAAATGCCATGTTGTAGCTAGCCTTGGCAGATGAGAGCTCTCAAGGCAGTATAAATCTAAGGTGGCCTTTTATGCAATGGAGTAACACCTACTGGAAGTATAACACACGAACTCCCCCATTTTGAAGGTTCACCTTGTAAATACAGACAAACCAAAATCCAAATTTGTTGCAAACCCATCAAAGATGTGGACGAAAGACACAAGTTCACTAATTTCCTTAGCTCAGCTATAAAATTTCATGAGATCCTCCACCTAGTTCTCAGCCTGCTAACAGTTGGAATAGTTTCTTTTCAAAAGGGTAACAGTTTGACAGCAATGGTAAAAAAAAAATTGGTCTTTAAGAGTGTTCTCTCTCCCCAAACCACTGACCTTTACAAATGATGAAATGTGTAGCATGAAGAACCAAGATGGCTTACAAATGGGGTGGACAGGGCAGGATCAGTGTAACAACAAACGCCACAAAATTTCAGCACCAAGCATACATACATTTCATAATATATCGATCCCTAGACTCTCATTTTCAATCTAGGATAAAATCAAAAAGAGAACCCAGTTCTCCGCCATTGTTGAAATTTCACCGAGCTTCACCTAATCTAGACCCAGAAAACTGAAAGCGCATGGCATGCATATCAATTAGACAGGTGATTGATTTAAGGGGGGAAAATCATGGCGTTGCAGTAGGAAATCAAGCAAAACGCAGAAAATCCACAAGAGATATGCGATCGGAGAACCCAAAAAGATATTAGAACGAATTGAAATCGGGGGACTCACGTATCAGCGGTGCCAGTCATGTTTCCGAAGAATCACGGTGGTGGTTCAGAGAGTTTTTCAGGGGAAATGGGATGGATTCGGAGAAGCGATGGTTGGAAATGGCTGTGATCCTACGCGGGAAGAAGGAGGATGAAGAATGATCTGATGCCAAGGAATCGAATCGATCAATGGCGGAAGAATGACTGAAGATGGGTACTGGACTCTCAGACATTTATAGGCAATTAGGCAAATCAGTGAATCACAAGTGTCCGCTTCCGCCATTAGTCTTTTGTACTAACACGTTCTTGAGGCATTTTGGGCCACATGACGGAAATTCACATAATTGCACCTCAATTTTACAGAAAGTTCACTGTTAGTCCCTATCTTATTTCCACCCTCTTAGTTTTATTTCTTCAAGTATTTATTTATTTCTTTATTCTGTTTTACTCCTAATAGTAAAAATTTCCACCAAACGTGTGTTTTTTCACTCACACATTTAGTAGTCAAGATGACATTGTTGAAAATAAGAGTGCAAATTAATACTATCAACCAAATTGAGAAAAGAAAAAAAAATCAATTACATAAGAGTTGTTAACGACAGATTAACTATACATAAATCCATCAGCCAACCACGATTCTACATCAAACTTAAGAAAAACCGTTATGTGTTATAGTAATGACAAATAATTTTTTAATCTAAAAATGTTTGGTGGCATATGGGTGAAAATGCCCTTGGCCTTAGGAAATATTCTTTTTGTTTTATGGAACATAAAGAAAGATTCTTGTTAGTATAAAATAGGGATATTCTTTGTTGCACTTGGTATAAAACTAACTAACTAATCATAGTTGAGATTTGAGAAATATTCAACTACTAAGATTACAGAATTCAACCCATGATAGCTTTTTCATAATAAAATTATTCATAGTTTAATCCATATTTTCCATCCACTAGCAATATATATTAACGAGCAAATATAAAATGGTCGAATCTTCTTCTACGGTTGAGTGATACAAAACTTTGTATTATACAAACTAAATTTATACTTTTATGTTATGGTGGATTGGATTCATGGATTGGTTCAAAAGGATTGGTGGATTGGATTCATGGACTCAAGTGAAATCTAAATATTGGACAAATATGTAAATTTGAAAAAATTGTACGTATGAAAATCTCATAAAATTTAGATACCAAAACATAATTGTTCAATGATTTTATATTAAAATTAAATTTGGGGTATCAAATTGTAAAACTTACATTATAGTGACTAAGTTGTGATTTAATTAAATTCTGGGTATCAAAATGTAAATTGTTAAGCAACAGTAACCTAACTTCAACTTTATATATATTAATTAATTTAGATACCAAAATATAATTGTTCAATGATCTTATATTAAAATTTAATTTGGGGTATCAAAATGTAAAACTTACATTATAGTGACTAAGTTGTGATTTAATTAAATTTGAGGTATCAAAATGTAAAACTTACATTATAATGACTAAGCTGTGATTTAATTAAATTTGGGGTATCAAAATATAAATTATTAGGTAACCGTAACCTAACTCCTCACTTCAACTTTATATATATTAATATTTTCACTGCTCTTTTTCCGTTGAACTTGTGTACGAGTTGCCTGATAAATGTCAACCTACCAATTCCTTCATTTCCAAGAAATTTCTCATGTTATCAATTTCAAATTGTTAATCCCTACCAAACTTTTTAAAAAATATACTTCTATTAGGGTTGCTACATCATGGCTGATACTATGAACTACTTTAATCAATTGAGCATGAAGTCTTGATAGAGATCGAAGGAGTGGAAAACTAAGTTTGGAGGATTTGAATTTTGGTAGTTCACTCAATCCTCATTTCTTAGATCATTTTGGCTTTCATATAAAATTACATGTGTTCCAAACTTGCAAATATGTAATGGGTAGTCCTATTATTGCAAATGGTTTTGTAATTTTAAGAACGCATCTCATGTGAAGGGATGGCAATGGGTCGGGTTGGGGCAGGTTTTGTCAAACCCAAACCCAAATCCATGGGTTTATCCGCCAAAAAATCCGGGGTAAAATCCGCTGGGTTTGAAAAACTCAAACCCAACCCAACCCGCTGGGTATCCGCGGGTTCATGGGTACCCGTGGGTTTTTGTGGTAAAAAATTTACAATAACAAGTTTCTTTCAAAATAAAAGTTTAACATCAATTTTCTCATACAAATTATTCATACAAAAAACACCAATCTAGAGCATACAAGCAAACCGCAAATGATCAATACAAATTGTTCAAAATTAAAGATAAACATCTATAAACAATAAGATTAATTGAAAGCTTCTTCCTCGTCAACTAAGTTTCTTCACTCTCCACTTCATAATATCAACTTCATTCTAAACAATTAGAAAGAACAAATTATACATGTCTCCACAAACATAAAGAATATTAGTTGTTTAAGGAAGATATATTATTTAGAATATTAAATATACCTGGAAAGTAATTATATGTGTGTGGGCGGGTACCCATGGGGCGGGTTTACCTAAACACAAACCCAACCCGACCCGGTGAATAGTGTAGCGAGTTTAAACCCGAACACGGATTTTACCCGCATTAACCGGGTTGGGTCGGGTGGGTACCCGTGGGTTCGGGTATTGTTGCCATGGGAATCCCATGTCATCTAACAATTGGAAATGTAAGACCAATTTAGATGCTCTTATGGATTGTCTGTTTGTGGTTACCGCTTTCTATTTTATTTTTTCATGCTATTTAAAGTATTTTTTCTTTCCTAGGTTGAAAATTCATTCTTTTTTACTATTTTTTTTACCTTTCTCTCCTGCGACAGTTACAGACCGTTTGGTACCAAATGAATCGAGAATTCATTTCATTGTAAAATGAATTGCTGGGTAGAATTCATTTTCAAATGAAATCTTGTGTTTGATAGGTTATATTCAAATCTTTAAAAATAAAAATGAATTGCCGTCTATAATTAGTCGTCAAATGAATTCTTGTGTTTGGTATGTCATGTGTATAAGTAATTTAGTTAATAAAAGAGAATAATTATGTCACTCTATTATAATTAGTAAATACTGGTGGAATTCATTTGGAAATTTCATCTCAATTCCTCGGAATTACTATAAGTAGTTCCAATTCCATATATTTCAAAATTTAGAATTGAAAATGAATTCTTTTAAATACCAAACACAAAAATGTTTTATTTCAAAATGAATTTCTCAAAACTTATGGAATTCATTTATACAAAAGTAGAATTAAAAATAACAAGGGTTAATTGCACCATGTGCCACTTAATTTTACTATTTGTTATGCGTTAATCAACTAAGTGCATTTTGTTGTAACTAAACCATTTAAGTTAACTTCTGGTTGCATAGTTATCATTTTCGTTTCCCAAACTAACGATAGGTGTACATACGTAATTTTCCATGCCATGCGAACTGCCACATCACCGGCTGCAGGGTGACATTATTAATTAAAATCCATTGTGAACAATAAACTTATCCTTTACCAAATTTACTACCTACATAGCAAGGTCAAAACTAAATATTGAGTGGATGGTTGAAATATTACCTTATATCAGGCCATGATTTCATAAACCTTTATCGAGATTTCAAATGAGGGGATACAAATCACTTTGAAGAGTCTATTACAATGTAAGAGATCCCAAATTATTCCTAATAAATATATTACAAATAATTGTAATTTGGTTAGTGAAATAAAAAATGGAACGAACTCGATCGGTGGACGAGTTCAAAGCTAGTATATTATTGAACTGTCGCCACCTCAATAGAGACTTTGTCCACCATGTCCAGACAAACAAAACGTGAATAAGGAGCCAAATCAATTACTTTTTATTGGCGGCTATAACATATATGATTCATATTTAAAGATTCTTTTGAAATATGATTAAGATGATTATGATAGTAAATTACTTGTCAATTTACCACCTGAAACCAAATCACCAACAGAAGCCAATTACACATGTGTGGGTTAATATGAGAAATCCTCGAAAGGCACAACAAGCCTAAAGTCCAAGGCTACCGGGGCAGAGCTACCACGATAATTTTGAACATATCGTCTAAATATGTCGGAATTTTTGAATCTCACATGGGTACGCTAGCCATGTATTACTAGTTCAATTTGGATATGATACTATCCCCTAATATCTAATGAATAAACCCCAGGTTTCGATTCTCAAAATCCAAACCTGAAGTTCAATTTGATATAAAACAATAATTGACCGTTGATTTCAATCGGAACTAATCGAAGTACATCTAACGGTCAGATCACCTGCTATATACTATACGTCTGACGTACACCAATCATTACCAATCTCACATATACATTAATTATAATTATAAAAAAATTTGAAGTCTACAATATTGTATCAATATAATCGAAAAAGTTAATTTGCTAACTTGAAAATTTGTTAGCATATACTAATTGATATCCAAAATACATGAACTAGTATCCAAATATTAAAGTATCTAGAAACATATATTTTAGATACTAATTTATACATTTTGGATATTAGTTAGTATATACTAACAACTTATACCTGCAATATAATTCCTTCTATCCTGATTGATCTGTTGCTTGTTTGAGGTGGACATGCTCAGCGTTCATTTCAAAGTGGCATGAATGCTTTTTTTTTTTGCTTTATCTTTTCAGTTTACTTTTAGTTCGAAACTCAATCTAGCCACTTAATGTCCATAATTTACTTTCTTAGGTCCTCTATAATTTACTTTATTTGTTATCCGGTTTCGGTCCATGTTATACGATCCAATTTCAGGTAAAACAAAAGACCCAGACCAAATAGCCAAATAGCCACCCCTATAACATACCAAATTTCAGTTCTTCTAATCATCTCAAATAACATTGTAAATTTCAAACATATTAATTATTAATAACATAATAATAATTTTTGAATATTTTTGCAATAAACTTTTCTAGGAGGCTGTGAGTAGGTGAGTTGGGCAGAGTTTTGTCAAGTTCTTGATTATCCGCTGTTTGGGATATGCTCAATAGCATAGTAACTATGCAATTATGCATTAGCATTATTATAATTTATAAGTCATGTTACTACATAATTTAATAGTATAAAACAGCAGCAACAACATTAGCTAGCTAGCTACCATTGGACAGAAGTGATGGTCAACGCTATTGTAGATCCGAACACACCTTTATTATAAAAGAAAGGCTATAGGTGTAGTATGCATCCATTATGCATTTTTATCCAACACATTTCTATTATTTGTAATTACATTGAACATGCTTTTGTTAAAATTATCAAACATATCCTTTTTTCGAAATGTTCATCCAATAATCGTCAACACGGTCAAATCGTGGTTCGGAAGAAATGAGCTCGACAAAATGGAAGGAAAAATGTAAGTTTTTTCCTTCATTTATTTCTCTAATTAACTCTCATTCAAGTGAAATTAGTAGGAGCATTGGGCTATACAAAAGAAGAACAAAAATGTTAAAGTGAAGTTATTAGAGATGTTTTAAACATTTACATCGCACAAACCAAAATTCAACCGTAGTTGACATGTTTTTTTTATGAAAATTTCAACAAGATGACAAGTTTTATAATTTTTTTTTTAAAATCCATAAATATATATTTTATTTTAAAAAATAATAAAACGACACGTTTGATAAATACCTATAACCAAAACCTGATAATGATCTAAAAAGAATACCGATTGAAGCACTGGAACAAAGGCACGACAATCAATTGGATCGGAATCGCATAGAGTTCCATCAACATTGAAAAGGACTGCTTCAATTCGAGGCATGACTGTGGCCTGAGAACTGCTTGCTTCTCCATCTAAAAGTTGAAAATAAAGAGCTATGTTTCTGTTGCTGTATAATGTCTTCTTGCATCCCAAGTCCAAGCGGGTGGTTGTGTTATGCCTTTGTTGTTGACTTTGTTGTGCGCAATGGTGGTTGTGTTATACTGTTATGTCTTTGCCGTTGAACAACGTATTGCATCCAATTACACGCAATGGTTGTGTCTTACTGTCATGTCTCTGCTTAAACTGTTTTTATTTGTCCAATTTCATTTTTGGTGTAGTGCAATAACACTTGACACTTGGGTGAAAATGGGGTGATCAAGGAATATTAGTGTGATCTACTCAGTGTAACAATATTTGTCGATTAAGAAAGTCGGAACGATAAAGATGTGATTTGCAGTCCGAAGCATATAAGGAGTATGAAAGAATTTTCCGGTGAAATTTCATGTTTTTTTTATTTAATTTCGTTCTTTCCAATTTTTTTTTGCTACATAATTCTGTTTCTATTAATGTTGAAATGATGAGGTATGTATGATGATATTTGATGTTTTAATAGTAAAAGAAATACCAAACATGTTTGACAATCTTGTAGAACATTATTGAGTTGGTGAGAGATGACCGCAATTTTCATTTCAATAATTTAAATATTAGATGCCAATATTGTTATTATATGGTATGAGATGAATTATTGAATTTCCCCCGTTATGACATAATATTAGAGCATTATGTCATCGATATATGACTTTCGTTGAAGATCTTTGGTTTATACCTCAAACTTCAAGCAATTCTTCCTGCACGAGCTGGAACATGGGCTATAAGCCTGAAGGCCCAATAGGTTGAGTGGATTTGATTCCATTGCAAGTCCCATTGGACAACAAGCCCAACCGCCCAAGACCTTTTCTGCATTCAAGTGGACTTTTGAACCGAGCCCGGTCGAGAAAGAGAAACTCTCTAATATCGATGGCAGTTCTGGAACAAGGGTTTCGAAAGTGAAGGAGGAGAAGGGACGCCGCTCTTCATCGCCGGCAGCTTCCTGTCAACTCCGCCGTCCAATCATCCGTCATCCCTGCTGCAGGAGTCGACACTGTTATTTACTGCTACAGCCAACGACCTTCATTTCTGTTCATATCCGGAATTAGCCGGGAGAAATAGAAAAGGTTAATCCATCGGGTAGATGTTTTCTTCTACTTTGTACTCCTTTTGTCTCTGGTTCTCGATTGGTTTCAGTGGCTTATCTGGGTGAATTACTTTCTTGTGATAGTTTAGACCCAAATGGCTTATCTACAACACGGCAGAAATGCCCTGCGCCAAATTCTTAGAGAAAGTAATGTTAGGAAGAGCTCGTCCGATTCATCGTTACCGCGGTTGCTTTATGCTTGTCAAGGAGTTCGATTTAGGAAGCTAGAGGTTATTCTAACAACGGTGAGTTCAGCTTTCTCTAACCCATTGGCTTGATTGAGCTTTTGGGAATCTTTCATTTTGGTGCTGATGGTGTGAAAGTCTGAATCTTTTTTTTTCCTCCAGAACATAGACAAGCTTGGTAAAGCAGGCGAAACAGTGAAGGTTGCACCTGGATACTTCCGCAACCACCTGATGCCGAAATTGCTAGCCGTCCCTAATCTCGACAAGTTTGCTCATCTAATCACCGAGCAGCGCAAGGTTCTTGTACTCCATAGATTCTAGCTTTTCTCTGTCGTAACTGTCGAAACTAGACGATTGCAAAAGCTTTCACCGAACCAATGCTTACTTTGCTCTAATTTTGCTTTCCAGTTGTACCAGCAAGAGGAGGAAGAAGAGGTTAAGAAGGTGGTCGACGAGACCAAGGAAGATAGGATGAAAGAGTTCGAAACAGCTGCAAAGCGCTTGGATAAATCGCGCGTGGTATATGTTCTGCCTTTGAATCTTTCAAAGCTCTTGACACCATTGCAATGGGAGAGTGTGTAATATGTTGTTCATCATATTCTTTCTTTCTGTTAATTGGTTGTGTGCAGACATTTAGAGTGGGGATTGATGCAGAGAAGTTCCGAGCCCGTGCCTCAAAGGATGAACCCGTAGTGATTCTCTCGCCAGTGACAAAGGATGACATTGTGAAAGAGGTACAAACCAAACAAACGTTCTTTCAGGTTAACAGAACTTTCGGTGCTGCTCCATATGCAGTGACCATGCCAATGCTGTTTGAATTTTGCAGGTTGCAAGGCAGCTTAACGTGCTTATCGATCCAGACAACCTTCATCTGCCGACGCCATTGACAACATTTGGGGAGTTTGAGGTGCCTTTGCGTTTGCCTAGGTCCATTCCTTTGCCCGAAGGAAAGGTTAACTGGACACTGACAATTAAAATCAGGGGCAAATAGAAAGCCACAGTAAGAATCTTAGATTGAATCCCAGGGTTTGCTGGAAATGTCGAAACTCATTGCTGAAACTTGTCAGCTTGTTGCCGGGTACTTGTTAACTGGTAGGGTTTGTTTTCCAATAATTTGGTTGAATGTAAGATGCATTCTGGTTGGTGTGGAGCGGTAGAGCCACAGATTTGAATGCAGGGTCTCTGTCTCTCTGATGGGAAGCTCTCCTCGGTAGTTGGTGCTGATTATTTAGTAGTAGTGTTAGCATATCCACCTGAACAATTTTTGCAATCTGTTAATTTAATTACAGTTATATCAATGCAATGCAATTCACATATGGCTAATTCAATCCACTTCTTTTAGCATTTCATTTGTTGCAAGGTCGCAAATAATGCAATTGAATTTGTAACTGTAGAAACTCATATCATATCGTATTTGTAACTGTAATAGGAAACGCAAGACCAATATGAATGCTATTACTATTTTCTCTGTTGCAAGATCGCAAATAATGCATTTGAGTTTGCAACAGTAAAAACTCATGCTATATCATCCTTTGTAATTGGAGATCTAAGACCAATGGAGATGCTCTTACTATTTTCTCTAATTTGTGTACGGTTAAATGAATACTAAATGGTACAATGGAATGAAAGAATAGAGATTTTGCTATCCAGTCGAATTTACCATTAGCTCTGCGCATCTGCCCCAAGTGAATTGAACTATAATTATATCCATCCCTGCATCCGACAAGTAATTTTGTCAATAAGAACATGTTTTATTTTCTTTTTACATTTTTAGTGTGTTTACGATACATTTTTTATTTTTGGATGTATACGATTTACAACAACTAAATGTCGATTTTAAGAATGAACTTTAAAATTCTATTCATCTTTATATATTTAATATAACAATATAATCTAGAGTAACTACTACTCCATGCATTCTTTACTCATAAATCAAGTTAAAAAATAACTAAAATATAGACAAATTATAATCAATTTTCACAAAAAAACTCACACATTTTCTTGTTTAGTATCATATCCAAATATCTGAATAACAATGATAAAAAAAATCCGAATAACAATTACCGGACTATTATGCCATCCGATAGGGGTGTTCAAACGGATTGGTTACCGTGGTAACCATATTAACCGGTAGCATTCGGTTAATTTGGTTTGATTAATTTGGATAATTGGTTTGTTTTGGTTAAACAATTTAGCTTATTTGGTTTAGGTGGTTTGGTTTGGTTTCAACACTGCTAACCAATGAAACCAATTAACCAATTAATGATACACATAATATCCAAAATTATTTATACTTCCATGCAACCAACCAAACCAAACTTTTGTGATTCCATGCAACCAACAAAACATTTTGGAAAACTACTAGACTTTAGGATTACGTACAATACCATGATAGCCACTTCAAACTATGTATAGTTTAAGAGTTTTATAGAAGAGCTTTAAATTCCTAATGAGAGGTATTGTATGTATTTATGTTAAGGGGTTTGTTGTAAGCTAACTATATTAGCTGCAGAGATGATTAATGATGTATTAACTCGAATGATGATGATAATCATGGATGGTTAGTTATTGCTTATATATAATGATAGTTTATGATAGTACAACATATGGTTATGTTTTATTCATTAACATGATAATTATTTTTATGTAATGTAATGTTATTTGGTTAATTCGATTATCCGATTAACCAAACCAATTAAACTTTGGTTTGATTAATTTGGTTTTCTTGTTAATTTGGACGGTTTGGTTAAAACATTTTATTCCATAATAAATGAAATTTAAGCTTAATTGGTTTGATTATTAACACGATAATCATTTGAACACCCCTATTATCCATCCGAGATGAATGATTGTACCAATACACCAACTTTTCATTCATCTCAGACGTTACTATTTCAGCTATTTCGGGGTGGTCTGAAAAACGGTTTCACCCATTTTCCTTTTTCTCTCCCACCTGAGAGAGTAAAGAACCCGCTCGCCCTTGCAGCTCATCGGAAAGGAAGAGAAATGAAGAAGACAATCACCAGATAATCTACTCAACCCGCGCGAAAATGCAACAAAACGAATTCCACTCAAAACTGGATTAGACTTCAGACCATAGCGATTCTCCAGTGCAGCAGCGCCTACTCTCAATCTCTTTCCTTCACCTGATCTCTCATCCATTCCTTCCAACACAGGTAAAATTCCGATTCCGCTTCTGAATTCCCTATCGGTTTCTTCATTTTTTTATCCTACCGAAGCAATCCTTTGAATCGTAATTTCCAGTTCGTGTTCAGATCGGGGAGATTCGGTTGATGAGCTTTGAAATGGGGTTCGTGGAGAATCCGGTGCTAGCAAAGTCGACGAACGTGGTCTCCTCGCCGTCGAGCGGCGGCAAGGCTCATCCGGAGGGGAAACCGGTGGAATCAGGGAAGAGTAAGTACAAGCGGCGTAAGGTCTCAGCGATTCGGCATTGGCCGCCTAATTGTGGGCCGCAGTTTCGCTCAGCAGTACCACCACCAGGTAACTCGGTTGAGATCGAGTCTCATGGTGGAACGGACTCTAGTAGCAATGGTGGATTGGATTCGAAGCGGGAGGATGAAGTGGAAGTCTTGAATGGCGTTGCTGTTGTGGATGATTCTGTAGAATTGGAGAAGACCGATGTCAAAGTTGGAAATGAGGGTTTCGTTGATCAGAGCGATGATGCTCTTGAGCAGAAGGAAGATAATGTGAAGCCTGCGGTGGTAGGTCCAAAGTATCCACCGAGGAGGAAGGTTTCGTGTGTTAGACACTTCCCTCCGAATTGTGGAAGAAATGCTCAGCCTCCTAGCAAGGTAGAAGGAGACACCGTGGATGAAACTGAAGAGGAAAATCGTATGCCATTGTCAGAGAAGGTGAGAAGAGAAGCTGAAGGGGTTAAGGATGTTTATATGGATGGTGGAGCTCTAAGTGGGAGAAGGTTCAGCAGCAATATCCCAGAGCGGGTCAAGATTGAAACCAAGGGGAAACAGTTTAGTGGGAATGGGATTACCAAGAATCCGAAAGCGGTTCCTCCCCAAAAGTACAGCTCAGTCTCTGAGAAGATGATGTCCAAGGGTAAAGGAGCACCTAGCTCTAGTAACTCGCGTGTTGATGAAAGTTATCGTAAAAAGGAAGTTGTATCGAGAGAGAGTAAGAAATCAGATTCTTTGGCAAAGGAGGATGACCAGGAACAAGAACTTGATGATGTTGACAATGGTGATGATTATGAATTTGCGAGGAGGGGGACCGGTAAGAGTGTGAGCTTAACTTCTGCTGGGCCTGGAACTTCAACAGAGTTAGATAAGGACAGAAAGAAAGTGAAGGAAGTACTAGATACTTTCCACTTCCTATGCAGGAAGTTGTTACATGATGAGGGATCAAAGCCCAAAGGTGGTAATGCCAAAAGAGTTGATTTTCTCGCCTCAAAAGAGCTTAAATCCAGAGGAATGTGCCTCAATGTCGGGAAGCATATCATTGGAGCTGTCCCGGGAGTCGAGATTGGTGACAAGTTCCAGTACAGGCTGGAGCTCAACGTCATCGGCCTTCATCGCCCGACTCAAGGCGGGATCGATTATACGAAGCATAATCAGGGTATCATAGCAACAAGCATCGTGGCGTCGGGTGGATATGATGATAATGTGGATAACTCGGACGTGCTCGAGTATACAGGTCAGGGAGGGAACTCAACTAAAGAGAAGGAAGCTGAAGATCAGAAGCTTGAGAGAGGTAATCTTGCTTTGAAGACTAGCATTACAGTGAAGAATCCCGTGAGAGTGATTCGTGGGACTAACAGTACAAATGTTGATGCCAGAGGTAGGATTTATGTCTATGATGGTTTGTATACCGTGGAGGAGTATTGGCAGGAGACAGGACCTAACGGTAAGCTCGTGTTCAAGTTCCGGCTGGTTCGAATGCCAGGTCAGCAAGAGCTTGCTTGGAAAAAGGGGAAGAACTCCATTAAGAGCTCTAGCTCTAGAGGGTTTGTTCATGATTGAGCATTCAGGGAGGGATTCCACAGCCAGCTGAAGGTACTAACTTCCAGTCTTGGATATTTCGGGTTCTAGTAGTTCCCTATATGTGAATGTATGTTGGGGAGTACTTTTGAAGATAGCAAGGTGCAGTGAAGAATCTTCGAGGCGCGCGCGATGAAGGCCTTGGAGTTTGAATAAGTGGCAATGTACAGTCAAGTTGTTGCAGGATGGGGTATTCATCAATTTTGCTGCTGCCAAGGCATGGCAATGTACTAGGGAGTTCAGTGATGGCAGGCATTATGGAAGAATGTGACTGGGAATTCAAGAAACGAATCATGGTTTATGAAAGCTTGGTTCGTCTGTGCACTTGTAGCAACATACTGAGTAGAAGAGATATACTGCATAAAAGTTTGGTTATCTTTTGGAAATGTAGAGAGAGAGAGAGAGAGAGAATGGGAGAGGGATAAAGATGAAAGAGCCATTTCCGCCCTGTTCAAGGAGGCTTTTGCCGTATACTGTCCTCATACGTGTGTGTGAAGTAGGGGTGAACAAGACTGATCTGGGTGGAAGATAGAGTATCACAACTAGTTAAGAATTCTATTTATTTTGATTTAGTTCAATCCCTTTATTTCCTTACTTTTAAGGGATTTATCCACCAAAGACACCGATGCTTCTTCCATCCAATATTTATTTGCAACTTGCAAGGATCAGTAGTCATGGGAAACGGTGCGCACCAAAACCAGACCATAGACACTCTCTGTGGTTTAGACTGAAAAGATGGGCACAGACCATGTACTATACGGTTCAGACTATATCTGTGCGGTGTAGTTCGGTACGATTTGGACCATACACACCATATTAAAAGCTCACTCTTATTCCGTTCTCCAACTCTTGGTCGATATCTATAAAAATAAGAATTTTAGCGACCAATATGCTAGTGAAACAAAAATTAATGATCCTAATTAAAATGAGAAGAAATATATGAGGAAAGAAGCAGGCTTTTTTCAATTTTCCAACTCTCTCCCGTCTCCACGACTCTATCCACTATCCATTAAAAAAAATACACATCACATAGCCTTGTTTCCCTCTTCCTTTTTGTGCTACCACTTCTCTCCCTCACTCGGGTGATCCAAAGATTTTTGCGGTCGATCACCTACGTGATAACGTCGAGGTCATTTTGAACCACTAAAATGGTCGCTTATCTTTTAATAATTTTCCTTAACTTATCAAGGTAAATGAATTTTTTTAGTCTTTATGTTTTATCGACTCCAAAGTCTAGACATTGTAGGTGAATATTATTTATGAATCTTTCTGGTTTTTGTGTGGTTCTTTGATAAGGAGATAACATATAAGCGATCATTTAGGAAATCTATTGGCTCTCAACTGGATGAAAGAATCAACTTTGTTCTTCAAATATGTAGATGGAAGTTTAATTTAGTATTATTTTGGTAGGAGTTAGTAGAAAGTTTGTCATGGTTTGTTAGGGTTTACTGTGGTAGACCGCGGTCCAAACCACACCCTAAATGAGGAGACCGCAAACCAGACCAGACCATAGTTCTGGTGTCGCCGTCCAGACCATAGTTCTAGTCTCGCAGTCCAAAACAAACCATATGATACAGTCTAGACCGCGGTTTCCCACACGGTTTGGTCTAGACTCCCACCCCTAAATCATGGTCTGACATTCTAGTCGGTTTGCTCATTCATTCATTGAAGCCACGCCCGTCCCATATTCATGCGGAGTAGGTTTTGCATCCTCATACATTATACTTGTGGTTTTCAGATACACATGGATAATACAGGTCTCATACATCCAACATTATTATATCTAAAATTTAATGTGTAGATCTTAAATTATAACACTGAACGGACCTAATAAATCATGCAAACTGCAAAGGTATAACCATTTTAATACGAATTCAGACCACTCAATTCTAAAACATCCATTAATCCATAAGAAAATGTACAATAGTATTCAAATAATTCATTTTTGAATCCAACACATTTACTAAACAATACATAACTAACATAATCTTGTTAAAAGGAGAAAGAAGTGAACGAGTGAAATGAAATTTGGAGGGAAAGAAATTAGGTTTGTTTTGGGTGGCTACTCAATTATATTTCAAATCTTTTTTTAATTACACTTCTTTTCATAGACATGTTACAATTATATCTCTCTATTTTTTTTATATATATACAGAAATATTATTTGTGGGGTGGGCATATGTATGGGCCGGTCAGTGGTGGAGGGAGAGTATAAGAGGGCGAGTCCCGGGACTCATTTTAGTTCGGAAGAAAAATGGTTAAATTAGATATAATAGTTAATTGATACTGAAAATTAGGGGATATTTTTATTGAGAATAGTTTATCAAAAAGTCTTGCGTTCGAATCTTTGTGACCTCATTTCTTAAGACAGTTAGATTTGTGCAAACTTCAATATTGTATAAGCTGACTTTCTTATGAGGGAGCGTGCTAATAAACGGTATAAGATATTATTGAACCTCTCCAACAACTTGAGATATTGATATTAAAAACACTTTTTAACAAAGAACATCATATGAAAATGAATGACTAACTAAATAATGAATTCTTATTTTGTGTAAGATTCATTATTAAACTTCTCTCAACAAGTCGAGTTGTTGATACTAAACGGTTTTGACAAATAACACCCTTCAAAGAGAACGACTAACTAAATCATTAATAATTGATTGGTACATAGGGTTATACATATGATAGTTTCGCCTACTAATGTATTTTAATTTACCAAAATGTTCCAATTATATCATGAATGATTAGCAAAGTTAACAAAAACTATCTTATCATGTGTATTTTCTTTAAGTGGACCCACCTTAGATGAAATCCTAGCTACACAACTAGGGGCGGTGGACTATACCCGCCCCCATCCTCATCAAACTTTTCGCGAGTTTTATGCATACTCGTCCGATATCCAGTCAATACAAGAATTCTTCACTTTAACTGAGTCGGGGGCAGTTTGTTACCATCGGTTATGGGTTTGATTGAAATCCCTAGTGATAAGAGCGGTTAATCCAAATATTAATAAAAAAGCTTAAATTTTAAGACACGTTGATTTTCATATGAATCATAGTTGTGGTTATGACATTTCCCACCTCACTTCGTCCTCAAGTGAAGAGTTTAATTGGACTTGATTCACTCAATTTCAATTTTTTAGGGGAAATTCAGGCAATTTCTTTTCCATGTGAAAAACCTATCTCTCTCTTCTCAAAGGAAAAAAATACGTATATTCTGAATTCAATGCAAAGATATTACTTCATATTGTAATTATCTAATTTAAATGAAAATTAAACCTAACATATGATTCAATTTGTCAATTTGACAGAAAAAAGTGGAATGGCCTAGTGAATAGGTCATTAACCAAAAATGACTGTAATTAACACAACTAAGATGCATCAAACTGTAAAACAATGCAAAGCACACTCTCATCTAACTAAAAAACATAAAGTTGAAATGAGCAGTGACTTGAGCTAAATGATAGAGTTAGCTAGGAATTTAATTTCATGGATTCTTAAGTGTTAACACAGACACCCCTAATACTATTAAAAAAACCCCTAAAATTTGGAGTAATATCACATACCTCTAAGTAGTAGTTTCAAATTTCAAAAATAAAATAGGTTGTAGTTTTTATGATTTGAACTCTAAATCTTCAAGTATTAAAGAATATGTTATCCATTACATTTCAAATCATCTTAATCTCGGTTAATGATGTGTAAATACCACCTTAAAAAACGAATCGTGTGCCCAAAATCCATGTTGGCACACACATAAGCATTCAACGATGACTTGTCCATCCGTTAAACACTAACGGTCAACACCGGTTAACATTAACAAAAAAAAAAAGTTCAGAATATGATTGTCATATTGAATATAATATAACACAATTGGCAATTTTTTTACAGTTCATTTATTATAGTGGTATTATCCCTAAAAATAATGAATTTTTATGACAAGCAAATTCATATTATATTAATGATGCAATTCTGAAATGACATAACACAACCTATTCCAAATACAAACTACAAAGGGGACAAAGTTGGAGGCAGTTAGAGAATGAAAAGCATAGAGAGTATGGGGGAGAATATTAGGTGCTTGGCTTCCAATTATATGAGGGAGAGATTCCTCTGAAACTCAAATGGCCTCATTGCATTTGGGTAGTCCTAAACTGCTACCCTAGAAGTAACAACTATTTGACAAAAGATTATTTTATTGATTAGATGTTTTATTTTATTTTGTCTTTTTCCTGGTGTTCACCAAATGCTATACTTTTTAATAAAATATTTACGGGATCAAAATAAATCGAAATGGAAAGTCGAAAATAATTGCGAAGTTAGGTGGCAAATACCAAATTTGATATCTTAATTTGATCCAATTAAAATGACATGCAACTAAAAATTATGCGGCGCTTCTTGACACATTATTATACATGCTAGATTTGTCTTGACCTCTAAGTTATTACCAAACTCCATCAATGGTTACCGTTACATTATGACTTGACTCATGTGACCCAACTCGTATACTCAATTCTCTTAGTCTACGATCGCTTTTTTTATGAACCGTAACCCGTAAACAAGTGACCCACCCGAATTAGCCATCCCCTATAACTCGACCCGACCGGCCTTCCTATTTTGATCCAAGTACCCGACCCTCCAGGTTGCCGCCGCCACCTCTATGTGAACATGTTTGGCTGTAAAGTTCAGAACATAACCCGGATGATTTGATTACTGTTAGAATAGTGTGATAATGCATGTATACATCACCAAACTTCCCATAATGGGGACTCAAGTGGTGGGAACCTGAACAGATTCCTATCAGTTAGGGGCTGCTTAGTGCCACTGCACCTAACTCTTTAGCACATTTAGAATTATGAACCATTCTTTCTGTAAGACCAGATAAGGTTGTCAAAGTAGCCAGCCAGCTAACCAATCCTTACAAGTCATGCAGTCAGCCAATTCTGTGGATTCTCTATAATTTCCTCATCCACACCATTCCCCCTGCAACTTAACAGATTCGAGGATATAGGTATAACCATGTGATTTCATCCGACTCGAACCGAATTAGACAATACAATCTGCAGTCATCAGAAAACACAATCTAGATTCATGGTCCTGCGTGTGGAACAAAGAGAATCACAAACAAAATTTTCTACTAGAAATGAATGGGACACTACAATGGAAGATGCTGATTGATAATCCAGGTTTGGAAACAGATGTTTATTGCCTAAATTCAGAAGACTTTAAGAGGCGAAGAAAAAGTGCAGTAAACTATTTGCAGGTCAGAAACCATTGTTGTCTGCATTTTCTTCAGACACAAGTAATTCCAAGTCTAAGAAGGTAAGCTAGCATGGTGGTCTTACGACTCTTAAAATGATATTTTCCTGTCAAAGTTTCAATATCAGAATGTCAAAAGTTGAAAGTTTCACCAAACCATGGAAGCAAGCTGGCTCGTTTTGGCTATAAATACTGCAAAGCAGTGCTCAACATTTGTACACCATACCCTGATTCTTCAAGGCTCTTAGCATATCCATCAATGGCTCTCTCCATTCAAACCCTTGCTTTCCTACTAGCAGCTGTGCTGTTTATGCACAACCAGGCACATGCAGCACAATGCAAAGACTGCTTCATCCATTCTCGTGCTGCCCACTATCCGAATTCTGATGAGAAAGGAACAGAGAGTAAGATTATTAACCAAAGCATACACAGTATAAGAAATGATAATTTTACTTGGTTCCTTTTTGTTTCTTTACTGATTCGCTGGTTGTTCAAATTTCAGCTGGCGCCTGCGGATTTGGTACATTTGGAGCAACATTGAACGGTGGAGATGTATCAGCTGCTTCTGAACTATACCGTAATGGTGTTGGCTGTGGTGCCTGCTATCAGGTCAGCTATCACCAAAGGATCACTTGTTTTCCGCTTTGGTGTTTACTGCACGAATTTATCAAATGTTAACCATAACCTGTTAACCACATTTCAAACAGGTGAGGTGCACCAATAGCAACTACTGCTCAGACAAAGGGTTGACCGTCGTTATAACCGACCAAGGGTCGAGTGACAACACCGATTTCATTCTCAGCCGACGGGCCTTTGCTGGGATGGCTCAGACCAAAGATGCAGCTGCATCATTGCTAGCCCTTGGAATTGTTGACATTGAATATAGACGGTGAGATTGCAGTTTGTAGTGTGGCGGTCATTCAGCAAACAAAAGCATAACTTATATGCTTCTTTTAAGTTTGAATCTGCAGGTATATCAGATAACTATGGACTAACTCAACCTTTATCCCCTTTTCTTGCATGCAGTGTTTCATGCCGCCATCCATACCAGAACATAACGATCAAGATTGATGAGAACAGCAACTACCCTTTTTACCTTGCTTTCGTCATACGGTATCAGCAGGGGCAGAAGGATATTACTGCCGTCCAGCTCTGTGAGGTAATATGAACAAATTCCATCTTTCCTTTATATTTCTAACTTAAAATCACAAATGCATACATTTTTCCAATTCTAGCACTCTATCTTCTCCTAAATTCAAACAGTCTGAGTCATTTATATTCTGATAATATCCTCCAAGGGGGTCCACGGTTCATTCAATCCAGAATCAAACCAAATGAGCATGGGAGAGAATCAAACGTAAAGGATGGGGTTGTTAATCAAACTAAAGTCGCATTTGGGTCTGATTTCGAAACCAACAAAAAAATCCTTTGGATTGGAGAACCAAAACCGAATCGTTATAAAAGCCAATTCGATCTGGGGTGAACCAATTCCTTGCAACCTCTAAGTTATCCTCCACTTTTCAGTCAAAACATTACTTAACTTCTCCAATCAAACATGTCTCAATATCTCCTACCGACTCTTGTAGCTAACTTCTGCTACTGATTGAAACAAACATATCCAGGATAGAGGACTGACTATTTGGCATGTGCAGACAGAAAATTTCGGGTGCAAGCTTCTGGAGAGGAGCTATGGAGCTGTGTGGACGACTGCCTCTCCTCCCAGAGGACCTCTGTCCCTGAGGATGTTATTCAGTGATGATGATGGCGATGAGTCATGGGTGGTTCCTGTTAACAACATACCAAGTGACTGGAAACCTGGACAAACATATGACACAGGACTGCAAGTTGATGTTTAGTATGCCTTAAACAAAGATTAAACCCGGCCAATCAAGAAGTCTACATGCATACATACCTCTTCTAGGGTCTTTTATTTGGTGATTTGTAATTTTTTTATTGTTGTCTTCCTTTCTTGTCCCATGGAGACAAGAAAGAATATAATAAAGATAAAGTCATGACTGTAATCATTGGAGGTGTTGGGTTATAAGAGATTCACAAGTGTACTAACTATTTCAGAATTTGGCTTTCTTCATTTGTCTCATGAGTCATGAAGCTTCATGGAAATCTGATGGAATGTCAACTTTATAGTATTCCAAAAGGAAAACAACCAACCAAGATAGCTAGAATATGATTTCAAAAAGAAAAAAGAAGTTCAAATAATATCCAACAAGAAATGAATGTGGAACTTGATTGTTCTATATGACTTATTTGATGGTTGCTGAGAATTATGTTAAACATTTGTGAGAAAAAATAAGGCATTTTTATTGATAGGAAATATATTTCATATTCTAAGGTGGCTGGCGGCTAATAGTAAAGATCATCTTTACAAAACATTAGCAATAGGTAACAGCCAAGATAAATATCTTGACCAGACTAGACAAGATGTCGAGGGTCTATCCTCTAGCCATCCATATTGGTATTTGTTTGGGCTTATTTACCTACAAATCTTACAATTAAGCTTCCTCAAAGTTCTAATTGCTTATCGCATGCAAGCCTATTTTACCAGGATCGAAGTTTAAGGAAGCAGCTTGGCTTCTAATCACAAGTTCATGCCTTGCCATTAATCAAATGCTAACACAAATTCAGTCACAATTAGGCAAAACAAAGATGAATGACAAGCTGAGCATAAATATCCTACAGCAGATTAAGGTAAGGACACGACTTACTTTCTTAGATTCAGAGATGCCTTAAGATTATAAGACAGTGACAAACATGAGAGTCACAACTCACAAGCAGTGTAGTGAGATTAAGCAATTACAAAATATATCGAAAAGCAATAGAGCTCCAGTCAATATGAGCTATATATGATATTCCATGAAAAAGGGGCCACTCAAACACTAACTTGCAACTTGCATCCTACGCACTGCACCAATATCAGCCATGAACCTCTGAGTTGCTAAAGAAAATGAAAGTAGTGGGGGTCCTTTTCTTTCAAATGGTTTCCATGTCATAGCTGATGCTGTTAATCGAATTACCATTCCCTGGTCTATCTAAGTAATCTATGATACACAAGATCAATTTTACCCGAGCATGCAGTCAGGTTTGACTAAACTTCATGAGAAGAGAAAAATAACAGAACTTGGAAAATGTAAAAACGGCATGTTATTGGAATAATAACAGTATGAAATCATCCAACCATGTTCCTTATTGGAAGTGTATTCCACAAGGAATAAAAGGTGTGACCTTTACCCCCAAGAACAAAATAACAATCTGAATGAACTCGTCAGTCTTAACTGTAAACTTAGCTTTTCTATCCCTTAAGAGCATTCGTGGTATATCAGACAGTTAGGCCTTTGTTTTGAATGTCAATTTCACATTTTGCTCCAAGATGGACTTTTTCTCTGTCTTGCTTTTTCACCTAATAGCAGCACTTTTTACACTAGAAATACTGTAAGCAAGTAGCCACGCACCATCAAGCAACAGAAGCCCAATTTTTAATAATCAAGCACCAAGAGCCGCCGTGCAAAATGGATGAATGGTGCAGATGCACCTTGGCTTTATCCTTTTCTATGGAATAAGGGAGGAAAACAAGATTCTTATATCTAATGGGGACAACTTGATCGATCAATGATCATGATGGAGTTTTTGACTTCGTTTAACTGTCTCGTGCAAGAACCTAGTGCCAAAATAGCAGTTTCATTGAACTTTGCCAGACAAACAGGAAAGTGCCAGGAACAATCTTAACAGAGCACCAAATATTATAATACGGCATGTTAAACTCGTAGTAATTTATGAAAGTAGAGGGATGGGTAGCTTTTTACCTTTTCGTTTTTTTTTTGTCCAAGGCTTTGTACCTATAAATATGAGTGATGTTTCTCACTCAATGCACCACAACTTTTGCCTTCATTCTTCTGAGTCACCTTTTCTCATTTCTTCTGTATAATGGATCTCTCTCTTCAATGCCTTCTGCTAGTTGCAAGTCTCCTCCTGATGCAAACGCTATCACATGCTGCAACCTGTAATGACTGCTTCACTTCTTCTCGAGCAGCACACTATCCGAATTCTGATGAACTTGGAACAGATTGTAAGATATTCAATAAACAGCACATCAAAGCATCTTTAAGTTCTGCTATTACTATCTACAATTTCTCTATTTCATTATGGCACTGTTTTTCGATGTAAATTACAGCTGGAGCATGTGGATATGGTTTATTTGGAGCTACACTGAATGGAGGAGAAGTAGCTGCTGCATCTGATCTATACCAAAATGGTATTGGCTGTGGTGCCTGCTACAAGGTAACATTAAAGCACTGTAATTCAGAAAATATTTCTTTTACTGGGCTGAATATTTTACTAAACTAGTCAGCCTTTGGACTTTCTCACCAGGTGAGGTGCACTAACAGCAACTATTGCTCAGACAAAGGAACAACGGTTGTTATTACTGACCAAGGAATGAGTCATAACACTGGGTTTATCCTAAGTAGACGAGCAATTGCCGGGATGGCTCAAACTACAGACTCAGCTGCATCATTGCAAGCTCTTGGAATAATAGATATTGAGTACAAAAGGTAAGAGACCCATATTTAAGTGCCTAAGTAAAAGTAGCTTGTGAGCATGAATGACACAAGAGTGTCAGGATAACAGAATGACCAAATCTAACTCAAGTTTCTTTGTAAATGCAGAGTTTCATGCAGCTATCCTAACAGGAACATAACGATAAAAATTGACGAGAATAGCAACTACCCTCACTATCTTGCTTTTGTCATCTGGTATCAGCAAGGGCAGAGAGATATTACTGCTGTGCAGCTGTGTGAGGTAATATCTAATACTTTGATGTAGAAAGCATTTAGCCATTTACTAGCACTATACTTTCTGTGCAATCCACTTGTTCTGTTCATTGATCACATGAACACTTTCCAGACATGATCATTAATAAATACAGTTCACTGAACTGTTGTCTAATTGAACTTTCACTTTTCTAGACTCAAAATCAGGCATGCAAGCTCTTGGATAGGAGCTATGGAGCGGTATGGACAACAACTTCACCTCCTACTGGGCTCTTATCACTGAGGATGCTATTCAGTGATGAAAATGGATATGAAACTTGGGTTGTTCCCCCTACCAACATACCGAGTAACTGGAAAACTGGAGAAACATATGATACTGGAATTCAAGTGAACCTATAATAGCTCTGTTTATGCTTCCTTTCATATATTACTTCTCTTTTAGTACGTCCCACAGAGGAGATAGGTTCAAAAAGCAATTCAAGAATGTAATGATTTTGGTTTTGATTGAAAATATTACACTACCAATAAAAGTTCACTCTGAATACCTTATATAATCTCTTAAGATGAAGTGCCATTGACATCTCAGTACTACTATTTAAAATGCCATGCCAAATTACTGACAGACATTATCAGCCAAATTCCACGGAAGTCTATATTACATAAAAAAGAAAAAATAACAGGATTAGCAGCTGAAGATACCATATTCAGACACTGAATTCAATCTTCAAATGATCTAGACTTGGCAGGAATAATCTGTTCTCCATGCCAGCGACACCAACGGGATACATTAGACTTAGTCGTGCAAACTAAAATTGAAATGGCGAAATAGTTGCATTACCTGAAATCATTGGCTCAAGTGGACCACTTCCCGAACACCTAGCATCAATAACAGTTCAAGGTTTTGCCTCATCCTAATAATTTTTGTGAAAGCACAGTAACTAAAAATTGAAAAAGTATCAGGTTATGTTATTCTTTAAGTACTTCCCACTACTTTTATTGAATAGAATAATAAGGTGGAAAGCTTGATAAGGATCAGGATGAAACTACACCAAGTTGAATCAGGCTTATTTATATGGAACAAACTAAGCAGGACGAGAATCTATAAACTTACCATGGTAAGAGAATGATCATATTTCACAATCATGCAACATATCAGCTCCGTGACATTTGTGAATTTAATTTACAAGGTCATCTAGAAAATATAAGTTATGATGGCATTTCAGAATGCTTAACTCCCATTCTGTAGTAGAGTACAAGCTTTTGCTTTCTCGCACAATTTCAGTCGAATGGGCTGATTTTTCATCTGCAAAACTGTAGTGTTTGCTTCTGACTCTTTTTTAACTTAACAACTTCCCCACTGCCTATCAAATGGAAGCTTGGGGAGCATACTTCCTTTTTGCCTCTTCAAAGTTTACACACAAGACAAAGCGGTTAGAGCTGACCACTTGAGAAACTAACCCTGTGAGAGTATAAATGATGACTTCATTCACTATTTTCATGTCTGAATGCACGGTTTAAAGCAACTTTATACAAGAAGCCATCTCATCCAACATCGAGAACACCAAGCTTTCCTTATGATGTGAAGATTTCTCCAGAGAAAATCCCAACCCAAACTCTTCGAGTTGATCCTGGTTAGAATAAGCTGATTCACCAAACGTGTCATTTATCAGATTTCTCACGTCTTCTATGCCATCCCATTTCCTGTCAGCAATATGTATGAACAACAGCAACAAATATGGTGTAATATCCTGTGGATGAAATTTGATTTGCTGCTTAGCTATGATCTCTCCGAGCTGCAGCATGAAATGCCTACAGCAAGCAAAAGGAGTGGCTTTCGGTAGGCTAGGTTCTACTTCTGCACGCATCTTCTTCACAAGTTCTTCTGATTGATCCATCAAACCAGCCCGGCCTAGGAGATCAACCATGCATCCATAGTGTTTTTCTGTTGGTCTAATCTTGTACTTCTGAAGCATTACATGAAAGTACCACCAACCCTCTAAGATCATACCTGAACTAGAACATGCAGATAAAATGCTCACAAAAGTAGCAATATTAGGATTAACCCCAGCCTTCTCCATTTCCAAGAAAATTTCTAGGGATTTCTCTCCATGCCCATGCATACCATACCCCATTATCATACAGTTCCATGATACAACAGATTTGTCAGGCATATGATCAAATATATCTCTAGCCATCTCAATTTCTCCACATTTTACATACATCGTCAAGAGAGCAGTTGAGAGTAACACATCAGGTTCAATATCATTATCTCTAATATAAGAATGGACCCATTTTCCTCGATCAATCTTTCTAAAATTAGCAGATGCTGTCAATATACTCACAAGAGAAGCCTCATTTGGCTTAACTTCTCCTTCAACCATCTTGTCAAACAATCTCAAACACTCACCATAGTCCTTGCATCTGAGATAAAGCGCCAACATTATGTTCCATGAAACCACATTTCTGCACGGCATCTCGTCAAAACAGGCACGAGCAGACGAGACGTTCTTCACCCTTGCATATCCATCTATCATGCAGTTCCACGACACAACATCTCTAGATGGCATTTTCTCAAACAATCCCCTGGCTGCCTCCATATCTCCAACCGCCACATACCCTGAAATCATGGAGTTCCAACTACAGACATCTCTCTCAGACATCTCATCGAACAGCTGGCATGCAAGACCAACCTCACCATTCTTCACACACCCATCGATCATCGAGTTCCAACTCACCGAATCCAACGCAAACCCACTATCAAACAGGTCACAAGCATCCTGAATCCTCCCACAAACCGAGTACATCCGTATAAACCCATTCTTCACAAACAAATCTGACTCAAACCCGAACTTCACCACCCGAGCATGCGCCTTCCTTCCATCCACAACGGACCTAACCTCGGCACAAACTTTAGCAACCAGCGGGAATGTATAATGATTCGGTGAAACCGAGTTTGAAACCATCTTCAAGTAGTAAAACTCCAACGCACTGCGCGGATCGCACGAACCCAGGAAGCCTCTCATTATAGCATTGCACATAAACGCATCGGGTTCGTCAATTTGATCGAACAGATGGACAGAGTAGACCAGGGAGCCCAAATCGGTGCAGAGCTTCTTCACGCAGCGTCCGGCGGCCAGAGGGTGCTGGAAGAGGCCGCGAAGTAGGAGCTGGGAATGGATTTGGTGGAAATGATTGATGGCGGGACATGATTGGTCGAGCTTCTGCAGAAGGTAATGAACGTCGATTCCCGGAGAAGACGATTGTGGCGGCGGAATTAGGGATTTGGGTTCCCCAGGGAAGAGTTGGGGTGGGGTTTTGGGGAGGTTTTTCTGGGATCTGATGAATTTGTCGAGGGAAAGAGAGGAAATAGAGGGTTTGTGTAATCTGACAGACATGTCGTTGGGCTCCGGCGCGAAAACTATTCTGAATGAATCAAGCGGTGGCTTTATAATCCGTAAGCATTTTGTTACAATTTTAAATTTTGGGGACCATTTGCATTAACTTCATACTCTAGTGACCATCTCAGTAATTAGGCCCATAATTTTCTAGACGCCGTGAGATGAAATCCCTTAGGGGACTGAGATAAAGAGTTCCATTCCCAATTGCCGATTCCCAGCCTGCAAAACCCTAAAACCCTCAGCCAGAATTCGAAGCAGTCGAAGAGCAGAGGTTAGAAGGCTCGCGATTTCTTTTCTTTGCAATGGGTCTCTTCTCCTGGTTCAGCGGGAGTCCTCCTGATTCCGATTCGCCGCCGAAACCCAAGGAATCAGCTAACAACCCGAAATCCTCATCCTCATCCTCTGCCGCCGCCACCGCGACGGAGGTTCCCGGCATGAACGGCGCAGTGGAGGTCCCCCTCCGACCTCCCCCAAAGAACGTGACGGTGTTCGAGTTCGGCTCGGTGGCTACCTCGACGGATAAGGTGACTTTGGCCGGATTCTGCCCCGTGTCCGAGGACCTGGAGCCCTGCCGCTGGGAAATCCTGCCTTCTACCGATTCTGACGCCCCGCAGTTCCGGGTTGTTTTCTGAATCGAAAATCTCCCCTCTTTTTTCACTCTGCGCTAGGTTGTGTGCTTAAAGTTTCCAACTTTTCACTTTGTATTCTCATCTATCCATCTGTTCGGCTATGTAGTGTTTGAACTTGTTGAGTGAATGGTTCTGTTTGTGTGTTATGTGGAAGATTGGGTAGAGAAGCAGAATCAATGGCCTGTTCACTGAATATCTGAATTAATAGAAGAGAAAGGGATGGTTATCATCTTTTCCCGTCTTTCCTTGGTTTGATAGTCTAGGTGCATCGTTGATCTCTATCGCCAGTTTTCCCCAGGCCAGGAGGGAGATCTCTATGTGGCTGGCGGCCAAGAGCAATGATTGAGTCTTGTCACCGGACTCCCTCGATTCTTTCGCGGCCAGTTTGACGAAAGGATTGAAGGAGTTGCGAGCGACTCTCATGAATTATGGCGGTGGCGCTACCGCTCCTCTCACTGCCAACAATGGAGTTTATCTGACTCTTAACAGCCAAGGGGAAACTGGCCTTGGCAACGATGCACCAAGAAACAAATAGGGGAATGCATGACTAAAATTAGTGCTCCTAAATTTGAGATGATTTTAAGCTTCAACCTCATGCTAAAAATGCTCAGAGCCACATATGTGAGAATGTGCTCATAGGAGCACACAATTGTTGGATTGCATGTTGGACGTTTCACAATCTAGGCAAATAGAAGCACCATCACGTCCATCTTAGACTGCTTAAGTGTCCAACACACGATGAGATGATTGTGCGCTCTTGTAAGCACGTTCTTGTACATGGACTGTGAACTCCATGATGAAGTTGCATGGTGGATGATCTTCACCTTTAGTGAGATCTTTGGTTTTCTTGTGTTTGTCTTGCTAAGTAAGACTATGTTTTTTGGGAGTGTTTATTAATGCAATTTCACCATTATATATATAAAAAAAGTTGCATAGTGCATCATGCATTGCAAGCCGTCCAAGTTACACCATTTAATGGGGTTGTGGAGGAGACTTGGAAACCAAAATTCAAGTTTAGTGGTAGGGACTAGGAAGGGAGGTGGGTGGAAGTTTCTTCAAGTTCATGCAATTGAGTCAAGAAGGTGTGATAGGGTTTTAGTAGTGAGGTCGTTGTCGATAGGTGATCCCCGTAAGTTCTGATGACATTGTTGTATCTGGTGTGTCTATCTATTTTATTTAGTTATTTAGTTAAATCAATATCAATGATTTGTTATTGGAGCAAATAGCAACAACCGCAATTTCATCGTACAAATCACTACGGATTGCTATTCACAACATACATATAAAAAAATTACACGAAAGAATTCGATCATGAACAAGTTGCGTCAGTTAGGTTTGAATCAAGTCATAATAAAAGCAAATAATTGACGAAGAATCATAACGACTTAATAATCGACTGAATCAATAACCTCTCGGGTCGAATACCGGCCGAGTCATTGAATCGGGTTAGTTTTGAATCGAATTTGGGTGAAGACTAGTCTAAACTCAAGAACTTTCATCAATAAAAAAACCAAAAACAGATTAGGGAGACATATCCACACCACTCATAAACTTTCTTTCCACGCTGTGGAAAAAATGACTCCACGAAGGCCCTACAAACATGACCCCAAGTCAATAAGTCAACCATCCAATTGAATACTCATATGAACTTGACTTCATCAATTTCCATCCCCCCAACTTGAAACAAAAGCATCTTCTTTATAATCACTATCATCTTCATCATTCTTTCTGCACAATCCACCCTGAATCCCAAGCAAAAATGGCCAAAAACCATTCACCATTTCCCTTCCTTCTCCTCAAAGTTTCGATCTTTAGCTTCCTTTTACCACTCTCGTCAGCTTATTCTTCCTCCATACTACCTTCTTACACTCACCATTGCAGCTTAACAGTCCCACCTTCTCCACCCACAGAACAAGAGGTCACCACGATCCCTTTCCCTCCAAACCAGGACGGTTACTACGTCGGCGGAGATGGGATTTCCAACCTCACCAGCAGCTCCAACTCTTCTTCTTCTTACTCGTATTTCGATTCGGGAGCCCGGAAAATCTTCCTCTTCAGAACCCACCACGTCCACAAAACAGAGTCCCCTGAAGTCTACAAAATCACGGCCGACTTGGTCCTCGAAACTTCAGGGATGAGGCACTACAGCGACTTCACCTCTTTTAGCTACTCTTACTCTCCTCATGTGATCGTTAATGGAGTCCAGAAGGGCCCCTTGACGTTTCAAATGGAAGGGTTTTGGTCCCCTAGCAGCGGGAAGATGTGTATGGTTGGGTTTGGCGATGTCTTGGATGGCGACGATATGGAGTATGGTCATGGTCGTGGGCGTGGTCGTTTTTCTGGAATTTTGAAGATGATGAACGTCAAGGGCTCGAGCGAGCTGACGAGTCTGGTGACAGGGACGTTGCAGAGTGACGTGGGCGAGGCGTGGAGCTACGAGCCTGTCTCGATGCTGCTGATCCCCAGGATCAACTATGAGTACAAACACGTAAGGTAGTCAACACTTTATAAGTTTATACTCTGTTTTCCATTATGTCTGAGTCGAAAATTCGTATGGAACTGGTAGCCTATTAGTTTGAAATTTGCAGATAGTAAGATTTTGTGCAATAAGCAAGATAATTTATTGTCTGTGGTAACTTATGCCAGAATATTACTAGCCACATACAGAATATGCAACTTTTAGTAACCATTTCTTTAAACACCTGAAATCTCGTTTAAGTGTTGTCGATGACAAATCCATCCAATTTCATTTGGAAATTCACATTACATCGTATAAAATGGTTGATTGCTACGATTGATTCTACTTAGTTCAATGATCCTAGTTGTATATTAGGGTCTGACTTGAGATTTTGACTATTATGCAGGGGTGATGGCAAGAGCTGTGGTGGTGGTAGTGGTGATGTTCTTCCTCCAAGCCATGACTCTCTGAGTTTGCCATTGAGCACATCCATTTGCTCTCCTTTCTTCTCTTCGTACTATCCCCTTCGTCTAAACTATGCCAAACCTTGCAATGTCTCTTCTTCTTCTCCAGCCAAAAATTGCAACCCATTGGAGAACCATCATGGTGATTCCAATCATTTGGCTCGTTTCGTGTCATTGAGGCCCTTCCAATGTTCGGACGAGAAGCAAAGTTTGAGGTTCCTAATGGAGTTCTCGAACAACAGCAACATTGACTACTACCATCCATTCTCACCCAACACAACCCTAGTCTCAGAAGGAACGTGGAATGCCAAGAACAACAGGTTGTGCATTGTGGCTTGCAGAATCCGGGATGCCACCAACGTGTCGTTTATTACTTCGAAGATCGAGGATTGTTCGATCAGAATGAGCTTGAGTTTTCCTGAAACTTGGTCGATGGGTAACACTAGCACCATGGTTGGTGAGATCTGGAGTAGCTTGGATGCAGGGGACTCTGGCTACTTCCATCCAATTTTGGTGAAGGATCGTGGGTACAAACAAAGAGGGCTTCCAGGGTTGAAGTATGAATACACTATGGTTGAAAAAGCGAATGCTTCTTGTTCAAAGGTTAGCAAGATCAATGGTGGCAAAATCAAGCAGTTTCCAAATGGTGGATCTGACGAAATGAGGTTTGATATGTCTTTCAAGGACTCTGTTGGGAGGATGAAAGGTGGATGGGGGAGAGCTGAGCCGATCTTTGTTGGCGATCAAGTCCCTCATTGGAATCTCGGTGGTGGGGTGACCATCATGAGCTCGGACAACGATCGAGCTCCTGCAAAATTCAGGCCGCCTAGCAAACCAGTGAACATTAGTTATAGCATTGGTTACACGCCATTCAATCTCAATGCTACTTCAAGTGAGAATGGGTTTTGGGTTTCAGCTGAAGGAGTTTATGAAGCTGAAACAGGACACCTTTGTATGGTTGGCTGCAAGTTTGCCTCCTCATCTACGTCAAGATACAATATGGCTGAAGAATTGGACGAAGATTCCAAGGATTGCGAGGTTTTGATCATGGTTGATTTCCCCTCGATGGATTCGAACGAGAACATTCAAGGAAGGATCGAAAGCACGAGGGAGAAAGCAACGGATCCTCTGTACTTTGAGCCTTTGGTTTTCATTGCATCTTCCTTCTACGGTCAACGGGCGAGGGAGTCCGTGTGGAGGATGGATTTGGAGGTCACAATGGCTCTAATCTCCAATACTCTATTATGTGTCTTCGTGTGTTACCAAATCTTTCATGTCAGGAGGAACCCTGATGTGTTCCCTTTCCTCTCCTTCCTCATGCTCACGGTGCTCGCCTTGGGGCACCTAATCCCTCTGGTGCTCAACTTTGACGAGTTGTTCTTGAGAAAGCAAGAACGACGTGGACGGTTTTATTATTGGAGGAGCACAGGGAAATTGGAAGCCGATGAGGTGATCTTGAGGGTTGTCACCATGATCGTACTCATCTTGCATCTGAGGCTCTTACAACTTACTTGGCTTGCAAGGCAAGCCAACAAAGACAAGAAGGCCTCAATCAGGCCGGCCGAAACAAAGGCACTCCTTATCACTTTACCATTATATTTTGCTGGAGCTCTCATTGCTCTAGGCATCAACTGGAAGCACTACGAATTCGGGGCAAATAGCCAAGGTAGTCATCGTGTGATGCATCGATCTCTCGGCAACCAACAACAACACTCGATCTTGACGGATCTGAGGTCGTACGCTGGCCTCTTGCTCGACGGCTTCCTTCTTCCTCAGATCCTGCTCAACATTTTCCATGGCTCAACCCCTCAAACCCCGGTCCTTTCTCGCCTTTTCTACGTGGGGACCACGCTCACTAGACTGGTGCCACATGGGTATGACCTCTTCCGGGCTCAAAACTTCGCGGAGTACTTCGATTGGTCATACATCTATGCCAACCCTGAAGCTGACTACTACTCTACGTGGAGCGATGTGGTTATTCCTCTGGTGTGCTTGATGTTTGCTGTGATCATTTACCTACAGCAGCGATTTGGTGGTCGTTGCTTCCTCCCCAAGAAATTAAGGGTGGTGGAAGGAATGTATCAGAAGGTGGCCGTGACAGATGATGAAGAGCAGTTGGAGGAGAAGTCTCATGTTGTTGGTCACCTTCCATCAGTTTGATACGTATTATTGTGCCTAGTACTAATTAACTCTGCCATTCCCCTGCTTTTTTCATTTCTTTCCAAGTGGAATCATGCTTCTTGATTTTGCTACTTCTGCTCTTTAAATGCATAATGATTGTCTACGAGTTTTTGACGAAATGTTAACTGAATCTGGAAAACGGTTTGAGTTGGATGGGAGATTTGGGATCGATTTGCACTGAACTTAATATAATCAGATTAGGCTTCAAATTCACAAATACTAGGGACTACTGCTTTGCTCCTGACTAGGTCATAAAATACTCCGCATATTTTTTTTATTGTTGGCGAGGAGCAACTGAGCAGGAAGAACAGGTGCTCGACCAGCTGGGATCAATTGGGAGGTATTAATGTCAACATTCACGTCTTACTAGTTATGTCCCTCTCGCTTAGTAATGTAAATGTGTTGTATGAATGATTTAGCAAATTGTAACTTATAGGACATGACTGTAAAAACAACCAAAACATCACCAAAATGTTGTGCGAGAGCTCGATAGTAATTTGCACTCGTTCACCAATGAGACTATGGGTCAGAGGAGGGCAATTTACATACTACGGTAGTAAGAAGAACATGTTCGTTATTGGAACTCGACAACTATTAATTAGAGAATTTAAGAATGGAAATGGACATGGAGATGTGATCATGCTTCCGTTTCAGTCCGATAAACTACAATAAATTTAGAATTTACCATGGACTTTCAACTAAGATGAAAATGAGAAGAGAAATAGAAAATATGGGGAAAAAAAATCGAAGAAAGCATAGGGCAAAGACGAAAGACCCTAGCATCTGGTTCAATAGGTTCCGAGGCCACTTCCGTAATTTTCGATTGAGAGGGGGAGATTTCACTATTGTCTTCCTATTCGAGCTTGAACAACATGGATGAGTAAGAATGCAAAATTAAATACGAAAGTCGGTCTCGAGCGAACGGAAAAAGTCAATTTCAGGACAGGAAAAAAAAAGCCAATGACAAAGACCCTAGCAAGACCACTTCAGTACTTTTCAATTGAGAGTGAGAGATTTCAAAATTGTCTTCCTATTCGATTGTGAGCGAGAGAGATGAGTAAGGATGAAAAATCAAGTAGTAAAGTTGGACTCAAGCGATCGAGAGAGGTGAGTAAGAATGTAAACCAAATATGAAAAAAACAGGTTTTAGTACAACAAACAAAAAAATATAAAATACATATGGGAAGAGAATGAGTGAAATAAAAGAAAATAGGACATGAAATTTAGTATAATTCTGGACTGGCCAGCCCACCCCTAACCGCAAGTACACAAGAAGATGGTTAAGTTTCAAGGTCTTTCTTCTGCGGCCCCATTATTCTTACGTTGGGTACTTTGCTCTCAAGGGCAGAGATACGTTGAGGAGTCAACTTTGTGCATCTTCTAATGTCTAACGTCTCTAAGGAAGGGCAATTGACTATGTATATTTGTTCCAATGACTTCAAGTCAGCAGTTCCTTGGATCTCACGTAACCTAGGCATATCGCGGATATCTAAGTCCTTCAACTTCCGTAGCTTTGAGAGTGAAGGAAGTCTCTCTACTGCAGGCAAGTCAAACAATAAAACTCTTTCCAGCTCTTCCACGTCGCCGATCCCTTCCAGCCACAATTCCTGCTCCCCCTTCTTCTGCATGTGCACCAAACATTAATGTGCGTGTTAGTATGTGACATTCTGAGTGTGTTGAATGTGAAGAAGTGGGTATATTTTACTTTCTTTGTCACCTGCTCGACATTGTTAATGGTGTCTTCCTCATCATCCTCATAATGTTTGATCGACACAAGTTCTAGTGTTGTAAGCCTCGAAAACATCGAGAGAAGAGGCATCCGGTGGCCACCTTGTAGTAGTGTTGAGTTACAACTCCATATCTTCAATGTTCGTAAAGAGTGGATGGTCGTCCTACAATGGTTATTGTCGTCGTTGTCGCCATCTCGCAATGCTTCTGCAAGATGAGGGCAACTCTGAATCTCCAATGTCTGTAAATTGTTGAAATGCAAGAGGTTCTCAAAGCCGTGGACACAAGCCATACTGTATCCATCATTAATATTGAGAGATCGCAATGACTTTAAGCCTTCAAGGCCTCGCATCTCTTGCATTTTGGGACAATACTCGATGGACAACTCTACCAAATTCTCAAGGTTCTCTAGGGTTGGGAGCCACTCCATTTTTGGACAGTGCCGAATGTGGATGCTAGTTAGAGATGATGGAAGGCACACAAGCCACAAAGAAGATTAAGGAATACTTGTGTTTGTTGTCGCGGCGATAACTATTTTTGTTTCCTCGAGCACCAGAGACTTCAATTTGGAAACCTTCCACCATGACTTCTCGGTGGGAGGTATCTCGAGCCCGAAATCACAATTTGTAACCCTTAATTCCTCCAACTCCAACAATTCCGAGAGATTAACAACCCGAGATGAAGTGGCTAGAAACTCCAGACTACCGGGAAGCTTCCCTAGTTCCAAAACATCTTCCGTAATTTCTTCTTCTTCTTCTTTCTTCCTCCTCTGACTCCCAAAGCTTACAACTTGCTCCAATTGTCTGCAAAATCTTAAGAGACGACAATTTTCTGATATCAACAAGCACTTCTTGCAAATTCTTGCACTTGAGGCTGGTGAGATCGAGCTCTTGAAGTCTCTTCATCATCATTCCAATGGTTCCTCCTTTTATAGATTCTAGATTAGCCTCATTCAGATTCAACAATTTAACGTTCCATAGATTGCTGATATCAAGCTTCGGGTATGAATCTGACTCCCACATCCCACAACCAGAAAGGTTCAAGATCTCTAGACTGCCTGTTCGTGGAAACTTTGGGAGTGTGCTTATGGAATAACAACCAGACAGGCCAGAACTTTCAGCTTGTTGGACACCTACAATATGTACCAATAGTCCTTTGTATTATCATAATAAACACACATTCACTTTGATATGATTTTGGCAGAGACATGTCAAATTCAACTAGTGACTGTAGCTAGGGTAGATTAATGTATGGTAAGTATATATGTTTTCAATGACTTGCATGTAAAAATTCTTGTTTTCACCCCTCAATCCGAGCAAGCAAACGAGTGGACAACATATAATATGATATAGAGATATGTTCGACTGAAAAGGTTGGAATACCCTCCAAGAACAAAAGGATATTTGTAAGCAAATCTTGATTTTACTGAATTCACAATTGAAGTATACTGAGGATCGGAGATTAAGAATCACGAGATTCTTCAAATCACTCTTCAAAATATATTTGTCATAAATAAATTCTGATTTCAGGCGAAGCCATCTTAAATTAGGAAGAAGATTCGTGAAGTCTCCTTTAAAATTCATGTTCTTTGATTGAAAATATCTCAACTCTAATAAAGCTGAAAATTGCTCTGGTTCAAAATAGCCCGCCTGCATCTCAGAAAAGTATGCTCTAAGCGCTTTAACTTGCTTTCATCCCTGAGTACAAATAGATAGATGAATATTATTGTTAGTTTTAGGCCCTGTGTCATGGTTTTTTTACCTTGTAATAGCAGCTTGAATTAATACTATCACAAAAGAAAGATGAGTGAAGTGTCTAAGTAGTTGCATAGTATAAGTAAACGGATATGTAAAACATTGGAAAATACCTTTTTGTCAAGTAACGTATTCAGACCTTCATGCTTCTGCCATACCCTACTTCTCATCCATGGTTCTTCTATATTTTCCTCACGCACGATTTCTCTTCCCATATCTCTTAGTTGATTATGCACTTGAAATTCATTGTCATCCCCCATTTTTATCATAGACCTTTGAATAAGAATATTAATACTACTTGCAGGGTGATATTTGCAGTCATCCCACATGTAAGAAGGCAGTTCTTTTTCCATGCCGATGAAGAAACATACGATATCCAAAAAAATTTGTTTAGCCTCGTACCCCGAAGCGTCATAACTTATCCTTAACCTTAGTACCACCTCTTTCTCGCGCATTTCTCTTAATTGCGCTAATTTATCCTTCCAAATATATATTTCTTCTCTAAACAAAAGTGAGCCGACAACGTAACCATCAGAGTTATTGGAAGCCCTCCTGTTGTCGATACAATTTCTTTTGATACAACTTTGTAATCTCGTGGAGGAGCATTCTTCTTGAACGCGTGCTTGCAAAAGAATTGAAGTGACAGTTGTGGACTCATTTCTCCAACTCCATACAACTTGCATATTTATTTTTGTTCAGAGTACTCAAGACTTTCATATTTCTTGAAGTGATGATAAATCTACTTCCAGAAGCAAAATTTCTAGGATTTCCCAAAAAATCCTCAAAATTAAATGTCTCATCCACTTCATCAAGAATGATTAGAACTTTGAACAGACACACTCTATCTTGTATCAATCTTCTTCCTTTGTTAACATTATCAACAAATCCAACATAATCTGTTTTCATTATATTAGAAATTAGCTTCTTCTGCAAACTCATGGTTCCATCTTTATGCTTTTGAGTTTCTCATATATTTTCCAAAAAACTACGTCGATCAAAACGAGTAGATATCTCGCTATAAACAGCTGTTGCAATTGTAGACTTGCCAATACCACTGAGTCCGTGAAGGCCAACCATTGTTACACCTTCAGAATCTAAGCTCAATTTATCTATTACTGCATTTATGTGATAATCAATTCCAACCAACTCACTGGAATCGATAAGATTATCATATTTGCTTAGATGAGACCAAACGATGTCAAAAATTGAATCTGCTATAGCTCCTTGCCTGTAAAATTAAATTTGTTTTTGTGATTGTCCGGATGAAGGAATTATGCATCACATACGAATGATTGTCTTATTTATGAAAGATATTTTTATTATTATCAAATTAGTTTGTGAATTGTGATGTCTACAATGTTTTTACTATGATTTTTTACAAATATGCCTCTACATTACTTTTCCTTTTAGCCATTTCAAGTCTCTCTGTAATACTTCATTCAAATCCATTTTTGATAATGAACTTCATTCGAATTTGTTACTAGAAAAGGGTTATATATGTGACTTTGTTGTACCCGCGGCAAATTTATGGTACTACATACTGTCGTAAGAAAATGTTAACCAGACCTTCAATTAATCGGAATTTTGGGCATGATATTATACTCTAACTTTTAATGAGTGAACACTAAGTCATAACTGTCTAAATCGTAAACCCTAAACCCTCAGATAGTGCAACTAGTATGTTGGATGTATTTAGATAAATCAGAAACGTCGATTATTATTTTCAATTAAATTGAACTTATGTTATATGATTTAGATAATTAGAATCTAGTTTTAACTCATTAGGATTTATGAAATAGTATCATGCCTCATTTATATACTGTTTGTTACTAAAAATGTTTTTGCCCAAATTCACTCCAATTACCATAGAATTATATATATCACATTGACTCTGAGATTTTGATGTAAGAAAAAACATTGACTCTGAGATTTAGAGGGTAAAATACCTCGTGTGCCATTTAAGTTTGAGAATTGGGGTAAACATACCACTTAAGTTTGAATAGGGCGTCGGGTACCATTAATGTCGCCAAAATGGGCATCTGTCTACTTTTCCATCAAACCCAAAATTTTAATTACTTTTTGATACCCAAAATTTTTAAAAACATCCAAAACTATATTTCAACAAATTTTATGTAATATAATAATTAGAAAACCTTCTAAACATATTATTACTAGAATGACTAATCAAATTTTTTCAATAAAACATATAAATTAGTAAAAATAATAAACGAATATAAAAAATAATAATAAATATACTAGAATATAATAATAAATATTTAAAATTAATATTAGAATATATATTTAGAACCCTAATTAAATTAGAAGCACCAGTAGAAAGGATTAAACATATTCCACTAGTTGTAAAAATTTAGAACGAAAATAGATGGAAAGTAGCCAACTAATAAATAAAATATAAAAGCTAGTAAAAAATGTAGAAAAGAAAATATGACTGTAAAAGCTACAACATTGTTTAGTTACAACATTCATGGAATAATAATTCAATTATTAGAACAAATAATGATAATTAATTCTAAATTTTCTATTCAAATATTGGTTTGGTATCAAGTATTCAAAAAAGGATTCTAACTAGACAATAAAAAATGATGTTTTTCGCAACTCCAAATTATCTTTTTATAATAGGAAAAGTAGAAGGACCAATTATGAAATTTAGAAAACGGAATATTCTAAGAATATTCTGTTAACCTTAACGAAATGCACTTAACAATAAGCTTAAGTCGTACCGGGTGCACATATAGCCTATGTTTGACCCTGCTTTTAGAAGTGCTTTTCGGCTTCAAAAGCTGAAGCAGGGCCAAACACCTCTAAAAGCTAGGCTTTTGAAAAGCCAAAAAACGCTTTTGTATAACATAAAAGCAGAAGCTCCAATTTGGAGTTTCTGCGAAAAACTGTTTTGAAAATACAAGATTATCTTTACCATATTTTAATTTTATTTCAGAAAATATAATTTTCCTTCATTTATATCATTTTAAAAATAAAATAAATTATAAAATCATATTATTTAATATAAAAGAAATCTAATCTAACAAGATCCATTTTGAATACTTTTTATTGTTTAGAATTTTTGTTTATATTTTATATTATAAGTCCTTTATAGTCATTTTATACAACCGCTCATATTAAGTAAGACTGAGAAGGAAACCGTTCGAATGCACTGATTAATCCAACCAACCCATGTAGGAGAAAAACCATAAGCAATCAGAATGGCTTCAAGACAGTTCTAGTTCACAAGATCAAAAGCCTTTCTCATGTCGAGCTTTAACATCATATCTCAATTACCACCTCTACCTCTTCTTTTAAAGTGATGGAGTACTTCATGCACTAGGATAATGTTGTCTTGGATCATTCTGCCATCAGTGAAGGCTGCTTGAGTCTCAGAAACAAGCAGGGGCATTAATTTCTTCATATGGCTAGTCATGATCTTAGAAAACACCTTGTACCGATAGTTACAACAACTGATTGGTCTGAGGGGATGACATGATTTGAAACTATTTGATTTGTCCTCTTTTTATTAAATAATTATTAATAAATATAATTAAAACTAAAATATCCAAAAATCGGATAGGTCTAAGGGGGAAAATATTCGATTAGGTGTTTATTTCAATTGGGATTTCATTTATAGTATAATGAATTAGTTTAATGTCAATTTAAGAACACG